TTTCATGGTGAAGTATGTTACATTTATGTCAAGATTGGGGGGGCGAGTACTAACTTTAGAAAAGATGAAAAAAAGCATTTTTAAGTATAGGGATGAGGAAAAGAAAATAGCAATTAAAATTGGAAAGCTAGGATCACATTTCTTAAAGTGGGAGCAGCTTAAGATTAATTAAGATTTGCTTTCTTCTCCACCGTGAGCCTGTTAAAAGCGTAACTCGATTTTGCGGCCTGGATAACTTATTTAGTGGCCTGGATAACTTATTTAGTATATTTTTCTTGAGTTGAGAATGTTGGCAGACATCCACTGAGTGAGTACTGTGTGTGTGTGTGTGTGGGGGGGGGGGTGGGTGGGTTGGTGGGTGAGTATGTGTGTGAGTGGGTGAGTATGTTTGTGTGATAGAGGGTGAGTATGTCTGTGTGATGGAGGGGGCAGGGAGGGGGCAGGATTGTTTCAGTAAAATTACCTCCAGATTTTTTTTTTTTTGTAATATATAAGTAAATAACATTTACAATTGACATATCATGTTTAAGTACTTATACGTTTACTTTGTTGCTAAGTTATATTATACTGCAAATAAGTTTGTGTTTAATTATGTTTATGTAAAAGCATCAATATTGAACACGTTTATTTTATTCAATTGTATGTCATGGCTTGTATTACACATCTGGAGAAATAAAACAAAATTGTTTAAAAAAAAAAAAAAAAAAAAAGAAAGTGTGTGTGTGTGTGTTTGTGCGTGTGTGCGTGTGTGTGTACATTTGTACAGGGGTCCCAGTGTGATAATTTGATAGCCATTCCTTTCATTTTTTTTATTTATTTATTTATTTATTTCGGTTTAAAAAGACATATAAATATACATGATTCAAAGGTCCAAGGACCAAAACTGCTCATGTTAACCAATTATACAATACGGTTATAAATACAGTAAATATACAATAGTGAGCCAAATGAAAGGTATGACAAGTACAATACGGTACTAAAGATGACATAAATAATACAATTCCATCAATACAATACCAAAATAAACTAAGAGAAAGTAGTGGTCAAGATCGTCAAATTACTAAACTGATATGGTAATGGTGGCAGATAAACAGACAAAAATAATGTGAAGTTCCAGATGATTGGCGCCTTGCGAACGTGGTCCCCATCTACAAGAAAGGAGATAAAACAGATCCTGAGAATTACCGCCCAATCTCTCTCACAAGTATCATCTGCAAAATGATGGAGCACATATTTGCAAGTAACATCATGGGTCATGCACGCAGAAACAGTATCCTCTGCCCACTTCAACATGGTTTTCAAGCCAAGAAGTCGTGTGAACTCCAACTGACTGGCTTTGTCACCGACCCCTTGAACAACATGGAGGACAACAATCAGACGGACATAGTAATCACAGACTTCAGTAAAGCCTTCGACAAGGTTGGTCACCAGAGGCTTCTGAAGAAGATGGAATACTATGGTGTGAGAGGCCACAACATTGACTGGATATCCAGTTTTCTCTCCAACCGTAAGCAGCAAGTTGTTCTGGGTGGTCATACGTCATCAACGGTAGAGGTCCAGTCAGGTGTGCCTCAAGGGTCAGTTACTCGGACCCTGCCTCTTCCTTTTCTACATAAATGACCTGCCAAACCAACTTTCAACGAAAATTAGACTCTTCGCCGATGACACGGTTCTGTACCATACCATCCAGACACCTGAGGATGCAGACTTGCTACAGCAGGATCTTGATCAGCTTTGTAGTTAGTCAATCAAGTGGATGATGGCACTAAATCCAAAGAAATACCAGGTCATAACTGTCTCCAGGAAGAAGACCAAGTATGTCCATCATTATTCACTCAATGGCGAAATCTTGGAGTCTGTGTCAGCTGCCAAATACCTTGGCATTACTCTCACTGCTGACCTCAACTGGACACAGCATGTATCTGCCACTTGCAAGAAGGCAAACAACACCCTAGCCTTTCTTAGAAGGAACCTGCGTGTCAACTCCACTCGGCTTAAGACTACTGCATACCAGGCTCTCGTTCGCCCTCTTCTTGAGTACGGGAGTGCTGTCTGGGATCGACACACCATCAGATGTGTAAACCAGTTGGAGATGGTCCAGAGACGAGCAGCGAGATATGTTCTCAACCGCTATCATCATACATCTAGCGTCTCTGACATGCTGAGTCAACTTGGATGGACCTCCCTCCGGAAGAGAAGAGAGCATCAACGTCTCACCTTACTGTACAAGATGCACTACTCTTTGGTTGACTTTGACATCCACCACTACATCCAACCGGCAACAGTCGTAAGAACTACACGATCGTCTCGTCCTTACTGTTATCGTGTCATGCAGTCACGAACAGAGCAACATATTCACTCCTTCTTTCCTCGCACTGTTCGACAGTGGAACGCTCTCCCTCTTGAGGTTGTCCTGGCTCCATCAGTGGAAGCCTTCCAGCGACAACTAAAGACCGGGGGGAAGTAAATTCCGACAATTTGTTTACTGGCACTATGTATATATACACCTCTCACCTGCACACCTGGACATCCCCATGTTGCCACACACATGCACTCGCACATATCTGCAAGAATCTTCAGCAGTGAAGGAGGCAGATTATTTTGAAGAAGAAGAAGAAGGTTAATGTTGAGTAACCAAACAATCAAAGAAAAATGGGGGAAAATATATTTTTAAAATAGGCAACGATAAAAGCCTTAAAACCTGAATTAACATAATTACGTTAAACATCTGTAAATCAATTGAATTCTATTCCATTCAATTTAATTTGCTATGTTCGGTTGGCCGTCATGATAAAAAAAACTATCCTAATTCCCGTTATACGGTTTTGTAAACATTTGTACTGTATTATATTATATATTTTTTTAAACTTGTATTTACATGTATATCATGTTCATGTTTTAAGCTATGTATTTTTAATGTCCTTGCTGAAATAGATATAGACGAATTCAATTGAATTAAAGAGTACAAAGAAATACCTAAAGAATATATACAAAGAATGTTCGTTCTTGTTCTTTCTTCTACTTTTGCAAAAACTCTTATTATGACCCTCACCTCTCTTATCTCTCTCTCGCTTTCCTCTCTATCAATATATTTGTCCTTCTCCCTTCAAAATTGGGTGGGCATAGGCATCCAGTAGGAGCTAAGCCGACACCACTGTTATACACAAACGTATGTGAACATCTGCACTGTCCACTAAATTTTCTCATGTTTTTTCTCTCCCAAAATCGGGGGGGGGGGGTAATTGTTCTTGAGGGATAATTTCCTGATACGTCAAAATATCACACTGGACCTCTATACCAACGAAAATACGCACACACCAACATGAAACCATCAACAAAAGCACTCTATTCCTCATAATTTTAAATTATGGCAACGTCCATTTTCGTGACAAAATAAATTTGAAACTTAAACCTATCCCAAATTCGGATATACATTCCTTTCTATGAATTAAGAGGAACATCGCTACAGAGAACCTAAGATCCACCCAACCCCCCCCCCCCCCCACATCAATAACAAATCATATACCTACATGGTATTGTCTTGAGACATCAACACAACATTAAGAGTAGTCCAAAATCTGGCCGGTTCTTATATTTCATTTCCCTACATATTCTCTACATTTGCTTCAAGCCGCCGAAGATGGCGTTATGAACGAACTCGGCGATGATGGAGATTATTGACAATCAAATCGGCCATATTCTGGACTACATCAAGAGCAGCAATCAAAACAACAGTAACAGTACAAAAACAACAATAACGACACAAGAATTTTGAATAGCTTTGACTCTGGAATTAACGGGATCATTTATTATATTTAAATCAGAGGGAACGGTAATCATAGACGTATGAGAAATTGGCATCTCTCGCTTTTTCTCCGATATGTACTTTCTAATGTTAAACTTTGTGTGTCATCTATATCCCTTATGTGAATTTAACTTTGAGATACATTTTATATCAAATATACCAGAAATGAACCTCCCAAAAGAACCAGATATCTAGTCTAAAAATGGGAATGGTTACAACGATGAGTAGTTCCGAAATCCAAGGCGGTACAGCCTTCAATCCCGCTATCCTATTTTGTACGCTTATGCGGTTTTAATGAGTAGCATACAAGGGCAGTCATGTACAAGCACTTTGGTCGAAAAGATAGACATTTCAGCTAGGATTGTACATATTTTTTCAAGTTGAATTGAACGGAATTGCATTTGTTAGTCTAAACTGATGTAGAATCTTCTTGATATTTTAAGGCTTGGTATCCATCCATGTGAATATTTTATAGATCAAAATGTTGAACTATTTAATAGTCTTACTTGCAAGTGATAATTCATAATTTATCGTCATGATTATATGAACTTAATGAATGAAAAACATTGATTTTTGTATTTAAATGTGTCATGTATGATATGAATTAAAGCATGAATTAGTTGTAATAATTAATTTTCAATAATTCATTTTATCATAGAAATTATACAGAAAGGAATGAACAGAAAAAGGGGAATTCAAGGGAAGGTTTATATTACTTATTTATGAATATTGAAGACAAGGAGCTTGTGATTAAAATAGACAAAACTAGATTGATTAATCATGTCAGTGATTCACTTACCATTAGAGAGAATAGAAGCAAGAATACATTTACTTATCTTTAAAGGTATAGACCAGTTTTGGAAACGCCCCACTCTCAAAAAATGAAATGGAAGCTCTAATTACCAGCTCTTATTACCAATCATGTGAAAGTATATTATGTTTTGACTAATACGCGATGATACAAATTTTGCCGGGAAACCGCCTACTAATTTATATATTTGGTAAATTATCATATCAATCCGGACTGGATAGATATCGCGTAGTCCCATATACATCTTTCTGTGTACAGTGCTTGTAGCTTTACCAAGACTGGGTCAAATTTCGTATCCTTTTGATGATTCCAGAACCTTGCAGTACACACCAATACTTAAATGCTAGATGATCAATTTTTTCTGATCGATTCCAAAACGTTTCTTTTCAAAATGCAATCACATGACCAGAACTGGTCTATACCTTTTACATCCATAATGATTAATCCAAATTTCGGATTAGAATTTAATAGTAAAATTTACCAATGAATAATTAATCATTAAGTCACGGTAAATCTAAAATTACAAAGAAGTATAGGACAACACTTAGTTACAATCTATTTAAATTAGGAATTTTAAGAGATAACGCGAAGCAAATTGTTAAACTTGAAAGTTTGAACTGGTCGAAGGTTGGCTTAGAAGAGATTAGAAGACTCGCCTTCATGGTCATCACCTCCTGTAGATCCAACTCCTCCAGGGTCAGTGCTATGTATGGAACGATAATCAATCATTATTTTTGTAATCATAATATTCTGTTCGTTAGTCACCCAGATGTGGTACAAACGATTTAGACATAATCTCGTTCCCAAATTATCTATTGTGTCATAAATTGTCAAAGTTTAGCATAACTAACTGAACAACGTGGTTAGGAGACCGAGCAGTCGTGGGTTGGTTTTTTCTTTATTTTGTTAGTTTTTTGTTAAAAAATTGTTATTTCTTTACATTGTGTGTTTCAAGAGCACTGATTCAAAGGAACTTTGCAATATAATTATTGTCATAGAAAGCCTTCCCTAACTTGCTACAGACAAGTTTGCCTATGTATATGAAATATACGTAAATGAAGTTTAAACTATACTTTTTTAACGTCATTTTTTGAAATATTTCAGGTAGGTCAAACTTCCCTTTTGCTCCTCCTTTTAACCCTAAATAGACTGGGGCTGATTAAGCCCCGCTCCCTCTATTTTCGCGATTACTTCGTAATGCTTAAATGGATGACAATGACTACATAATTTTTTTCCCTCAAAATCTTGCGCACCCCGGATCAACAGTCTGGGTGTAATGTAACATTTTGCGATCGTGTGTCACCAAAATATTTTTGTTTGTAATTCTTCCATATACAGGCATGTATAACATATAGTTTTTTAGGTGCACATTATTTTATGCTGCAATTTTATACCCATCTTATCACATAAACTGTTAGTATTCCCATTTGGCATGGTGAATAAAACTTATTCCATTCTCATTTGCATAAAAGAATACAATATTTAAGGAATAATGCAAAGAAAAACAATGAAGAAGAAAAAAAAAGGGAAAACTTGATCAATTTTCATGATAGTACACAACCTTCTAATATTTATTTCATGTGTGTGTCAGATGATGATGTCAATTAAATAAGAAAAAAGTGAGAAAAAAGTATTTTAAAAATTGTCAAAGTTTCATAATTTTTGCATAGTTAATTAGTACTAACTAGAATAAGTAATTGAAACAATGTATGCATCATTAAGATCAAATAAGAAACTATACAAAAAGACCCTCCCCCCCCCAAAAAAAAAAACAACAACAACAACAACTACGATGGCTTACATGTACATCGGTGTCTTAGGATCATTTGGCTTGGGACACACATAATCATTGAACTTTTAAACCGTTAAACAATTCTTAACGTCGATCGGACCCTCGATGTTCTTTCCCTGTCGAGTCATTGTATTCAATTCTATGTATGTTTGTCTTCATATCTTATTTTTTATTTCCTCATATTGTGTGTATTTTTTAAATGGAATTATGAAATAAATAAATGTAAATATGAAAAGATAAGATGTTAATGGGCAAAAAATGTACAAGGAGATTTGATGGGATTTTGTTAAATCCAGGTGTCAGACATCCGTCACAGCAAAGGTATGGATAAGGTACCGTTTGGCCTTAAAGGTCATATGATCTCTGAATCATTTTCATTGATTGGACAGAAAATGAGCTTCTCTTTGTAACCATGCAAAGGTTGTTAAAAATATTAAGTTTTCTTCATGGTCACAAAGGTTGTAACCAGTTTGTTATAATATACAAAGGTTGTATATCATCAGCACATAGTACAAGAATGAAAGTCAATTAAATAATCACATAATACACGATCGCACAATCAACTCAAGGGCAATTAATAATTAAAGTATTTTTTCTGGCATAGAGATCATATTTTGATTATGTAAAATGTTCCCACTTTTTAATTATGAGATGCACAAAGCTATTGATATCAGCTGAGGTTGATTTTCGAAATTCTTCAAAATATTCATGTCATACCTGGAGACAAACGCGATATTTCCAAAATTCACAACGAGCATTTGGGTGTCGCTATTGGCTGGTTGATTATCATCTTGGTAAGTAAGCACATCGTTGGAAGTTTGAAGGAAGGCCACTTTGACCTGACCATCAGCTATCTTAAAGAAGATATTCTGGTTGTTCAATGTCAGATCAGGCACTGTGGACTTTTGGACTTCTTCGTATGACACTTGTAAGGAGATTATGCCACCTTCCAGGAAAGCTAGGACAAAATAAAGTATAATTTATTTAATTTCATCTCAGATCGCACTAACTATATTATCCATCATAAACGAATCACTAGTGGTAAATTTAGTTAAGTCATATTATATCTAAATCGGTAGTGGTACTAATGGATGAGAAGAGCGTAGAAGTAAGTAATACAAATTTCAAAAAGAAAATGCAACATATGTGCTTGAAAGTCGAGTAATAAAGATACCAGATAAATGGGAAATCAATAAATTTCAAAATTCCTTCTTTCCTAACAAGTTAAACGATGATATTCTACAGACTTTAATGTGGGTATGAGATGCACGGGTACTGGCTGTACAGCTTCTGTGACAGAGTGGCAAATGTTGGGAAAGTGAGAAAATTTCATGCAGAGATAAAGAATCTTACTAAAGAGGTATCTTCTGACACCGTTGTCATTGGCGAACTCGATGTAAGCAGGAAATGTGGCCCCAGACAGAGTCAGTCCAATATACTTGCCCTTCAAGTGTTCAGGGACATTGAAGAAATTCTCGAGGGGAAATTTCGCTGTAAAAAATAAAAGGGGATCAAAAGAAACAATTGTGTTATAAAGCTAATCATTGACGGACTGCTTTCTCACGTCAGGTCTACGGGCATTTAAATGTCTGTTCGAAGGCCAGTTGTCAGATGATATCATGAAACACCCATCTGGCTCTTCACAAAAGGGCACCGAATCATTTACATGCAGTGTATTTACATGTATGTATACATTTATACAGGACATGTAAAAAATATATAAACTAATCGTTAACAACTAAGAAGCTATAACTGATATAGAACTCAGTTTTCCACATTGTAACGTTCAAATTAAGTTGAGTAAATCGCGGATTCGTTGAAAATCATGACTAACCACCACTGCAGTAACGAAGAAGTGTTTCAGTATGAATCCCCAGTGCCTTCATGTCCAATGGCAGTAATATAAAGAATCGAGCACGAATATCCTTAAACAGAAATATTAACTAAATGCTAGTTCTAGAGGAAAAGACAATTCTTACAGGGGTCGAATCCAGCGCTACTACCGCTACCCTCGGGATGACTGCTGGTATCGCTAATACCGCTGCTTCCACTGCCGGTGCTTGTTGTAAACAAAAAATATTGATAAGAAACAAACCGAAGAAAGTATGTCAAATTGCGATTAATTTGATGTATTCTTTATAGGTTTATACTATGGCTGAGTTACTATTATTAAAAGTATAACGATAAAAACTAAAATCCCTTTGAGGCCCTGCCCTACGAAATATTTGAGTGCATGATGGTTACTGACATAGTCTCAACATGTCGCCCCGTCCCCCGTAAAAAGAATGAAAACAAAAATAATCTAAATATTGTTGTTGTTGTTTTAGTTTATAGTCGTTTTTTATTCAGAAGTGAATATTTACGCCTCTTCTCTTAGGAATTTTTTTCTTTAAAATTAGATTTACTTTTTTTCATATATAGATTTGGATAAATTGAATTTTTAACAGTTTAACTGTTTTCTTGAAATAACATAACAAATTTAGACTTAACTAGAGCAAACAAAAGCACGCCCTCAAATAAGCAACAAACAACATAAAAACACAAAGCAAAACACTATATCAACAATCAGTTCAGTCGTCGGTCCCATATACTGGGTCCCTGTCAAAACTTTTTTAGACGGATCGCTAGACCGATACTGTCGAAGGCTATTTGTCTAATGACTTTAAACCTCATGTTCATTCTGATCCTGCTTTGTCTTCTTGTTTAAATTCTTCTTATATTGCCTGCATGTCAATCCTTCAATGGGTATCCTTTCTTTCAATCTCCGATGATGGAAATATATTAAAGAAATGTGTAATAATTATAAAACGTTTCCAAATACAAAATATTGGGCGATTGTTATCATTACATTATTATTTTTATTGGTAGATAGCAATGAGGTTTTTCTTCCAGCATGTCATCAGAGCGAGAAAAAAAAAATTGAAACAAAATAAAGATATTAAATTTGTACTTATAACATACAAATCAATAACCTGCCTTAAGTTGTATATCATCAGCACATAGTACAAGAATGAAAGTCAATTAAATAATCACATAATACACGATCGCACAATCAACTCAAGGGCAATTAATAATTAAAGTATTTTTTCTGGCATAGAGATCATATTTTGATTATGTAAAATGTTCCCACTTTTTAATTATGAGATGCACAAAGCTATTGATATCAGCTGAGGTTGATTTTCGAAATTCTTCAAAATATTCATCTATATGTCATACCTGGAGACAAACGCGATATTTCCAAAATTCACAACGAGCATTTGGGTGTCGCTATTGGCTGGTTGATTATCATCTTGGTAAGTAAGCACATCGTTGGAAGTTTGAAGGAAGGCCACTTTGACCTGACCATCAGCTATCTTAAAGAAGATATTCTGGTTGTTCAATGTCAGATCAGGCACTGTGGACTTTTGGACTTCTTCGTATGACACTTGTAAGGTGATTATGCCACCTTCCAGGAAAGCTAGGACAAAATAAAGTATAATTTATTTAATTTCATCTCAGATCGCACTAACTATATTATCCATCATAAACGAATCACTAGTGGTAAATTTAGTTAAGTCATATTATATCTAAATCGGTAGTGGTACTAATGGATGAGAAGAGCGTAGAAGTAAGTAATACAAATTTCAAAAAGAAAATGCAACATATGTGCTTGAAAGTCGAGTAATAAAGATACCAGATAAATGGGAAATCAATGAGTTTCGAAATTCCTTCTTTCCTAACAAGTTAAACGATGATATTCTACAGACTTTAATGTGGGTATGAGATGCACGGGTACTGGCTGTACAGCTTCTGTGACAGAGTGGCAAATGTTGGGAAAGTGAGAAAATTTCATGCAGAGATAAAGAATCTTACTAAAGAGGTATCTTCTGACACCGTTGTCATTGGCGAACTCGATGTAAGCAGGAAATGTGGCCCCAGACAGAGTCAGTCCAATATACTTGCCCTTCAAGTGTTCAGGGACATTGAAGAAATTCTCGAGGGGAAATTTCGCTGTAAAAAATAAAAGGGGATCAAAAGAAACAATTGTGTTATAAAGCTAATCATTGACGGACTGCTTTCTCACGTCAGGTCTACGGGCATTTAAATGTCTGTTCGAAGGCCAGTTGTCAGATGATATCATGAAACACCCATCTGGCTCTTCACAAAAGGGCACCGAATCATTTACATGCAGTGTATTTACATGTATGTATACATTTATACAGGACATGTAAAAAATATATAAACTAATCGTTAACAACTAAGAAGCTATAACTGATATAGAACTCAGTTTTCCACATTGTAACGTTCAAATTAAGTTGAGTAAATCGCGGATTCGTTGAAAATCATGACTAACCACCACTGCAGTAACGAAGAAGTGTTTCAGTATGAATCCCCAGTGCCTTCATGTCCAATGGCAGTAATATAAAGAATCGAGCACGAATATCCTTAAACAGAAATATTAACTAAATGCTAGTTCTAGAGGAAAAGACAATTCTTACAGGGGTCGAATCCAGCGCTACTACCGCTACCCTCGGGATGACTGCTGGTATCGCTAATACCGCTGCTTCCACTGCCGGTGCTTGTTGTAAACAAAAAATATTGATAAGAAACAAACCGAAGAAAGTATGTCAAATTGCGATTAATTTGATGTATTCTTTATAGGTTTATACTATGGCTGAGTTACTATTATTAAAAGTATAACGATAAAAACTAAAATCCCTTTGAGGCCCTGCCCTACGAAATATTTGAGTGCATGATGGTTACTGACATAGTCTCAACATGTCGCCCCGTCCCCCGTAAAAAGAATGAAAACAAAAATAATCTAAATATTGTTGTTGTTGTTTTAGTTTATAGTCGTTTTTTATTCAGAAGTGAATATTTAAGCCTCTTCTCTTAGGAATTTTTTTCTTTAAAATTAGATTTACTTTTTTTCATATATAGATTTGGATAAATTGAATTTTTAACAGTTTAACTGTTTTCTTGAAATAACATAACAAATTTAGACTTAACTAGAGCAAACAAAAGCACGCCCTCAAATAAGCAACAAACAACATAAAATCACAAAGCAAAACACTATATCATTAAACAGTTCAGTCGTCGGTCCCATATACTGGGTCCCTGTCAAAACTTTTTTAAACGGATCGCTAGAACGATATTGTCAAAGGCTATCTGTCTAATGACTTTAAACCTTGTGTTCATTCTGATCCTGCTTTGTCTTCTTGTTTAAATTCTTCTTATATTGCCTGCATGTCAATCCTTCAATGGGTATCCTTTCTTTCAATCTCCGATGATGGAAATATATTAAAGAAATGTGTAATAATTATAAAACGTTTCCAAATACAAAATATTGGGCGATTGTTATCATTACATTATTATTTTTATTGGTAGATAGCAATGAGGTTTTTCTTCCAGCATGTCATCAGAGCGAGAAAAAAAAAATTGAAACAAAATAAAGATATTAAATTTGTACTTATAACATACAAATCAATAACCTGCCTTAAGTTGTATATCATCAGCACATAGTACAAGAATGAAAGTCAATTAAATAATCACATAATACATGATAGCACAATCAACTCAAGGGCAATTAATAATTGAACTATTTTTTCTGGCATAGAGATCATATTTTGATTATGTAAAATGTTCCCACTTTTTAATTATGAGATGCACAAAGCTATTGATATCAGCTGAGGTTTATTTTCGAAATTCTTCAAAATATTCATCTATATGTCATACCTGGAGACAAACGCGATATTTCCAAAATTCACAACGAGCATTTGGGTGTCGCTATTGGCTGGTTGATTATCATCTTGGTAAGTAAGCACATCGTTGGAAGTTTGAAGGAAGGCCACTTTGACCTGACCATCAGCTATCTTAAAGAAGATATTCTGGTTGTTCAATGTCAGATCAGGCACTGTGGACTTTTGGACTTCTTCGTATGACACTTGTAAGGTGATTATGCCACCTTCCAGGAAAGCTAGGACAAAATAAAGTATAATTTATTTAATTTCATCTCAGATCGCACTAACTATATTATCCATCATAAACGAATCACTAGAGGTAAATTTAGTTAAGTCATATTATATCTAAATCGGTAGTGGTACTAATGGATGAGAAGAGCGTAGAAGTAAGTAATACAAATCTCAAAAAGAAAATGCAACATATGTGCTTGAAAGTCGAGTGATAAAGATACCAGATAAATGGGAAATCAATGAGTTTCGAAATTCCTTCTTTCCTAACAAGTTAAACGATGATATTCTACAGACTTTAATGTGGGTATGAGATGCACGGGTACTGGCTGTACAGCTTCTGTGACAGAGTGGCAAATGTTGGGAAAGTGAGAAAATTTCATGCAGAGATAAAGAATCTTACTAAAGAGGTATCTTCTGACACCGTTGTCATTGGCGAACTCGATGTAAGCAGGAAATGTGGCCCCAGACAGAGTCAGTCCAATATACTTGCCCTTCAAGTGTTCAGGGACATTGAAGAAATTCTCGAGGGGAAATTTCGCTGTAAAAAATAAAAGGGGATCAAAAGAAACAATTGTGTTATAAAGCTAATCATTGACGGACTGCTTTCTCACGTCAGGTCTACGGGCATTTAAATGTCTGTTCGAAGGCCAGTTGTCAGATGATATCATGAAACACCCATCTGGCTCTTCACAAAAGGGCACCGAATCATTTACATGCAGTGTATTTACATGTATGTATACATTTATACAGGACATGTAAAAAATATATAAACTAATCGTTAACAACTAAGAAGCTATAACTGATGTACTCAGTTTTCCACATTGTAACGTTCAAATTAAGTTGAGTAAATCGCGGATTCGTTGAAAATCATGACTAACCACCACTGCAGTAACGAAGAAGTGTTTCAGTATGAATCCCCAGTGCCTTCATGTTCAATGGCAGTAATATAAAGAATCGAGCACGAATATCCTTAAACAGAAATATTAACTAAATGCTAGTTCTAGAGGAAAAGACAATTCTTACAGGGGTCGAATCCAGCGCTACTACCGCTACCCTCGGGATGACTGCTGGTATCGCTAATACCGCTGCTTCCACTGCCGGTGCTTGTTGTAAACAAAAAATATTGATAAGAAACAAACCGAAGAAAGTATGTCAAATTGCGATTAATTTGATGTATTCTTTATAGGTTTATACTATGGCTGAGTTACTATTATTAAAAGTATAACGATAAAAACTAAAATCCCTTTGAGGCCCTGCCCTACGAAATAACTGAGTGCATGATGGTTACTGACATAGTCTCAACATGTCGCCCCGTCCCCCGTAAAAAGAATGAAAACAAAAATAATCTAAATATTGTTGTTGTTGTTTTAGTTTATAGTCGTTTTTTATTCAGAAGTGAATATTTACGCCTCTTCTCTTAGGAATTTTTTTCTTTAAAATTAGATTTACTTTTTTTCATATATAGATTTGGATAAATTGAATTTTTAACAGTTTAACTGTTTTCTTGAAATAACATAACAAATTTAGACTTAACTAGAGCAAACAAAAGCACGCCCTCAAATAAGCAACAAACAACATAAAATCACAAAGCAAAACACTATATCATTAAACAGTTCAGTCGTCGGTCCCATATACTGGGTCCCTGTCAAAACTTTTTTAAACGGATCGCTAGAACGATATTGTCAAAGGCTATCTGTCTAATGACTTTAAACCTTATGTTCATTCTGATCCTGCTTTGTCTTCTTGTTTAAATTCTTCTTATATTGCCTGCCTGCATGTCAATCCTTCAATGGGTATCCTTTCTTTCAATCTCCGATGATGGAAATCTAGTAAGGAAATGTGTAATAACTATAAAACGTTTTCCAAATAAGAAGTGTTTTGAGACTGTTATCATTACATATTTGCATTGGTAGATAGCAATGAGGTTTTTCTTGGAGCATCTCAGGTTTCCAGCTTTTAGTTTAGAGATGCGCAAAGCTATTGATATCAGCTAAGGTTTTTTTTTTTTTTTTTTTTTTAACTCTTCAAAACAATTGAAACAAAATAAAGAAAATAAATTTGTACTTATAACATACAAATCAATAACCTACCTTAATAATGGATTAATAAGGGACAATTTAAACACGCTTACCTAAAATGTTAAACAGACAGCCCCTATAAAAAATGAAACCTTTCTAAATGCACGGGACAGTTTGTATGCCATATACATGTACATGTATGTAATGACTTGAAAGTGACAATTATATAGCTAAGAATAGCAATTACCTCGTGAAACTGTATTGAACTTGCGCATTCTGTATCAGACATTTAGCACCAGCATTTGGTGGCTGGGCGGTATCTTCATATTCGAAGACGGCGGATCCTTCCAGGATAATCTGGACTTTCTGATCAACAATACGGATATCGACTAACTGACCGTCAAGGTGTAGTCCATTCACGTTCTGCGACTTGACAAGTATGTTGAAGCGAGAAAGTGAGATAGTACTGCTCTCGCTTCCCGTCTCGACGTCTAAGCCTGAATGTGCAAAAGTGAACATTGAATAGGAAAGAAACGACTATAGTGATGAAGTAGCCAAGTTTACCTCACAAACACGAGGACAACGCAGAGGGCCATAGGCTTTTTTTTCTTAGAAAAAAATTATCTCAATTCTACTTTTTTAATCATAACATAATGCTATAAATTGTGGTAATGGTTGTAAGCTGACTAGAAGAAACATAATTTGATTTGATCCGGTACAGACAATAGTCTTTAGACATAGATAGCATAAACAATCAATTCCTCATCCATTTATCAAATGGCAATTGCGACAAAAGCAATCAGTCTACTGTGTTTTGTCATTGTTGGGCGCTAAATCATGCTACAGAAAATTAATGTGCTCAGGTCAATTGTATATGCATCAGTTGTATAAAGGTTTGATTGTATCATTTTACGAAATATGCTTTTGTCATCCGGAAAGTATTAATACAAGATAATTGAAATAATGCTACGATGATAATGGCTTAAGATAATGGCTTAATATTTACATCAGATTTCCCTTTTCGGCGCTAATTCAGAATTATATCCATACTTTGACTCCGGCGTGGAGATACTTTACTAAAAACATACCAAAAACCAACTAAATCTTCATCAATTGTTCAGATAATGGTCATGATTTAAACAAATTTATGTTTCTAACTTGTTTCGTGTAAATTTTCTTATCTTTTTTGAAGGTTTTCCCCCCAAACGAAGACACTTTCTCACAGGTTTCACGGCAAATCGCCGAACAATGCAATAATTGCACACCGTCACGTCTAGCGTACCGAGGTGGACGCGACGGTATTCAACGGTGGTGTGCGGGCGCGACTGAAGTTAGCAACTGTCATCTCAAATCCTCATTAAATATTAATGTTAGTAGTTCATCATTACGGTCGCTATTACTCCATGCACGCTGGCGCGCACGCACCCCATCGTCGGTACGGTATGCAATTGTGTTGTGCATCAGTTTGCCGTGAATCCCGTGACAAATTAAGCATGGAGCTATAAGTTTTCGTTTTTAGGAAAAATACTCCAAAAAAGACTTTTAACTCATGATCGATGAAGATTTAGTTGATTTTTGGTATATGTTTTACTTTTAGTACGCCAGAGTTTACGGGTAAAAGTATGGATATAATTCTGAATTAGCGCCCCTTTTTCTTATCGGCGACAGATCAGAGAGAAGTTAATTAAAAGTTCACTTTAGTATTTTCTCCCTTTTTAATAGGTACTCGTTCTTATGCTGGATTGTGCCCGATCCCCACAAAATAATGTTGAACACAAATATTTCCGCTTTCCCTGGAGACGTTTATCTACAGAAGGTAATGGTGTTCGTCCACATAATGACGCGTCATACCATTTTCCAACAACATTTCACACAATAATGACACTGATGAGCTTCAACTTATTGACTGACACCCATTTACGAAGATCACCACGTTTGTCGTAGCCAACTACACTTTGTACTCTAACAGGTCTACCGGAATCTAAAACCTGTCTTAAAGGTACTATGTCCCATTTGCAGGGCAAAAAATGAAAATGTTAGATTCCAACGGCATTTGAAAGAAAATTCTAATTTAGAACTTCCCTAAACAAAGGGGGGCTTGAAAATGTCTTCAAGTGGGAAAATAACGACTATTAGTTGTCGAATCGACTTAGGAGCTATAGAGCCAATCAGGCGCGTACACAGGGGGGGGGGGGGGTGTTTGGGGGGTTAAAACCACCCCCCCCCCCTTTGGTATTTTTTTTTTTGTGTAAACCCCCCTAAATTTCCCTAACCCCCCCCCCCTTTTGGAAAAAAAAATATTCCCATGGCTGACCTAAAATAGCTGACCTTACCCCCCCCCCCCTAACGGAGCAAAATGTCAAATTTTCAAATTTCGAGACCAAAAAAAAAAAAAAAAAAAAAGTGTCTCTATCGTTATTTTAACTGTTATTACTACTGGGTCGAAAGTGGCAAACGTTGGCAATGTCTTGAAAATGCAGATAATAAATGGTGACACGTACTGATAGAGTAGGTTTTCTTTTCGGCTGTAGCGAATTGAAGAACAACCGGTGTAGCTAGTTGCGTGAGAGTAACTTTGATGTCTCCCTGCGGTGAAGCGGGCGTATCCGTGAAGTGTGACAGCTGAAAAACATCTAGAATTGTACAAGATAAAGTTTGAAACAATGGTACTGGATGTATATCAGACATGAATTGTTCATGGGCCGATTGCACATTTTAGTATAAGCATAATTAATTTAATCATTGTAATATCACATGAAAGTTTGAGGCAGAAAGTAGCAGTAGTAGTTTTAGTAATAGTAGAAGTAGTAGTTTTTTGTTACCGAGGACCACAAGATATCTTTCAAGACAACTTGAAGCAAAATGTAAAAGACAAAAGGAAAATAGCATGTCCAATATTTCCGGAAATTATGCGTAATTATCTTAAAGACACATAGATGTCAGCTCTCATCTGGAATTCGACACCGTTCGGGTGTTTACCCAATAACAGGTGTGTCAATCACCAGGGTGAGCCTTCAGTTTTTATGACCATTCGACCTATGTAATGCTTTGCTTTACCCTCACCCGAAGACTCACGAGCTCTCCTCGCGAGCTCTTTGAGAGATTAGGGGGTAATTCTTGACTGGCCTACGGGTTCGCTCTGTGCAGATTTGTACTCCCATTAATGGTATTTCAACCAAGTCTGGTGTCAGCGAATTATGGCCTTCTGCACATGGAAACTGACGAGTGACTCCCTTTAAAATACCTTCCAGACGTTTGAATTCAAATGAACACTTCATTTTGACGACATATCAGCAATTCGTCGCTGTTTTCACGAAGTGACGGTAGTGAAAAAAAATTGCATTCACTTTGCGTTACGATTTTCCTCACTACCGTCACTTCGTGAAAACATTATTGTTTGGAGATGCATGCATCCAGCACCACATGTATTCTCTACCATTCCCACCCACCAATTAATCTGCTGCGTGAGAGGTAGGGACCACTGACAACATTCAGGTATGCTAAATGGTTCAACAAACATGAAGAAGAAACATAGTGTGAGTAAATAAATGGCCTGCGAGGTGAGTATTGACGGAAACATGAGGCTTACATTCTGGTCTGAAAGAGTATGTCCGAGTGGTGCCAGAGACAGATAGATCACGACATGGTGACACGGCTAAGCAATATGACTGGGTATTTCCTTCAAAGGTATGGAGAGGGGAACCATCAGATGAGAAAAGAGATGATGTATCTCCCCTCGATACAATGGCAAAAGACCTAGATTATTTCAAGAGAGAAAAAAAGAGACACTTCAATCCAATATCTATGCCCTTGTTGTATCAAAGGTTTTTTTTTTTTTTTAAAGTGATTGTATTTTATCAAAAAGTTGTTTATAGTTTGCTTTTTTAGGTTGGAAAATGCATCTTTCTACCCTGCGACTTTAATGGTACGATCCAGTAAATTAAAACAGTAAACTGGCTCTCATTTAAAAATTACTCATTAAATAAAACCCCAAACTTCAGTGATATCAGACAAAATATGTTATATCTTACTAATAATTAAAAAAGATGTATAAACATTGTGAAAGTGTAGCATTTTACGATAAAAGACACCAATTTAGCGAAGATGACGTCATTAGAACCTGTTTATGTGCGCTTGCATCAGGGAATTCAAGATCAAAAGGTCAATTCAGACGCTGGTAAGTTTTTGGTCAAGCCTTTTTGTTGTCTTTATTCTGACAAAATTATACAATCAATTAAACAAGTTTAATACCAGAGGAAAGCTAACGATTAGTATTTTCATTGACCGCTTACCCCAAAGTCGCTTGACCACAGTGAAACGAGTGAGAGCTTGCGAGAGCGGCCAAAGTGTGATTGAAACTAGCTGTTTGCTAGAAATTTGCTCTTCTCCAACGCAAAAAGAGACGCCATTGTGCTGGATAAATATGTTTTTTCCGACATAAGTACAGACAATTTGCATTTGGTCTTTTTATATCATACTTTATGAAATGTTACCCGAGTGACTTCCGGGCACCCCAATGCTGGAAAGAAACGCACATTTTTCGAAAACTTCACTTTTTCATGGAAGATATTTTGTTCTATGCACGCAAGGCAGATTGAGCGGATGATACGACGTTTCCATATGCGGTATACCATGTATACGAGAATAGCACTTTTATGAAGGACAGCGCTTTGTACCTGGCTAATGGAAATGGTGCAATTTAAACCCAAAATATCATTGTAAATAATATTGTTAATTATTGTTTCTTCTTCTTCTTCTTCTTCTTCTTCCTCTTCTTCTTTTTCTGCTCCATCTCCTTCTCCTTATTCTTCTTCTTCTTCCATTTTTCTTCTTATTCGTATAATTATCATTATTATTATTGTGCGTGTGTGTGTATGTGTGTGTGTGATCAAGTCATCATTAATATAATTGTTATCACAATCATGATCATCATGACCATCATCATTATCGTTACCATCATCATCATCATCACCATTTTTGTTTGGTATTACTGCAAGAGTTGTTCTTACGTGCGTGCACCCGGTGTAAAACCTGCTGGAGACCCGATCTTCTCCAGTTCATTACCGTTCGGTCCGTCTCTGACAGTAATAGTTGTGGGACGAAGTTCTGGCATATATTAAAGAGAAATATATAAAGAGTTGTGAGAGAACAACGTATTTCTTCTCATTCAAAAAAAATATTTGTGTATACCTGCATATATTCTCTGACATACAGAGAATAAAAGATAAAATGGCAGACAGAGAGAGGACAAATAGAGAACTGAGCAAAACAAAATTGCAGTTATATGTTACTTAAACTTCGTAGAAAAGTCGGGAAATGGCTTCACAAACAATCATGAAGGAAAAAAGTAATCAAGATTTAATTTGTTTTGAGTGAGTTTATTTCTTATCACTTGTTAACATAAGGTATTTCAGACACATTTTGCATGCACTTAGAAAACAGAATAGCAGAATAGCAGTAAAAGAAAAAAATGTGACTATTTTTGTAAGTATTCAGCAGAATATCACTATGGATCCACAAGTAACTGGTAAAAAAAAAATATTCGAGGATACCAGAGATTGCAATGGCACATTGATTAAGCATAATAATTCATTCTTATAGAGGTAGATATAGTTTTTAGAAGTTAAAAATTATCCAATTATAAGTTAAACATTTATCATTAAAAGTTATATAGGCCTAACTCTCTTAAAAAATCTATCCATCTGATTGGTCGAAATTGCAGTCGTGATTTTAGCCATTCCCGTAAAGAGACGAACAATGCCAGTAATGGTTAATAGTCAATGAGTGAGATTCCTGCAGGATTCCGGGTACCTGGAAAATAGTTAAATTTTGCTGCTATCCCCATTGGTTTACGTGTTAAAACTTAGCTTGTGCGAGCGCGGCTACCATACAGTTTTTGTGCGATTAATTTGGTCGCTAAATTTTAGGTTTTTTAATTGCACATTCGACGAGTTTTCAAATGTTTTTCAGCAATTCTTTAACAAAATGGAAAATTACTTGTAACTCACAAACCAGCTATCTCACAAGAACATCGGCACACCTCGGGGTGATATCAGGATGCAACGTCCCCTTGAGCCTATAAAACAACTATTCCTTCCATAGCATTCATTATATCTATATCTTATTCCATGCATTCCGACATTATTTACATTGGGATCATAAACAATTTCGAAGGGTTTGATTTGATGGTTGATACCTCATTAATTGACACGAATACTAAGAAAGCCTCTCTCATGTCAGTCTTCGCAGTATTGTTTTGCTTGTAACTTGTAAGTAAGCAAACAGCGGGACCTACGGCTTTTGGCCATATCCGAGGGACATGGTCATGGGGATTTAAGCCATACCTCAGAGATTCGGCGCGTGCATCGACTTTGTTTTTAACAAAGAACCCCGTTTACGAGCCCACTGTTCTACCACTGGGCATGGCGCTTACTAGGCCCAAAGTGGGCGGAACCAAATTTGCCATTAATTAAAAAAAAAAAAAAAAAAAAAAAATTGCTGGGAAAAAAAATGACAGGAAATTCATCCATCCTTGGCGATGCATGCGATTGCTTACCCATTTCTCCGATGGGGTTGCTGCTTGACCCGAACAGCACATAGCCTCCCCAGCACTCCGGGAGCTCAACTCTTAATGTAGCACTGAAGCCCCACGCATCTTCTTCCATGTCGTGGCATGTGTAGGAAATATCGTTAAACCTACCGACCAGTTCACCTGTATAAAAAACCAATTTCAATACATACTTTATTTTTAACAAACTTCTTCAAAGATATGTTTCCCAATACAAACCATAAACCTATGTAACTTAATTGCTTGGGAAAAACAAGCAAAGTTATTTTTTTCTAATAGAAATTCCTTTGGTAACAAATAGATTTGTTTGTTGTTTTCACTATTTTTTCTTGTTCACTTTGTATATCCTTTCATTATCATGTTAAGGCCTTCTTGCCAACCTATTATTATTGTTACGACCTTCACAACTTAAATCAAATGTTAGTTTTTATTTAGGGAAACCTATAGGCCTAAAATACAAGCTAAGTTTTGTAATACATGTAGGTTCCTCACATTTCACCCTGTATTACCTACCTTTAAAACAATTAATGTCGACGTCTTTACAAAGACTTGATTATATAATGTCATACTTTCAGTATATTTCATAATATGTGTTATTTTGTCATTTATGTGAATTCTGCTCTTTGAAACGTGAAACAATTAAATTTGAAACTTGAACCTCGAAGCCTCGGTCACACATGCCGCGTATGCCGCTGCATGTAATCACAGCGGTTTTGATACTCGGCATGCGTGCCCAATCCTTCAAAGTCAGTGATGTTCTACATACCGTCTGCCGTCTCTACGAAGTATCTCCAGTAATAGTTAGTGTATTTCACATTTGCTGGAGCGCCGTCTCCTGCTCTAAATTTTGCGAAACGGATGTCGGATAGTCCGGTGCAACTATCACTGCTGATGAAACTGGATTCGAATTGATATCCGGCTTGGAAGAGACCATTGGAGAAGGAGATCCAGATGTATGCGAATGCGTACTCTTCATTGTCAGTGGTTAGCTCCAGACCGCGTGGATCAGAAGCTAGCTCGACGTCATTTTGAATGATGACCGATTTTGTGTTGCTGTCAATGCCAAACGCTGCATGGGTAATATAGATTTCCTTCATGTCAGGCCTATATCATAAAGCAACTTTCAGATAACATTAGGCCTTCCGAAATGTAGGTAGAATTGGCAACGAATGAATATAAGTGAGGGTGGGCTGGGCTGGGCTGTGTTCAGGCTGATTAATGAGCTACTTTAATATTATTATTGTTAAAGGCTTGATCAAAAATATGCTGGGACAACTAGGTTGTCGCACGACCCAAAGATATTCTGCCTAGTCCTAAATTTTCATAATTGTTCCAGTTTAATTGTCGCCCTTTTCCTTGTGTTTCTATTAAAAATTAACCATGAATTTAATTATAATTTCTCGTTTGTGCGCTGTATCGAGATCAATTGCCTTGATTTGTTGAAGATTTGTTTCGGGTAATGGGACATTCCGGCAAACTTTGATTACTCAAGAAGATAAGGACCTTAAACACAAGTTATCTGGAGTCCTTCTCATACTTACAGATGGTGACAACAACAGCTTCGTCACTGTCCAAGAACTCTACGACAAGGTCACTTTGTAGATTGGTAGCCATGAGCAACTTTCTGTCTCCGGCAGGAAATGGTCCTACTTGAATCGACCTGTCCCCTTGCCCAGTTGTTTGAGTGTAGCCTTGAGCAAGGGATGACCCTGCAAATCGGATCGAATGTGTAAGTGTAGTGCAAATTTTGTTGACATGCAGTGTAGTGTTTCGGGCAATAGTAAATACGCAATAGTAAATATAATTGAACCAAATTATAGAAGTTCTTTTTTCTTTTACAAAACAGACATAATTCAAAGAAAATGCGTCTCACAAAATGTAAAAAAACGTGTTGTCTTGGCGCTAAATCATCACATCGATTTCAAGCTTACCGCTCATGATGGCGGTCTCTGTAATTTATCATTTTTCATTGAAATTATATTTTTGTTTGTATGCATCTTATTTAATGTACTTAAACATTTATAATTATGTAAAATGAAGAAATATTTGTTACTTTATGTATATGGTTATGTTCTATTTTGAAAATGCAGAAATAAAAACAAAACAAACAAACATCGTCGCTACATTAATACAGCGATCTCTCATTTCTGTCTCCTCAGATTCTATTCATGCAGTTCTAAATCTTTTGTTCAGACCCATCTGTTGTTGCATCTGTCCCGCTAAGTAATTAATCTTCTTCTTAGAATGTCCGTTTTAAGTTTTGCGAGTCCCCTCCTTCACGAATTGCGTCTTTTTTTCGTACAAATTTGTATATTTTATATCGTGCTCATTTTTTTAAAGATTTGCTTTCTTTTTACGAAACTTGGTCCTATTATATATTTTTCTTCTGTATATGCAATTCATTATAATCATAATTAAAGCTGGTGCTAATGAACTTTATTAAGCTGCCCATACCTAACTTATAAAACCTCAGCCTGTTTTGTTTTTAATGGGGGGAGAAGGCACTTGGGTGGAGGGAACAAGTTGCAAATGATTAGACGTGTAAGTATTAATGCGATTCATTACTAACCAGATCTGATGAAGTAGAGATAACAAATCCAATAGATTCGATATTCACCCACACTGTTGAAACCGAGATAAAGTGAGGACTGCTCGTAGGAAACGGAGTCCGTAAAGGTTAGGAGTCTGTCCAGAGAAAATAAAAATCTTTGTGATATTAAAGTCGCTTCATGATTTATATTCAATCACGTATTTCCAAACTATGATTTACAAGGAAAATTAGTCGCCACACACCCCTTTACTGAATGCATCATGCCCCTCTTTCCTAGGACTATGTTTTCATAAACAGAGCTTTTATTTGAAAGTGTCTTAAGTTGAACAATTACAACTTTTTCAAACTCTATACAATGAGAGTTAAATATATTTGGAATTTAATTGATTAAGTCCTCTAATAACGCCTCCCTTCAGTTGGCCTTAGTTGGACCAACATGACAGAGAACCTAATAGAGTAAGGAATCACAACTATGATATCATTGATACACAGATTGACTCTACAACTCAGCTTTTTTGTATGCGATTACACAAAATATCTCTTTCTCCGTCTCTATCCCGAAAATTGTGAGGGGTAGAAAAGCGTTTCCCATCATTCATTAGAAGAAAAATAAAAGTTTTAAACTTTGAGTATATCTGGGACACAACAAACAGGGAAAGGGTAATTTAATTAGACAACGTTCTTCCAGGACAAACTACCATTGGTATATTTTTCTAGAATATTAGTACCAACTTTTTAAGACTTTCGATACTCCTAGAAAAATGGTTCCAAAAGGCCATTGTTATAGCGTTGCTAAGTGTTGCTAAAAGCAAACCTTACTCCGCCGAAAAAACGTCTTGAGATTCTGCAAGTTTCAATTAAAAATTCCTGTAAAAGTGTTCTTAGTACCACAATACTTATCAAGAACCGAAATATTTGGAGAAAAGGGTTAGTTTTTACCTATAAAGACAAAAAAGAAAATGGATAAACTTGTGGAAAATTAGTAAATGATTTCCGAATGATCATTACATAATTTGTTTTGAATTACTAGTGTTTTGCTTTCACAGGTTCGCTATCGCAAGCAAACTGACGCATTGTGCATGTACAATTCACGTCGATGGCTGACGTAGGTGGGTGTTAATTCGTTGGTGATCACTGGGAGGGGTTAATAAACTATAGACTATCATTATTGGTGCGTAATCAACTTCAAACCATGTCATACTCGCAGATTTAAAAAAAAACAAAAAACATTATGTTTCTTTTTTAAAACGATGATTACTAACTTAACTCCTTACGACTAACATTACCTGCGTGCGCTACTTGAGTGGAAGTTTCTCAGGTCGAGCAAGAAGGTTAAAACCTTGGTATCAGGATTTCTGGAGATGGTAAGTGAGAACCGGACGTATTTAAACTCGTTCAGTACATCGGGTGAGTCGGCTTGAGCGATCGGAGTGGTAGCATCAGAGGCACGGTAGAGGGAGATTGTATTGCCGTCATTTCCATCGCCAATCACTTCAGATTAATATAGAACACAAAGTTAAGATTAGAGTCTATTTCATCCGAGTTATGTAACACTGATAGTAAAGACAACAATTTGTTGCGTTCTTTAATGAGAGTGACCTAATTTCATTAGTGTGAGATTGTTAGTAACAGTTCGAGCAGCTGAAATTTTCTGTTCAGAATCAGCTCCTGATCTATGTATAGTACAGGTCAAATTAGACAGCTCTAGGTATAGGTATTTAGATCAGAATGTTATCCCCTTCTGACTAACAAAACCTGGTAGTTGTCTTTTGGCAAAATTAGATCATGCCACGGTGCTACAAGATTGGTGTGGTTTTAAAGGGGCTTACCTAAACTGTAGACGGCTGAAGATGCGTCTTGGCTAGAGGAGAGGTACAGAACCGCACCTCTCTGAGCCTGGACAAGGAAGTCATACCGACTGGTTTGTAGAACGTTAAATTTCAAGTTATCATTGAACACGCCATCGCCACTGCCATCCGTGACAAAGGCAAGTCTTGTGTAGTCCTCTGTAAAGATAGATTTCACATAGATGAAACGCCAATTGTAACTTTAAAGATGATCCAGACTGCAACTTCTATGCCTTGCGGGTGGCAAGGGTGTAACATATTTCCCCCTTAAACAAAGTCAAAGATCTATTAAACTATTTACACAGATGCTATGTCCATGGTTAAACCTTCAAACCACTATCATAAACCTTGAGAATGCAACTTCTAAAGCTTCTTGAGCTTCTTAATTGTAGGCAAAATTTACATCGGGTTCAGCATTTTATCTTTGAAGCTGCTAAACTTTAAATTGTTAATACTTAAAAGTTGTATCTATAAATTCCCATTACGCTAGTTTATAACGTTGCTTTTCCGGTAAGACTGAATCAATCAAAATAACCTAAACAGCCGATTTATTTCGAAATAACTTCAAGTTCGCAACGTTACTGTACTGCAATATCTTCTACACCAAAACTTGAAGTTTCGCTTACTTGGAGTATCGTCGTCTAACTGAGGCGCTGAAGGCTCTGAAATAAGCATCAATGTTGAGAAAGAATGTTATTACGTGGTAGTGACGAAGATGTTGAAATGCATAGGGTCCTGCATGAAACACATCTATACGAAATGATCGTACAATTAATTGATTGCACACAACAATCAAATTAAGAAGGAATTCAGTCACTTCAAATTTTGTTTCGAGGCCCTGAAATTTTACAAAAATGGTTGAAAAAATAAATTTGAGATGTCATGGAAGGAAATAAACTTTTTTAAACATTCGATCTCATTTTATTATCTATTATGTCATGCATTATGGTAGACGATTTACATTTACTCATGGTTCATCAATGGGCCATGAGGTCGAAAGATGTAAAGGGTCGAAACAAGCGGCCAAAATAGTGACAACTTTGTCGAGAACGTGCATGAAGACAAATAGTGGGGATTAACAGAAAGAGAAATGCAAAGAAACAAGTGAGGAAAAGTAGAAGAGAAGAAAAACGAACAGTTCAAGGAAACACAAAGAGAAGATGAAAGATTAAAGAACAAAGAATAATGGGTCAAGAAATTTGACCAGGCATGTCGGGCTTCTGGGCAGATGGCCTTGTGAACCCTTCGGAAAATGACTCAAGAATCATAGTTTTTTAAATTTCTTCAGAGAGTACAATACCTCACCAGAGTCACCGCACTATCATCAGGGGCGGATCTAGGGGGTTCGGTTTACCCCCCCCCCCCCTTGGGGCCAAGTGAAAAAAAGGGGGAAAGAAGAAGAAAAAAGAAGGAAAAAAGTAAAACAGTAAAACGGCGCGATTTTTGGAAAATCCTGGATCCGCCACTGGGTCAACCCCCTCCCCCCCCCCCCCCCCCCCTTGGCAAAAAGCAAGATCCGCCCCTGATCATTAATTCAAAGGTCCCCACCGTTCTATATCTGAAAACTCACGTGATATCCATTGAAGGAGGCCGCAGTAATAGCGTAGGTAGAAAACACGAGTTGCTCCGACACAAATAGCCTGAATGGAAGCTCGTTGGATAGTTAGTGCTGTCACAAGGTTGATGTAAGTCTCTCCTTGTAAGATGCGAATGTATAGGTTATTGCCTTCGACAACAAGCCGCAGGGAAGCACCAGCTGGAACATTGCCGATGTTATAAGTGTATTCAATTTCGGTATTATCACCGGGAGAATTAAAATACAGAGACCCAGCGGCGAAACCTGTTGGAAGATAAGTATCCATATCATTGTCATTCCGCTGTATTTAGCTATCTTTGCCGCTCCACATTAAGTTATTCACTTGCCATCCTTCACACCAGGAAAGAGAACTTGAGATAAGGCTTTTTTAGATAAGGCTTTTTTAGATAAGGCTTTTTTAGATAAGGCTTTTTTAGATAAGGCTTTTTCTAAGATATAGAATTTCATACACCCTGTATGAAAGAATTGCCAATCTCTTCCAAAATTCAAGAGATTTTTCTTTAGTTTTTGCTTCATGTTATTTGTTTCGGATACATATCTTTCGTTTTAAACGCCCTCTTTGTCTCTTGAAAAGGCTCATTATAGTGATGAAATGGATAATAGTTATTATCATTATTATTATTATGAGTATGATTATTATCATTATCATTAATATTGTTATCATTCTTTCTTGCATATTTTTTCCAAACCCTATATTCAGAAAGTAATTGAGCGTTAATAAATAGTGATTTTTCCGCTACAACTACCATTACTACTGTTGCGACTACTAACACTAGTACTGCTGCTGATGCTGCTACTACTACTTCTACTACGTCTACTATTACTACTACTACTACTACGTCTACTACTACTACTACTAAGTCTACTACTACTACTACTACTACTACTACGTCTACTGTTACTACTACTACTACTACTACTACTACTACGTCTACTATTACTACTACTACTACTACTACTACGTCGTCTACTACTACTACTACGTCTACTATTACTACTACTACTACTACTACTACTACGTCTACTATTACCACTACTACTACTACTACTACTACTACGTCTACTATTAATACTACTATTACTACTACTACTACTACTACTACCACTACGTCTACTACTACTACTACTACTACTAAATCTACTACTACTACTACTACTACGTCTACTATTACTACTACTACTACTACTACTACTACTACTACGTCTACTATTACTACTACTACTACGTCTACTATTACTACTACTACTACTACGTCTACTATTACTACTACTACTACTACTACTACTATTACTTGGTCTACTCATACTACTAGTGCTACTACTACGACTATAATTTCCATTACTATTATTATTATTGTTATTGGTATCATTTGTGTTATCATTATTCTTTTATTTATATATACACATACAGTGAAACTTGTCTAAAAAGACCAACAATGAAGACAAGTGGTCTTTATAGGCAGGTGGTCTTTATGTAAAGGTACTTATAGTACATGTTTCAATGAGAAAATATTTTCAAGGAAAACAAAAAATGTGCAGGTTTGACTGTATTTATTTTGCACGTTCAATGTAAAAAAAAACGTAAAATTAATTAATAACATATGGCAATAATTGTATAGACACTGATGCACCCTACCAGGCGGCCTGGGAAGGAATGGGTTAATCAACTATGGCCCAAAGGCCTTCCTTCGCACACCTGGTCGATTGCACAAATATCTAAACAAAGATGTGATTAACAACTTAAAAAGATATCACATAACAAAAAGTGAAAGATGGGAGGTTCGAATATGATATACATATATAATATAGCTATATTGAATCCTGCTGCTGCAATTACTACTACTAATTCTATCCTACTATGATATGTGCTTAATAAATTAATGATTTCATTTAAACTCGTTCGGATGTTGCGTAATATAGAGTACTTACGAATGACATAACCCTCGCCTTCTGAGCTGGATGTACTGGGCAGGAGGAAGAAGGCGAGACCTTGTATACTCTGGCTTTCATGAGGAACGATGAAGTTAAGGGAGAAGTCTGAGGAGTCATCAGCCTGGTAAATGGGTATTTTGGGGCCTGTCGCCTGAAGCTCCACTGAGGGGTAATCTGAAGTGGTAAGAGTTATATAATAATTAAAAGTGGCAGCATGTAGATTCTATGATGGCAAGGAAAGGGTGAACTGGATAAAAGTGTTGGAAGTGAAGTGTCTCGAGAGGAGACAATACTGATAACTGTTAAAGCGCACTTTTTCATTTTTATTTTTTAGGAGTCTATGTAATAATTTTGATTCAGTAATATAAGAAATATCAATATAGTTACATTATATTATATCAAGTTCCTGGAACAGATATCTAGAACGGCAAGGGTGTCTATATGCAGGCACTGGGCACGGGATGAGTCTTAAGCTTGTTTTGGAACTTTGAAGTTGTTGGATGTTTGAAGTAACAAGGGTAACTTCTTCAACACAGAAAGGAAAGTGGCTAGCAAGCATTTTTTTCCATTTTTTTAAGGGGATTTCTTTTCATCTTCATAAATCCTTGTAACTGATATAACTTAAATAATGAAAGTAAACCAAAGTGACCAGTGGGATAGAAGATTCGAGGATGAAAAAAAAAAATGAAATAGAAATTTGGGAATTCTTCTTTGAGTATTTCTTTTTAATCAGACCGTGTCTTTTGTTTAAACATGTAATGTAGATAAGGGTACTTTTTAAACAAACTGTAATCATTGTATACAGTGCGTCCCAGAAAAAAACGAAACCGAGAAGTATCGATGTTTTATCATCACTTAATCACAACCATAATTAATGAATGATACATATTTGGAAACCTGCCGTAGCAAAAAGCAGATTTGACAAAAGACTTAACTCCGATTCGTTGACAATCAGCCATGCATGAAGACTCTCGTTTACGGCTGATTGTCAACGAAACGGAGTTAAGTCTTTTGTTAATTTCGTTTATTGATACGGCGGGCAGCCAGTGAAAACGAATTCGTTTAATAAAATTATGGAAATGCAAGCACTAATTTAAACAAACAGAACTTTGTCATTCCTCGCTCATTTTTCCTGATTGAGGTGTCATATGAAAGGGCAGAAACTCAACTTTCTAAAAATGTGAATTTTTCTTCGAAATTCAGATACCGCCCGCCAAATGTCTTTTTGGTTTACTTCCTTCAAATTGCTTTTAGTCACTCATGCGTGAAATATGCATCATCTGAGTAGCATCACTTGAAAGAAGAGACTCTAAGCTTTCCAAATATGTATTATTCATTAATTATAGTTGTGATTAAGTTATGATAGAACATCGATACTTCTCGGTTTCGTTTTTTCTGGGACGCACTGTATATCTACAGGTATAAGCGAACTGTAATGAAGGTAATACCAACAATTGTCACCTTTTAAAAATTGAAGGCACATGTGTGGTTTTTATTTTCACATACGTATAAAGAAAACATTTATAACAATTCGAAATTGGTACAGAATGAGTAAGACAGAAAGAGAGAAAAGGAGTAAAACTTACCTTCGACAGCCAGATCATTGTTTGATGGATTCGCATTACTACCGTCTGCTTGATCTTCAGGTGATGACTCGCCATCGTCGACACTCCCTGGGTTTCCTGCCGGGTCATCATCGTTGTTTGATGGATTCACATTACTACCGTCTGCTTGATCTTCAGGTGATGACTCGCCATCGTCGACACTCCCTGGGTTTCCCGCTTGGTCATCATCGTTGTTTGATGGATTCACATTACTACCGTCTGCTTGATCTTCAGGTGATGACTCGCCATCGTCGACACTCCCTGGGTTTCCTGCCGGGTCATCATCGTTGTTTGATGGATTCACATTACTACCGTCTGCTTGATCTTCAGGTGATGACTCGCCATCGTCGACACTCCCTGGGTTTCCCGCCGGGTCATCGTTGTTTGATGGATTCACATTACTACCGTCTGCTTGATCTTCAGGTGATGACTCGCCATCGTCGACACTCCCTGGGTTTCCCGCCGGGTCATCATCGTTGTTTGATGGATTCACATTACTACCGTCTGCTTGATCTTCAGGTGATGACTCGCCATCGTCGACACTCTCTGGGTTTCCCGCCGGGTCATCATCGTTGTTTGATGGATTCACATTACTACCGTCTGCTTGATCTTCAGGTGATGACTCGCCATCGTCGACACTCCCTGGGTTTCCCGCTTGGTCATCATCGTTGTTTGATGGATTCACATTACTACCGTCTGCTTGATCTTCAGGTGATGACTCGCCATCGTCGACACTCCCTGGGTTTCCCGCCGGGTCATCATCGTTGTTTGATGGATTCACATTACTACCGTCTGCGTGATCTTCAGGTGATGACTCGCCATCGACGACACTCCCTGGGTTTCCCACTGGGTCATCATCGTTGTTTGATGGATTCACATTACTACCGTCTGCTTGATCTTCAGGTGATGACTCGCCATCGTCGACACTCCCTGGGTTTTCTGCCGGGTCATCATCGTTGTTTGATGGATTCACATTACTACCGTCTGCTTGATCTTCAGGTGATGACTCGCCATCGTCGACACTCCCTGGGTTTCCCGCCGGGTCATCATCGTTGTTTGATGGATTCACATTACTACCGTCTGCTTGATCTTCAGGTGATGACTCGCCATCGTCGACACTCCCTGGGTTTCCCGCCGGGTCATCATCGTTGTTTGATGGATTCACATTACTACCGTCTGCTTGATCTTCAGGTGATGACTCGCCATCGTCGACACTCCCTGGGTTTCCCGCCGGGTCATCATCGTTATTTGATGGATTCACATTACTACCGTCTGCTTGATCTTCAGGTGATGACTCGCCATCGTCGACATTTTCTGGGTTTCCCGCCGGGTCATCATCGTTGTTTGATGGATTCACATTACTACCGTCTGCTTGATCTTCAGGTGATGACTCGCCATCGTCGACACTCCCTGGGTTTCCCGCTTGGTCATCATCGTTGTTTGATGGATTCACATTACTACCGTCTGCTTGATCTTCAGGTGATGACTCGCCATCGTCGACACTCCCTGGGTTTCCCGCTTGGTCATCATCGTTGTTTGATGGATTCACATTACTACCGTCTGCTTGATCTTCAGGTGATGACTCGCCATCGTCGACACTCCCTGGGTTTCCCGCCGGGTCATCATCGTTGTTTGATGGATTCACATTACTACCGTCTGCTTGATCTTCAGGTGATGACTCGCCATCGTCGACACTCCCTGGGTTTCCCGCCGGGTCATCATCGTTGTTTGATGGATTCGCATTACTACCGTCTGCATAATCTTCAGGTGATGACTCGCCATCGTCGACACTCCCTGGGTTTCCTGCCGGGTCATCATCGTTGTTTGATGGATTCACATTACTACCGTCTGCTTGATCTTCAGGTGATGACTCGCCATCATCGACACTCCCTGGGTTTCCCGCCGGGTCATCATCGTTGGTTGATGGATTCACATTACTACCGTCTGCTTGATCTTCAGGTGATGACTCGCCATCATCGACACTCCCTGGGTTTCCCGCTTGGTCATCATCGTTGTTTGATGGATTCACATTACTACCGTCTGCTTGATCTTCAGGTGATGACTCGTCATTTTCGACATTCTCTGGGTCTTTCGTCGGTTCCTTTTCCAACTCTGTGTCACTCTGCACATTGTCACCATTTGCTGATTCATCATCGGTTAATTCCGTTCGCTCCTCTATGAAAGTAAACATAAAGTATAAGTGATGATTTTTTCTTTCGCCCTCAGCCTGCATAAAGTTAGATACTTTTTAAATTGCCAAGTACAATTAAATCCATTGAAATATATTGAACCAATTGTTTTCAAATTATAAGCATAACATAATTAATTGAATAATCTATATTTTATTCCGGCAGGTAGAAGTCAATCAACACGTTAACTCTATCGATTCAGCTTAGGCTTACATTTCAATTTGAATAAATGATATAAGGCTTTTAATTGACTTCTAGTCTTTCCCTGGCTCTTTCTCCCTCTCTTTCTTTCTTTGTCCTCCTTTTTTTTTTTTTTTTGAAATCGTTGAAACGTAATTCGGGGAGGGGCATTTAAGATAGACATATAGCTTTATTGATAAGCGAACAAATGCCATATTGTTTGGAACGAAAATCACAATGGCTTAGGCTTACATTTAAATTTAAATACATTATTATATATATTATATATATAAAAAAAAACTTCTAATAATTTGAATGATTACAAAGTATATGGACTCGGGAAGGTGGTAGGTTCTAGTCCCGGTGATTGTCATAGAATGCGCTTTGACTGACTGCAATCACCGACCACTTTGTTCTTCACTTTGGCAATCTGCATTTCTTCATGTCCGTGTTTTCTTTTTCTTCTTTATCTTCTTCTTCTTCTTCTTCTTCTTCTTGTTCTGCTTCCGCTTCTTTTCATGTATAGTCTTGTGCAGGGCCACATGAAAAAGGGGGATTCAGCATGTTTAGAAACTGAAAGTGATATACCGACACTGTTTTAAATTTTCAGATTAGATATTTTATTAAGGTATTCCAGATGACTCTTCGACCCTCCTGTAAAATTAATTCCCTAAATGCTTTCAAAGCCATAAAACATCACGATGTTGTACTTTTGATTGTCATTGTCTTTATAAATTGTCGAAGGAACAAAATATAAAGTTATAGTACCCAAACGTAATATTGATTTTGTTAATCACAACCGAACTCCGTGACGTTAATGTTCAACGTTTCCGCCAAGAGTTATGTTTTTTTCATTTCCACCCCAATCTTCATCTAGTTTTGATGTTCAAAGACATTTTTTTCGATACGCACAGTTGATTTGCGGAAAGTTATTTTTAGCACTTACGAACAGTGAACTGAATGTTACAGGAAGTGCCGCCTGTCGTGTAAGCATATAACCTCTTCAGAAGACCAAAGTCGAGATTCGTGGAGCTTTCGTGGATAGAAAGGCTGGCGTCTTGAGAGAGAATGATACCGAAATATCCTTGTCCGTCGTTGGTATTTGTCCGGATGCGTATAGGGGCTGGTGACTGTAGAGACTGCCCGGTGAGTGTTTGGGCGCATTGTTGCACCCCATTACGAGTGATTTGCGATACCCCTTCTTGTGTAGCCGAAAGGTCTGCATTTAAAGTAAGAGAAAGATAATATAATTTCATTTAGTATGGCTTTGACCTGTGCAATCATTACTGCATATCAAAACAAGCCCATAACACATAACGACTTCCAAACATTTCATGTCGCGTACAATAATACTAACAGAGACGAATGGATTTAATCTCAATCTGACATACTGACCAAGAACACTCGATTTGTGAGACATTGTAGAGCAAGCGTCGTGATATACTAGCGCTATACAAGAAGCCATCATCATCATCATCATCATCATCGTCGTCGTCGTCATTGTGATTTTTGTGCCAAACAATATGGCATTCAATAAATGGCTTATCAATAAGCTATATGTCTATCTTAAATGCCCCTCCCCTAATTATGTTTCAAACGATTTCAAACGAAAGAAAAAAAAAGGGAAGACAAAGAAAGAAAGAGAGGGGGAAAGAGCCAGGGAAAGAAAAAGATAGGACCCCCCCCCCCCCCCCCCTCTGTTACCCTCCCGTTCTAAAATCGGTAACTCGGCTTCCTGAGTATCTGGACTCATAACAACTATGCCACATGATTGAAATTAGAATGATAATTGGGTCATATTCATCAAAGGTAGTCCTATCACTATTAATACTGCTCTTCCCGTGGGCCCTGTAGTTATGATTACCCCAGCAATTGTCTGGTACCCATTTACGCCTGTGTTTAGATAGTGGTACATATGGATAAATGTCTCGTCAAAGGTTATTAGTGCCGGGCTGGCCGGGCTTCGAACTTAGATGGTCCCTTAGATTAAGAACTATGTGTCTGTGGGTGAACCACTACACCATGACACTCCCACATAATGATATTGTCAAGAGCAGAATTGAATTCAAGGTGCTGTTGCTCACATTTAAGGCAATTCATGGTCAGACTCCAGGATATATTGTGTCATCTTTAATCGAGCGGCGTCATCTTCGCCCTGGACTTCGCTCATCTGGCCTTACTCTCCAGATGCCCATTACTCATCTCAAGGGATATGGGGACCGGGCATTTTCCTCTATTGCTCCTCGCCTGTGGAATTCCCTCCCGTCTTCTATTCGCGAAATTGACAACCTGGACTACTTCAAAGCTTCACTAAAAACTCGCATCTTCCTTCAGACATTTAAATGCTAATTTTATTGGAGGAGCTCGCGCCTTTGAATGTTTTTTTAAACATGTATATGGCGCCATACAAATGCTGTTCATCATCATCATCATCATCATCATCATCATCATAAATAAAATGGATTCCTTTATTATTATACTTCGAGCTTCAGTTTCTTACCAGCTACGTAACAGTTGTGAGAAGCTCGCGCATCTTCTTTGGATGCGACATTGTCACTGCAGAAGATGAGAGTCACACTGTCTGCATCGCAATCATACGTCAGGTCCAACTGGAACGGTGACGCTGGAAGGTCCGACTGGAGAACAGGTACATATGGCAGCGGACCATTAGAGTACAGGTCCGCAATCGTTACCTCTGTAATTGAGTAAAAGAGATAACTGATACATATTGGCTAAGAATTATACCCCGCGTACCAAGACAAAAAAGTTGAATTGATTTTGAGTTTTGAATATATATATCACACGCTGACACGTACATGAAAGAACTACTTACTTTGCTTTAGCCATCCAAAGAAAAGGAAGAATACGTTGTGACTGGTTAGGTAAATATTTCACAGAGAACAAAAACATGATCTTGGAACATATCATGTTGTGAGTATTGGTTCTTTTTAACTAGGAAATTATTCATGCCGCGTTCAACATTAAGTAAGTAAACGGCATTGGATTGGTGAGCATGTAAACGTTCATAAAAAGTAATCAAAATCATTTCAGTTCTGTTTAGCGTGGTTTATTGTCACACTTCATATTGTGAGTTTTGTATATATATCACGTATGAATATAGGCTTATTCAGACCATCACACCAAACCGCAAAGTATATATTTGATTCTTAGGCAGTATCTTGGACCATGTAAACATAGAAACAAACATTGAAATCACCATGATAATGTAATCACAATGTAGGGGTATATGTCAATGTCTAAAAATGGCATATTTTCACGTTGAGGTTTCCCTTTGTAGGTGCCCCTTTTCCAGAAAGTGCCCCTTTTTGTTAGTCTCCCCCCACATTTTTAAAGATGCTCCACCGCCCCTTATAATGGGTTGGGTACTAACTTTTCATTTCATTGCTCAAAGTGTGAAGAAAATTAATGTTAGCAATCAAGTAATTTGTTATAGTGCGTGGGTAGATCGTGGCAAAGTACTATAGCCTCATGAATAATTAACATAACACAGTACGCCATAGGTCAAACGTAGTTTGTAGGCCCACATCTTGCACGTTATCGTCACTATCCGCATTCCCCCCTCCCCTTCAAATAAACAATTTTCCATTATGCCACCTGGTGATGATGCTGATTTTTTTCTTCTTCTGCCCCCCCCCCCCCCCCAAAAAAAAGGGATTTTTAATTAGTATAGAGGTATTTGGAATAAACATGAATGCATTACATATATTTAATCACTTTGGTTTGTTTGTATACTAAGGACCGAGTAAAATTGAAAATGAGGATATGAAGGAACCTAAAAAAAACATATCGGTCGAAGGTTGTAGGCACCAGAGGGTAATACAATAAAGAGTTTTACAGAGTTGTGTGAATGACCAAGGAATAGTATCCTAAAAGTGTAAGTAATTCAATATCACCAAAGTGTGAACGGAATACACATAAAATAACCAATATTTAACAACGAATTTCTGTTCAATTCAATTCAATTCAAGTCAAGTCATTATATTTAGATTCCATCTTTGAACAAAAAGAGATATAACAAAAATGAAAAAGTACATGAATTAAAAACATTCCATTTTCCTGAAAATCTCTAAATTGACCAAAAATTATAATAACCATCCATTTTTCACAGATCTCACGCTTGCTAGGCTACGTCCCTCGAAAAAAGGGTATTAATACGGTCACGTGACTTGATGACGCATCTGACGTCATTGCGGGAATGTCCTTGTATTTGTCCTACAACTAAGGATCTTACAATCTCATTGTAATTCATAATTAGGAATGACGAAATTGCCAAAAACGTACTGGGATTATTAGGTGCATGTATTTTTTCTGTTTTTTATTTAAATCTCTTTTTTTCCCAATTAATATCATAGTTTGCCTTTTTAAAGACATTTTAATGCCTAAATCACCCTCTTTTTCACCGTAGAGGCTTCTGCAGTGACGTCATATGCTATTGCGCAATACAGCCCCGAAACTAGGTTTTTTTTCTGAGCGTTCTGAGTCGTCATGTTTAAAGCTAGATTCCAGAATTATTGATGATTTCTAAGAAAATCATTATCATATTCGGAATCTCCTTCAAAAATTGTTCTACATATTTTTTTCTTCATTTTTTAGCCCGTTTTTTAGTTAGAGTGGCCCTTTAAGAGCATGAAGTGAGAGGCTGAGCGCGCAATTTTGTCAAGCACTAACTAGGATTAATCTTGTGATTACCTTTTTGTTGATATAAAACACTAAATCAATCATTCTCATAACATTGCAATAAAAAGAATTTAAGTTTTCTTCTAAAAGAATTTAGTGAAAGTGCATGTTTCATGCCCAAACATAGCTGGAATTCAATTCAGTTTGCAACATAAAACATGAACATATCGACGTTGATAATTGTATGATTGTATAATCTGCACTGTCCATGCGTAATGGCGAACTAATCAGACGTATTGAAATTTGGTCGTGATTTTGGATTTACGATTTGGTATTTTGGAATCAAGACGATTTTGGATAAAAGACTATTTTGGATGGTCATGAAATACCATTATGATGGTGTGTAGCTTCCATCTCCCATCTATATTAAGATTTTCAGAAATGTGCAGACGAACAAATTTGTTTCTAGCAAAACGTGTATTGATATTGATATTGATTTCTTCGTCCATGATCCACAATGTTGAAATATGCTTCCCACCAGCATTACAATAATACAAGAAACAGAGTAAAATAATATAAATCATGCAAAACAATTAAGGAAACAATTTCAGAACAGAAAAAAATCTCGTCATTTCACAGAAATAATTGTTACGCCATCCACAATGGTAAAACTACCTTTCTGATTAGATGATTAAAAATATCTCTCCACTGATTAGGACAATATTGATGTTCATTCATTTTATACAAAAGTTGAATGTGTACTTACGTTCTCGGCATGGACACGTACAGTCTGATTCAAAAGGGGGTAAAGATATGATAGACCAACGTTAACATTATTATAGAGTAGATAGCTGGTGATCATCATCAAATAAATTTATGTATCAGGTTCCCTTCATTACCGGATTGTATATTAGCGAGAAACAGACCAATATGTAAACGAAATAAAACTTTTAAGTGCAAGCCAGCGTTGTGTGTTAACGCGTCCATTTCATATTTCATAGACGCAGGCTATGCTAAATAGAAAACACTCCGTTCTTCTGATAGGACGTCAAATGGAGGCACCTTGGATAGGAATGCAGTGGTCCCCCATGCACACCCCAGGAGAGACCCAAGGTTTATAGTGATTCAGCCCCCCCCCCCCAACTCAGTGTCATTTAGGGTACGCATATGCATGTTCCCTACTTTTGAAAACACCCCTAAGTCCGGTGTGTAAAGTCAATATGGGCTGGATTTTTGTTGTACTACGAGCCGGACTTTGGTGCCTGAAAAGTACCCCTTTACGATTTACCGGACATTTTGGTAACACGCATGGTATCCCTCCGTTCACGGAGTGTGGGGGGGGGGGGGGGGACCGGGGATTCAGTTCGCTTTTTCGCATCAGGCTAAAGGTGACGCCAAATTTTGTTTGTCGTCAGTCATGTACGGCTTGTCCTTCCGATAAATAAACCTAAAGACCTCTGGTTATTTCATTTTCTAACACTACGTTTTCTGACTGCTGCAGAGAGGATTTCTGGCGGTCTTTAAAATGTCATTGATCTGCCTTCGTTATTACTTGGTTTTCCAAGGGTAGGCGACCGTTCTCAGACTGACTGCCGACGAATCGCCGATTGATCCGAAGTGCTTGCCGACAACAAAAGGGCAACGTTTAGCTGAGAAAAGATCGGCAGCTGATCGACGAAAAATAAGCGATCAGTCCCCTCTCCATTTCTAAACGTTTGCCGATTAATTATCAAGGAATTCAACTTTTGGAATTTGAAAAATTCTTGCTGCTACTGCCAGTGGCGGATCCAGGGGGGAGGGGCCGCCCCCCCCCTCCTGGGAAAAAACCGTGTAAAAACACGTGATTTTTAGCTTTTGGGGGGATGCCCCCCCCCCCTGGCGCTCAAAGGGGGTTGTAAATTTTCAAATTTTCGAGGGCCAAAAACAAAATGTGTTCCCTAAATAGAAATAGAACACATGAAAGTTAATTGCTAATACATGTACTATTTCGTGCATGGTATTCCGTTATATTTCATTCATTAAAAAAGGGCTCCTTATCCTTCTGCATCATTCCCCCTTCACATACACGGATTTTTCTTACATATTGCTCCGATTGTCTCATTTTCGCTCGCGTGAACATTGCCAGCACAAAACACTGACCTCTACCTCCTGGACGGATCATCGCCCATTCCCATTCACTATACGTTACGTACTAAAAGGCTGTATTGTCTGACCGTTCATGAATATTCATGTTTTTGCTAAACTCGGCAAAATGTTTGCGTTTACTTAATGGAAAAAATTAATGTGGGGGTTGGATGAAATGGACATTATGAACAGAGCAGAAGTGATAATTAATAATTCATGCTTCTTATCCTTCGTGTGCTTGACCTATAATCTTACAATCACTTGGCAGACTGAGTCCAAAGTTCGACTTGTTTCACATGTGTATTATAGGCAATGGCGAGCTTGCAACCTATTTTGAAAAATTACGGTGGGTGAACTTTCAAAAGTCAATGAGACATGAGGGCTCCAATGAAAGAGCTAGTAATAACGTACGTCGGGCTGGATGTGCTTTTCGTTTAAACAAAAAATGAATTTTTAACGATTTGTTTAAAGAACGTCCATAGGCTAACATGTATGGCTGCTGACTCTGACGATAGGGGGCGTTGTGAAATGAGACTAAACGGAGCTATATGCGAGTCCTTACGAATCGCACAAATTCACGGATCTTTCACGGATACTTACGATTTTGCCACTTCTACGACCTAGTTGTAATGAGTTATTACGAGCTATTTACGGTTTATTACGGATTATTACGATTTATTACGATGTATTTATGGCAGAATTCTACGATTTGTTACGAGTAGCTACGAGCAATTTACGTGTTAGTAGCGATCTGTTAACGTGTTGTTACGAATTGTTACGAGTATTTACGAAACCTTACGATTTTTAACCAAAAAATAACAACTGAAAACAGAAGTGTTCAAATTTGCAGCTTTTATACATTTCCCCCAAAATGTAAACAATAGGTAAAAATACGTAAAGTATAAGCATACATTCGCAAAGTACTCATACTACACGTAAAATGCTCGCAGTAACTCGTAACAAACCGTAAATCTATCGTAACACGACCCAAATGAAATCGAAAACAAAACATAAGCACTCGTAATAATCCGTAAATAATCCGTAAACAAATCGTAAACTAACGGAAACAAATCGTTAACAAAATTACGGATTTTTGCGAGCAGTTTGTACGGATGGTTACGTGTTGTTGCGGGCGGTTTACGATACTTACGGATTGTTACGAGCTATTTACGAGTTATTTACGGAAAAATTCAATCCGCGCACAAATGTAAGAAGATTTTTGACATGTCAAAAAAATTGCCCCTCCTTTTACGGATTTTTAAGAGTGTCTGCGAGTTATCGCGGGTTGTGACGAGTTATTTACGGATACAAGCGAGTTATTTACGGATGCTTGCGATTGACTACGAGTTGGCGATCCGTAAGGACTCGTAAGAAAAATCCGTGTATGTGAAGGAGGTATTATACAGTGCGTCCCAGAAAAAACGAAAACGAGAATTATCGACGTGTGATCATGACTTAATCACAATTATAATGGATAAATGACACATATTTGGAAAGCTGAGATCCTCCTCTTTCATCTGATGTAACTCATATAATGTATATTTCACGCATGAGTGATTAAGATGAATTTGAAGAGAGGAAACCAAAAAATCATTGGCGGACGGTATCTGAATTTCAAAAAGAGAAAATCACATTTCCAGAAAGTTGAGTTTCTGCCCTTTCATATGACACCTCAATCACGAAAAATGAGCTAGGAATAACACAGTTCTGTATGTTTAAAGTAGTGCTTGCATATCCATAATTTTATCAAACGAATTCACTTTCACTGGCTGCCTGCCTTAGCAACACACGGAATTAAGAAAAGACTTAACTCCGTTTCGTTGACAATCGACCGTAGACGAAAGACTTCATGCATGGCTGATTGTCAACGAAACGGAGTTAAGTCTTTTGATAATTCTGTTTTTTTTTGCTATGGCAGGCAGCCAGTGAAAACGAATTCGTTTGATAAAATTTTGGAAATATATATATATATATTTTTTTTTTTTTAGGGTTAGGCCAATTGTCTACTATCGCCGATCAATCGCCAAACAACTGCCAACAATTTCGCACACATTTTCATGAACGGTCGCAAAGTAGTTAATGATTTTTGATTGTGGATGATCGAATGATTTTTGTACAACATTCAGGAAGTGAACGGCAACTACCCTACAACCGATTGGCACCTATTAACAACAAATCTTTCAAATTGGTTTTCGATGATCGCAGCATTTCTTTTGGTCAGAAGTTAGGCTTTAAGACCGTATAGTGTCAGTAAAACAGGATTTAAGAAATTCTTAAGGAAAAAATTTCCAGCTAGAATGTCTAATAAGAGGTTTCGATGCCAAAATATATGCTATACTGTTCACTAAATAATGTCTTTATATGATATAACTTACCTGGGCCGTCCTGTGCACCGGCATAATGGAGTATAAGAATAAAACTCAAAAGAGCACAGAGTAGGATGCGGTCACCCATTGTAACTGGTCAGCCAACCTGCTTCTGAAACAAGAAAGAATCAAGCCTCGATAATTAGTATTAAAAGTAATAATCAAAGCTTTGATTCATTTAATGAATAGAATGTCATAATGTAAAATCACATAATAGAAATCCACAAATTTATGTCATTATTCTCCTTCCAAAATAGGCTCGTCAACATGACTGTCAAATTACAAAAATAATAGTTTCTAAAGTACATCGATTAAACTTTCTGACAAAATTACATTTTACTACTTCCAGTTGATAAATAAACCAATCAAATTTGATTTGTGAAAATTAATACCGAAGTTATTGAAAAAGTATAAATAAATTAAAAACATATATTTAAAATAGCATGCCCAGGTATTCAAGTTAAAACTACAAAACTACTACATACCAGTTCCGACGAGCTGAAGGATGGGTTGAGAAATGATTATTTTCCAGATTGAAAGGGAAGATAAGTAAAATTGCCACGAATCAAATCGGATTAATCTAGTAATCAAGAGGGTTTTATATTCAATGTTGGGAAATTGTACTGTATGCTGATGATATGATTTCAAAAATAAACTTACCTCAAATTAAATGGTATAATCTTCAACTATCACCTGGATTGTGGATGATAATCAGACAAAAACCAATCGAAACCAATCAATGTTGCTCTTCATTTAAACACCCCACACCCCTCTCGCGCCAGCGCTCTCTCTCTCTCTCTCTCTCTCTCTCCCTCCCTCTCTCTCTCTCTCTCCCTCCCTCCCTCCCTCCCTCTCTCTCTCTCTCTCTCTTTCTCTTCGATTACATGTAGATTGTAGTCCCACCCATTTTCCAAATAGGACAAGAGTTTATTACATTTCAATACGCCATTTGCCTTTGAATGTGGAAATATTATGTGCGTGAAAGTGTTCGATGATACAAATTGTCAGCAAAGCTACAGTTAAATCTTTTATGAAAATATTGACCACTGAAGTTCAAGCCAGCTTTTAAATGACAATAAGTATATATCAGCGAATTTAAGACAAAATGCAGAAGATTGGGAGAACAATCTCTTTTCTCTCCTATCCACCCCCCCCCCCCCTCGTCTTGCTTATTCACACAAACTGAAATGTCTTTTTATACCTTCCCACATCCTAGTCAGGCATCCTATTCCATTGTGTTCAATTCTTATTTCACAATGCAATGAAAAACCAATTGGGGGCGCAGGGAGATCGCAGCATTTGTTAACAGCACAAATATCATCCCCGCCCCCAATCATCACTGATATAGTTATCTGCTTTCCTTTCCTTCTCCATTTTCCTTTATCCTCACAACTCTCTAAGCAAGGAAATATAGTTTGGGGATTCAAATTATCTCTTAAATATTCCATGTTTTCACTGTTCTCTGGTAAACTTATGCCCACGAATTCAACCTGATAAAATTGAACGATGATTAAGTTGTTTCAGCTTCGTTTTAGTAATAAACATAGCCGCAAGACTTTAAACAAAAAACAACCTATATACGGCAACGTCAGTAGTTTATTCATCACCACCTGGAATCTGGCATGTGCGAACAAGTCATTTCAAAGATGTATTACACAATCCGAATGTGCATTCCTGGGATAGGTCTGTAATATCAATAGTATTGAAATTGTCCCTATGTTTATTTCTCGAAAGTCTTGGCGATCGTGGTAATTGTCCTTGATAATGTATATTATATGATCACGTGTGTGTGTGTATGTGTGTGTGTGTGTATTGGGTTTTTATAGACGTGTATCACCATCCGAAAGACGTGACTCAGTTTCGAACCTGCGTCCTCGGATAAATAAGTTTGTAACTTCCATTGTTAGCTGGATTACAGGAGCATACCACAGTGCCTAGATCATTGTCGTGGCATTCGTTTATCACGTGACATTACTTTGATCACGCCACGTCAATCAACCAATCACAATGAGACAGCATTCTACACCCAATTAGCAACCGCACCTGTTCCCGAAGGACATAATCCCATTGTTTCAAATCACAGCTAAACAGCATGCCACACCCAAGTGATGCAACTACTAATTGTTCCTGAAAGACATACTCTATTGTTTCAAACATCTTGAAATCAATTGTCTGTCTAGATCGTAGACAGTCTGCGTTCTACTTTCCAATGAAGGTTAGGCCTCATCATGATTTAACCAGGGACGCCGGGAGAGTGATGCAACTACTAATTGTTCCCGAAAGGCTCACTCCATTGTTTTAAACACCTTGAAAATCAATTGTCTGTTAGATAGGTAGTGTCCTTGGATCGTAGACAGTCTACGTTCTACTTTCCAATGAAGGTTAGGCCTAATCATGATTTAACCAGGGACGCATGGAGAGTGTTAGGATGGCCCTTTTAACCAATCAAAGTTGTCCCCCTACCATCTCTGAAAGGTGCCTTTTTTATGTACTTTGACACGTGTTCATTTTCTTTCCATGCAGTAACTAAATAATTGTGCATTACAAGACTTTGAAAAATACAATTTCAAAGATATTTCAATGCTAATTTTCTGTTGTATCATTATGTTTCTTATTGTGATTATCCTGTCATTGTTTATATTATGTGGAAAATGAAATAAATTCGCTCTGCAAAGAGCGACTTCTACTACTACTACTTTTATATTGAAGGTACTATGTCCCATTTGCAGGCCAAAAAAATGAAAAGGTTAAATTCCAACGGCATTTGAAAGATTATACTAATTTAGAACTTCCCTAAAGAAAGTGGGGCTTGAAAAAGTCTTCAAGTGGGAAAATAACGACTATTAGTTGTCAAATCGACTTTGGAGCTATAGAGCCAATAAGTAATAGTCTTGATTTTCAGACCATTGTACCGAATGGTCATACGTTTTATGCTGCGCAAAGATTCAATCAGTTTAATTTTGGTCATCACAAGAAGTGGGGAATTGATGTAGACAAATATGCTCATGTACCCTTTACAGCTCATTTTATGTATGTTATTACCAGAGAAGAAAAAAGCCAGTCAGTCACTCAATAGTGTCTGACAGTGAAGTCTAGCAAGTAAACGGGTTTCCTTGCATAGTTTGAATATTAGGACACTGCTAACGTTTAAATTTCACAGATAGTACATAGACCTAGTCTATATGACATATTCATAGTTCCTGCAAAGTTCTAAAGAATTTGAGGTTGGCTGCAAAAGGGACATAGTACCTTTAAGGGTCATTTTCCCTTCTGATAAGTTTCCCCTTTTCCTTACTCCATAACATGTGCCACAAAATGTAAAGCTACTAAGAGCTACTTTTTCCGAATTTCGCACAAACTCGCTCAGTACGCTCCCTTGTATTTATAATTGATGTAATTATGCAACTTATTGAAGGGCTTTTCGATCTTTCATTATGACATTGTGCTTGAAAACCCATCAAGATTGTTGTTGTTTTTGAACCGCTTTAAAGATCGTATTAGTCGCAATGCCAACAGCCACCTCACAAATCCTTAAATTTGTGCTCGCTCGCTTCGCTCAGTCACAAATGAATGTTCAGACCAGCATAGCCCATCGGGGGCTGGTCCACCCTGTGGCCGGGCAAGTCCGCCCACTGCGTCATGATTCTCAGTTTTGCAGTGATTGGATAAAACGTTCGCTGTTGATGTAATCAGCCATACCACACAACGAACAACGGCACGATTACGTGAGCTCTTTAAAGGTACTATGTCCATTTGCAGCCTACATAAAATTCTGTAGAACTTTGCAGGAATTATGAGCACGTCACCGTTGTCACGTATGTCCTTTCTGTGAAATATAAACGTTAGCAGTGTCCTTATATTTAAATTATGCAGACACTATTGAGTGACTTATTGACATTTTTGGGGTTATAACATACATAAAAATGAGCTGTAAAGGGTACATGAGCATTTGTCTACATCAATAACCCAATTCTTGTAATGGCCAAAATTAAACTGATTGAATCTTTGCACAGCACAAAACATACGACCATTCGATACGAGGGTCTGAAAATCAGACTACTATCAAAATAATTGCAGTCACTAAAGTCGATTCGACAACAGGTCGTTATTTTCCCACGTAAAGACACTTTCAAGCCCTTTTCATTTTGAGGAAAGTTCTAAATTAGTGTCCTTCTTTGCGGTTGGAATGTAACCTTTTCATGATTTTGTTTGGCCTGCAAATGGGACATAGTACGAAATCATGCGAAAATTTCCATTCCAAAGCCACGTAAGTAACACAAATTTTCATTGATAATAATAATAAAGTCATTTTGATATAGCGCATAATTATAAATTCTATATTACAATCAATTATACATGATTAATCTAAAGATTTAAATATGCATGAATTAACAGCATATCGTATACAATGCTGAGAAAATCACATATTTAATATAAATGGTATAAACTTATGAACACAATTATAATAGTTGAAAAATTACGATCTTATTGTAGTAAGGGAATAACATAATTAACAGACTATTGGACGAACATAAATGTCTTCAAAAGTGATTACATTTCTTGCTTCAACCGGATCTGCAGGAGACGCAAATCGGTCAGGATGGATGACAGGAAAAAGTTTTCTCAAGTTTCTGCAACACTTTGCAGCACACACCCTTTCATCACGAGAGACACCAATCATTCTCCTCCTTGATAATCACAAGTCTCATCAGTCAATTAAATGCTCTCAAATTAATTTGTTAAAGAGAATATGATCATCATGCTGTCAATCCCACCGCACTGCTCGCATAAATTCCAGCTATTGGATTTCTATATTTGGCCTACCGAAAAGCAGAGCAGGGGTGGCCCAGACTAGTTGGTTGCGGAACAACCCAGGAAAAGATAAGACGTTGTATGATGATATTCCCGGAATCGTCACAGAGGTATGGCAAGACACGCTCACACCGCGAAACATTATCCAATGATTCACCAAGACTCTGGTATATCATGCCATACAACCCAAATGTACGGTGTTCAATGAGGACGACGCATGTTGCCCCGTCAACGGTGACGGACAGATCGACCTGACCTAGCAGCAACCCAATCTAACCCTATGGCACGTCAAGCTCTAATGAACCATCAACAGTACAATCCTCCAGCAGACCTACATCACCGTCGTCTTCGGATGGCAAACGTCTCATACATCGAGCAGTGTTCATCCACCAACAGCATTAGAGCACGGATCAATCACTGACCGAACTACATGGCAAAGTTGCAGGAGATGGTCTTTTGAGATGGTCTCAGCATAGACGTAATACTCAGTGTGGTCTCATACATGCCGCCGCTGCAGTAGGCCTACAGGAAAGTCAGGATATGAGATTACCAGAAAGTGGACTTTCTGATGAGGCCATGGTCAATGAGCTCGTGTACAACGAGGCATATATAGAGGACTTTGCAGTTGAATCCCGAGATATTGTGAGTGAGTTTTATGCAAATAGGCCTAAATCTTCAACAGAGAGTACGACACGGCTTTAATATACATGCGACATTCTGATTCCTGTTTTGTGCAATGCTCTGCAAGTGACCTTTATCATTTATAAGAAAATCACAGAATAATGGATGTATTAAAGCAAGCACCCCGGCCCCTGGCCGTCCGGATGTTTCATCTAAGTTCACAATCTCGTTGGTCCTCAGGGTCCTCAGAGGGGAAGGTCATTGGTCTCTCGCCCTTATCCCAGATAGTGGATGGTGGATGTTGGTGGAATCCTGGTAGAAAGTGGAGATGACAGGCTTCGATCACCTGACACTTCTCAGGTCCAAGGTGCCGGGCGGGGGCGAATTATCACCAGAGATTGTGTTACCCTACCCATGTGCATTTCCACGCAAACGTTCAACGCGCACAGGAGAAAGCGGAAATCTGCCATCCTATCAGATACTCCTGTATGAAAGATGCCCCTTTTCTTTCAACAAATGCACATTTCCCTTTATTAATATTGCCCCTTTTTCATTCTCATAAGTACCTCTTTTCATGATTGGTTAGTGCCCCTTTTCAGATGCGATAAGTGCCCCTTTTCACCTCTGATAGTTTCCCTTTTAACAATGATGCGTGCCCCTCTTCCTTTCTATACCAATATCGTAAAAATTGTATATTTTCGCTTTGAGATTTCCCTTTGAAGGTGCCCTTTTCCCGAAAATCCCCTCTTTTGTTGGTACCCCCCCCCCCCCGCACTTTGGAAGTCGCTCCGCCGCCTCTGCCTACTAGTCTATCTATATTCACGTTCAACCAACGTGAAGATAGATAGACAAATATGAAATAATCCGGATAATATCCATATAATTATAACAAGCCTGTACGACCTTCAGCATTTTATCGTATTATGTTCTTCTTATTTCTTATTTAAGTGACAACTGAGATTTGTTTTCTTTACATTGTTGCACTTGTTTTTCAGTAAGAAGAAGGAAACAATTTGTTTGTCATGTTAACAAACTGTAATTGGTAATAAAAGATGTATGGCATGAATTTCTGGTGTTTTTTTTTTGTTTCTCTACCAGGAATCCCACAAAAAGCATCCTTTACAAAACATTACCAATCACGCAAAGTGATTTTATTCATTTGTTTTGTGAGAAACCATTGAAAGAAATGCCAAGAAAATGGTGATATGTAATATATCATCGTATTTAGACGTGGTCACACGATGTGGCCCTTTTCAATACAGGCCTATGGATTTGTTATGATAACTGTCTCTTTGTTATTCAACTTCAATACTAGTGGCAAAGGTTTAATAGTTGAGCGCATTTAATTCAAAATGTCAGTGTAGTGGTGTTTTTATGTGTTAACAATACAGACAAACAAATCTGAAGGCATTATATTATTTCATTTGCTATGCCCTACACTGCCATTTTGAAGAGTATAGGTCAAAAAAAATAGTCGCGGATAAAGTGGTTAGTTGTAGTCGTTGGTCAGGTGAAACCGTTTACTTGTTCTGCGCTCAGTACGCCTGGTTCGTACAGCTTATTGCAATTTGTTCTCCATACTACATGCTGGAAATTATTTTGTTGACTGTCCATATGTTCTTCAAAAGCTGCACCGAGCCTTTCATACTTCATCATCATGACGGTTGCAGCGGGAAAAATAAGTTGTGTAAAACTTAGTTTAAGCTGCTCACTGGCCTATACAGTACCCGCGGGGGGTAAAAATATTTAAGATTTGTGAGGTCGCATTGCGAGAAATTACATCTTATAAAGAGGAAAAACCCAACTTACTGGTGGGGTTATAAGCACATTCTCATAACAGCAGACTGAAAAGACCTTTGATAAGTAACATAATCATAACATCTATAAATGTAAGCGAGCGTAGCGCGCGAGCTTTGGGGGATATTGCTCTTAGTCGCTTGAAATTAGGGGCACGTTTAATGATGGGAGGAAAAGGGGACACTTATTAGAAAAGAAAAGGAGCACGTGTCAAAGTACAAAGGGTAATTATCAGAGGTGAAAATGGGGGCACTTCTTAAACCTAAAAAGGAGGCACTCACCAGGGATGAAAAGGGCACTTATAAGAATGTGAATATGGGCATTTGTCGACGGAAAAAAGGCAACCATCAGATTTTGATTTCAGATTTTTATTTATGAAAAAGGGATGGTTCCTTATAAGAAAAGAAAAGGGGCACGTATCATTGTTAAAAGGGTAATTATCAGAGATGAAAAGGGGCACTGACCATAAATGAAAAGAGGCACTTATGAGAATGAAAAGGGGGCACTATAAGGGAAATGTGTATTTGTTGAAAGAATTGTTATGAGAATGGAAAATGGACACTTATTGCAAGGAACATGGGAACTTGTCGAAAAAATAGGGGCACTTGTCACTTAAAAGCGCACTTTGTATGTAAAAAGGGGCACTTCTTACAAAGTTAAAGGGGTACTTTTCCTATGTAAAAGGGGGCACTTTTGGGGTACTTGAAACATTGGGGGCACTGTGATCCTCCTGCCCCCCCCCCCCCCCCCGAGAGCGCCGCCTCTGCTCATATATAAGGACATACGGGGGGTGTCGCTCTAATGGGTCTCTTTTCACACAAAAATCCCCAAACACGCTCTTACAAAAAAAAACTGAAGGGTAAATTGAATAATAAATGAAGGGTAAATTGAATGGTATACCATTGATTTTACCCTTCAAAATTTACCAAATTGGTATCATTCAAATACCAATAAGATACCCTTTGAATTATACTCTGCCACTGAAATACCCTTCAAATTACCCTTCATTTTTTATTACCCTTCACCACTCAAATGGTATCATTCAAATACCATTAAGATACCCTTTGAATTGTACTCTACCACTGAAATACCCTTCAATTTACCCTTCATTTTTTTTTACCCTTCACCACTCAAATGGTATCATTCAAATACCATTAAGATACCCTTTGAATTATACTCTACCACTGAAATACCCTTCAATTTACCCTTCATTTTTGTTTACCCTTCACCACTCAAATGGTATCATTCAAATACCATTAAGATACCCTTTGTATTAAACTCTACCACTGAAATACCCTTCAATTACCATTCACCATTCAGATTACCCTTCATTCACCCTTCACTTTTTTGTAAGGGTGGGTCCCACTTTTAACAAAAATACCATTAAAAATTATATAAGTGTAAGCGGCTTGATAAAAACTACCTGTATCCAAGGGTAAGACTAAGAGCGATCTCGGATCGAGCACGTTTTATCTGCATAAATCCATAGACCTAATAAGCTTTATTTCTTTTGTCAAACTTAAGTTATCATCTTTACATTAAAAATGAATTTAGTTGGAACACGAATGTGTGTTTTAGCCAACCGAACAATACTGGGAAGCAGGGAATTCGTCACCACAAAGTCACAGTGTGGAGCGGCAAATTACTGTCATCCAGCGGCGGCACGCATGAAGAGCCCCGGAGCTTCGGCGTATTTCAGTGGTAACTATCGCTGTACTTCGTCTATTGCTAGCCTGTGTGGATGCGAATGCACGAGGGCGAGGAGTGTGAAAAATGTTGATGCAATGGCAATTAAATCATATCATTGCACCAATTTGACCACCAGGTTTGACACAAAATACTCTCGATCAAGATCGAGGTATTCAGACTTTTGGAGACTGGGCAAAGTAAATCCTGATCAAGATTTAACTTGTTTGGAATGTAGGTCTAGTAATGTCAATGAATTGAACAGCAAAATCGATTTCAGTGGACCTAGTAAAGTAGAAAATCAGTTCAAAGTTCAAAGTTGCTTGAGGAATGATTTGGTTTTATCATATCTACCTCAAAGAATGTGTAAGTCTGGAACTTTTCATCCATTCACATCAGGTGCCAAGTACTCTGTTGATAATCTCCAATTAATAAGTCCAGGAATTAGTGGAGCTAGGAAAGTAAACAAGTGTCACAATTTGACGGTATGGAGGACCTTCAGAGCTTATTCTGGTTGTTTTGCAAAGGATAGCAATGACAGCAAAGACGGTTTGGTTGATGAGGAGCTCCATGAGGAAGGAATTGAGGAATGGATCCATCCTGATGATAGATCAGATTTAATCTTAAATAAAGATGCAGAGTTGAAGTCCTTGCTGCGTGAGCTTGCATCAGACTTTGGAAAGGAGGCACTACAGGGTGCAGACGATCCAGAAAACAGGACAACTGAAAATATGGAAGATGAGTCCAAGTCTGGAACCAAGCTGGAGGGAGATGTGAAGATGAAGACATTTGATACTGAAGGACTTGAAACATTTGAACCAATCAGTGCTGAAAGAGGTAATTGTAAAAGAACTTAAAGCTTAATCTGTACTAGTTTATAGGAGGGATTAGACCGCCCTGCATGGTCACAGGACAGGTGGTTCAACTCAGCTCTCAGTTAACATAAGAAAAAGAGTATCATGGGGGACCAATGGTCACCAATTAGGCATTGTTTTCTATATAGAGGAAGCAAGTAGCTACAAGTAGGACAGTGTGGCTTTAAAGGAGGATGAAATTATATGCAAGGTATTATTATTCTATTTAATATGTTTCATTGAGTTTTTGAGGGGTACTCCTAGACTTTTCCTTAAAGGGAGATCCAACCTAGTGATAGCAAACTACACTAAAACAAAGAAGAAACATTAGAGAAGCAAACTGGTGAAATTTCAACAAACTCAGACAAACAAAAAGTTATGTGAATATTTCAAAACTTTCTCATTTGTTCCAACACACAAAATGACTAAACTGTAAATTTGTTCAATGACTTTGACTCGGGAGTGTCTCTTTTTTTTTTAGCAACCTTTAATATTAAATGTGCTATTCACAAATTGGTGTTTTATCTTCTTCAGATTCATCCTATGGAGAGGAAGGCCACAATGCTGGAATGTAAAAAATTTACATCGTAAATTGTAAAAATTTACATTGTAAATTGTAAAAGTAAATGCTATATATTTGTTCATATATCTACTTTCGTTCTCCCTCACCTTTTGTTTTCCATAGAAGAACAGCGTGAGAAGAAGTTTGTATTAAGCATCGATGATCTTGTCTCCATTCTGAGAGACGAGAATGCCCAAGACATCTGTGTCATTAACATCCCCAAGAAGAAACAATATGTTGACTACTTTGTGGTTGTGACCGGTAGATCTCCTAGACATCTTAAGGCAATGGCTCTCCATATCAATCAACAGGTTAGTCTTTTATCTAGGCTTGAACACAATACTGGATATGTTTTGAAAAATGTGTCCCTATCAATATTTAATATTATGATCATTATTATTTATTTTATTTATTTTATTTATTTTATTATTTAAATGAGTAGTACCAGCAGTAGTATAATTATTGTTGTTCTTCTTCTTGTTCTTCTTCTTGCTCTTCTTCTCCTTCTCTTTCTTCTTTGCAGTAATAGAAGTAGTAGTAGTGGTAGTTGTAGTAGACCTCCTCCTCATCATCATCACCACCATTATTATTAATGATTTCAAATTAAGATGAAAGTTACCGGGCAACCAATCCTAGATTACAGTGACAAATTTCCATCATAGATTTTTTTTTTAAATAGATTTAAAAAGTGTGAAGTGACCAATGTATTAATGTAAGTGATAATTGATTTAGTCACAGTGACATAATGATGACGTCAAATTCATGTAGTTACTTTAATTCTTGCATTTCACCATCTTCAGTATAAATCCAGAAAGTCCCGAGAGGATCCTTTTGTTCTGGTGGAAGGGGAAGGCACAGATGACTGGATATGCGTCGACTTTGGTAAGAGTACAAACTTGTGTAGCTTTTTCATTTGACAGTGTTCTGATTAGGTAACAGTGTGTACTCATACATAGGGAAATGGATTGTTTATTTGAACATTTAAAAAATAGGAAATTGTGAAGAATTTAAATCCAGGAGAGAGAATGAAAGAAATAATAATGGGGGACCGGGGGTATATTGTAACAAACTTCTGATAACAATAAAAAAAAAAAACAGACAACCGTGAATGAAAGTAAATTACTGATCGACAGAAGATGAGGTGAAGAGAAACAACAAGATGGCATATCATGCCAATAACTCTTTGTTTTGCAAAACATATTTTGATCTCCATGAATAATGAAATGTTTTCACCTGCCTTTGTGTTCATAATACTATGTAAGATTATTTGATTGATTTCAAGTGGATCACACCTAACACTGTATAATTTGACTCAGTGGACCATGTTATTGTGCCCCTGTTCCTTCAGAAACCATGAACTATTGTGGCTACTATTCCTGTCTGGTAATATCAGATGTATTTCCTTATTTGCTCTTCAATATTACAAGTGCTTGATGAAGATATTTGAACTTGTTGAAGTCATCGCTTGAAACTTTCTCCTTATAGTAAAAGTATATGTAGGCAAGTAGCCTTGAAACTTTGACACCAAGATATCACCAGTAGATATGCCAACTCATGAAATCCATGCGTGTTGTTTGTGTATGAACAGGTAATATTGCGCTGCATATAATGTCAGAGGAGACTAGAGAGTTCTACGAGCTTGAGAAGCTGTGGACCCTTGGACCTGAATATGATGACCAGCTCAGACGACTGAAGGAACATGAGATCAAGGTGCAAGAGACTCTGGACAGTGTGGATGTTGGAAGGACAAGCAACAAGGAACAGGAGGGGAATGATGATGGCAAACCAGTTCTATCATTTGCTAGATGAAGCTGCCCGGGAAGACAATTTGGACTGTATGGATATGATATGACAAGGATTGGTAGAGGTACTTTGGACTGGATAAGAATGGGATTTCTGTTGAGAATCATGTGCCTGTGGAGTCTACTGATATTCAAGTAATTAATACAAAATGTCAATAATTCAAGCTAACTTATAATTAAGTGGTAATAAGGACCACAACAAAGACTATTACGGTATGCAATTTATACATGGTATAGAGGATTGCAATTCAGATACGATTAAAATTGTCAAGGTAATCTGATATTTCTTCTCAGTGATCTTTTCAGAGCTAAATGTTTTTGTAGTGTTTTTTTGTTAAGCTCTAGTGTATATTCTTCCCCACTGTGTACAGTTTGCACTCCTCAGGACAACACCAACAACCAGGGGTGGTGATTTCTTTTCATGACGGGGGGGGGGGGGACAAAATGTGGGATTTTCTACAATATTTACTAGTACATTTTGAAGGAGAGTATGCGAGGAAGCGTAACGACTGAGCGAGAAGATTTTTTGCATTTTTATTAGTCTATACGCTCCACTCCTGGGCCATCCAGAACTTCAAGTTGTACATGCCCCCCCCCCCCCCCCCCCCCCCGGGATTGCCGCCCCTGCCAACAACGCACCTAGTAGGTTTTTAATAGCTTTCAACAGCTGTCCATGCAATAACGGTTTAAACTGGGCCAAGTACAGTATATCTCGAGTTCCCGACCCTTGTTTGAAGAGAAAGGTGGTGATAATGGCAAAAGTGTGATTCTATTGTGAGCAAGCAAACCCTGGATATCTCAATGTCACCAATAGCATTTATCTGATTAATGTAGAATTTTTTTCTGCTGCGAAGCAGTGTAAAGCATAATATGTGCCTAGATTGACCTTTATTCTTATTTTTATTTTTAAAATAATTTATATATACAATTTCACAAGAATTTTAAGTTTCAGTTTTTAATGTTTGAGATATTAGGGTCATTTGTGTCAAAAATCATGCCAGTCATTGTAAACCATTATTAGTATGCTAATGGTTATATTGGTCTTTTTATGATTTATAACATAACACTGGAATTTATTTCCTTTCTCTGAAGGTTAGTGTTATTAAATTCAGGAGCTGTTTGTGAACTTAGATATGACCGAATGGATAACTATCTTTTGACATTTTGTGTGATGACAAATTAACCAGTGATTTCCAATGAAAGCTCTTGTACATAAATGTCTTGCTTTATCTCAAACCTGAGGAATATTGTATTTCTTTTCATAGCCTACCTTTTCCTTTGTCTCTCTCCCACATTAAGAATGCTTGCATATTTAACTGGGCATGCACTAAATTTTCATTAACTATAGTTTACTCATTCAATAGGGCTTCATCACTTTTTCGTTTTTCAAAATTCAGAATTCAATATTTTCCCCAAATGAAATTGTTGTCTCTTGAAGTTTGTAGTTTGTTACAGCCAGCTTTACTTTATTCTACATATATTCTTTTGTCATGTGTAAATATGCAATATTTGTTTGTTATATATTTGTAAAAATGCAAAAGAAAAAGAAAATCAAATATAGTACATATCACAAACACGTCCCAATACACTGTAAAAGAAAGAATATTGAGAGGGGTAAGATAGACTCGGTGTACTTCCTCAAAGGTAAAGTTGAGTTCTGGTCATGCGATTGCTATGTGAAAAAAAATGGTGTGGAATTGATCAGAAAAGGTTGATCATCTAGCCGATATATATATATGAGTATCAGTGTGTACTGCAAGGTTCTGGAATCCTCAAAATGATAAGAAATTTGGCATAGTCTTCGTAAAGTTACAAGCACTGTACACATAAATATGTATATGTGACTACATGAACATGTGGCATAAAAATCTGTCCCGATTTGTATTCTGTTACATGCCATATTTAGAATATTAAGGCATTTGAAGAGCCATAGATTTCAGGGAACATGTTTTATCTGATGTTCTTCCACACTTGCATAATAACAATGATAACGCTCACAAACTATTTTTCACCTCTTCCCAGAACTCAACCTTCTGTTTAAGTCGATCGTTTCTAAAAAAGAAACATTTTTAAAACCTTTTAAAAGACATGTTTTAATTTTGTCAATGGTATGATATATTTGAAATATTATACTCTAGCAATTCATTCCAAGGCTCAGCTAATGCAACCTGAGAGATGGCCTGTGCTTCCCCTGATGATGTTAACTGGCAGTACGGACCCATTCAAAGTGCCTCACTAGCAAATGAATAATCTTGTTAATTTTATATGGTTTAGATTTGTTGGCTATTTAAAGAACAAAATTATTTCATTTGATGGTAATAAGTATTGTTTCTTTGAGATTATGTGATTATGAGTTTTTATCATCTGTAAGCTGATGAGTTGTGTTTGCTTTGTTTTATTCAACCCTTTATGTGGGTATTGCCATCTTGACTAGCATGTTGCTTGTCTTTCTCAAAGTGGTTTGTACACGATTTGTCTTCTATGCAACTGGATGAAAATACTTTGTTTAAAGGTAATACAAAGTTTTGGTATGGGGTAATGAATTTGGTTCAAATGAACATATTGGAAGCATATGCAATCCTACAATATTTAGTGATCGTTGTCGCGGTTGAAATCGAGTCTAAAGTGATGAAATTGTAAATAATATACTCTTTATATTGTAAAGCGCCCTCTCAAGGTCAAGATATTAATTTAGCTATAAAACAATGTTATTTGACTAAAATCGACCGATTTGCTATTAACGTTTGGAATATATATATCAGATCTGCATATTTTGATATTTGTATGGTCGCAGCTACCATCGTCTGGCCGTAGGCCCTATTTCAAATTTATCAAAATTTACCGGGAGCACCGGTAAATTTTTATATTCAATTTTTCTCGAAAGCAGAAGAGTTTTAGGGGCTAATTTTTTTAGTGCTTATAATACATCCATAGAGGCATCCAAATATATCAAAATTGTAAAGAATCACTATCCAGCCAATTTTCAAAATTTACCAAAACTTTGTAATACCTTTAACCCCATTTTATTTATCATCTTGTGGTTTGTTCATAAGTTTGTCGATAGATGTCTTCATGTAGGTTTGGTTTGATTTTCATTTGGTCAAATATACTAATCATCTACCTTATTTGGTTTAATGCATGTATTCAGGTGGGTTTTTTTTAAAGCCGTATGTAACCTTCGGAGATGAAAAAATCCTCTTAAGATATTAGGAAATCTTAAGGAAGAGAAGAGAGAGAGAGAGGGGGGGGAGAAAGAGAGAGAGAGAGGGGGAGAAAGAAAGAGAGAGAGGGGGGAGAAAGAGAGAGAGAGAGAGAGAGAGAGAGAGAGAGAGAGAGAGAAGGGTCGGACTGGGAATGTTTAGAAAATCCAATAAAATATCAACGGAACAAAAATTGATCTACTTTCTGATCCTTAGTTTTATGAGAGTTTTCACTGACTTTCATTGATCTGTTTCATCTTTCTGATATGATTACTGGCATCAGGGTCTCCTTTAATTACCAGCATTTTACATCACTGATCAGGGTTCGGCTTACAAAGAGTTACGATTGATCCTGATAAATCGCAAGTCCTCTAATCTATCGTAAGTGTGCTGCAGTCCCCCATCTATTTTGTACATAATTACGATTCATATCAATCGCAAATTAATTGCGTTTGATATAAACTCTTTATAAGACGGGGGCCAGGACCAAACAACTATAACGTTAGACTATCTATACAAGAAAGCAATCGAGCAATACACCAAATGTTGATAGATATTTGGCCAAATTCGACAAATGAGTGCGCAAAGGAGTCAAAGTGGCAAAGTGGTAAGACTGAATGTATTTCATTAAACGCACAACATTGATGTAATATGCATATGAGTTCAAGTGATGATAATTACAACATGAAGCATCAGCCAGTAATTGCAAAACTCCAGAAAGTAAGGAAGTAACTGGTGTACTACATGTATACAAAAGAATCTTCAAAATTTAAACCGGTTATGGATATCACCTGGATATCACTGTGATTGCTTCCAGATATGAAAATTACTTTTCTATGCCGAGTGGTTTGATTTGTTTTATAGAGTCTAATGCACTTTGAAGTCTGCTGTTATTCCCCCACTATCTCTCCCCTGTCGAAAGATGGCGTTTTCACAAAATGACAATGCACGTTTGAAGCTGAACTCTGTGTATCACGTGTATTAATTTAGGTACCCAATACAAACCCCTAGGCCTAGGCCTACAGTAGATAAGTTGTATTGCCGATCGGTTTGACTGTCTGAGACTGTTGGTGCAAGCTGTTTGGAGAAGCTGCAGTATATTTGTAGTCTTTATCTTCTACTTGTACAACGAGAACGATTAAAACCTTGTAACAACGCTGAAATCACATTTGAAATCAAGATGCCTGGTACAAAGCCATTTGAACGTCTACCAACGAGTGTCATTCCTGTCAATTACAAGATTCAGCTCCAACCTGATCTGCAAAAGTTCACCTTCGCTGGCAAGGAAACCATTTCAGTTCAGGTAAATTTAGACTAAAAAGTTAGAGAGATCCAGTTTCAAGGAAATTGTTTTAAGTTAGGCTAGATACTAGATAGTCAAAACTCAACCAACCAACCAAAAACAAGATGATATAAATATAGACCTCTAGCTAGCCGTCTAGGGCTAGGCCTACTTTGGACTCGCAAATAAAGCACAAAAAAATGAAGTCAAGCATTTGGTTTGGCATAAAAATATTAATAAATCATGTCTTTATGATTGAATCAATTCCTAGACTATACAGTGTAGATATATCCACTGCTAAGAGAGATGATATAAATATAGACCTCTAGCTAGCCGTCTAGGGCTAGGCCTACTTTGGACTCGCAAATAAAGCACAACAAAAATGAAGTCAAGCATTTGGTTTGGCATAAAAATATTAATAAATCATGTCTTTATGATTGAATCAATACCTAGACTATAGATATATCCACTGCTAAGAGAGATGATATAAATATAGACCTCTAGCTAGCCGTCTAGGGCTAGGCCTACTTTGGACTCGCAAATAAAGCACAACAAAAATGAAGTCAAGCATTTGGTTTGGCATAAAAATATTAATAAATCATGTCTTTATGATTGAATCAATACCTAGACTATAGATATATCCACTGCTAAGAGAGGTCTGGCTGCTTTTATAGGCTCAAGGGGACGTTGCATCCTGCCATGATCCTGAGACGCCCCTGGGTGCCGGGTGGGCGCCGCCGAGGGGTCCCTGAGATATCGGCCAGAGCTCAAATATTAAAACAGTCGATGGGATATAGATCTAGGCCTAGCGTCCTATACCGAATTGACACAAACATCTACCAAGAATTCTTACTTACAGTGTAGATCTAGGCCTACTTACTTTACTTTGGTTTACTTTGGTGTTGCTTGAAGCTTCAGCTTATATGTGCCCCTCTTTACTGCATTAGATTCGCGTTGGTATGGGCCTTATCCTTCTTGAGTAAAGATCGGTTAAAACATCACAGAAAATCTGAGACACTGTATGTTAATCTTCGCTGAAAAGATGACTGAATGTTACAATCATTTGGGAATCGCAGACAAAAAGCACTGTATGGTATCCGCGCTCGCACAATGTAAGTTTTAACACGTAAACCAATGGGGATATCATCAAAATTTTACTATTTTCCCAGTAGATCTACCTGGAATCTTTAGGGAATCACACTCGTGAACTATTAACCGTTACTGGCATTGTTTGTTTCTTTACGGGAATGGCTAGAATCACGACTCCAATTTCGACTAATCAGATGGCTAGATTTCTAAAGAGATGTATAATTAATATTAGACTCTAGTCTATGTCTAATTATTATTATTTCCTGTATATTGTCTCTTTGTTTTATTCAGGTTAAATCCTCTGTGGATAAAGTGGTTCTGAACTGTTTGGATATTGTCATCCAGAAAGCTGTCTACACTACCAATGGGCAAGGTACATTTAATCTCTTCTGTATATCATTATCAGTCCATCAAGGACAAACAGTCCATATTTTGCACACATAGGTGCATTACTATCCTGGCTCCGTATTAAAACCTGTGCTATTGATTCTCAACATCTCAAACACCACTGTACAAAACTCAACTGATTTCATTCAAAATCGGTACTTCAGTGACAATTGATGACGCCTAAATACCAGTAAAATACAATTTTTCAAATTTCCGATGTTAGAAAGAATAATTAAAAAATTCAAATTGTGAGTCTACTGTCAAACTTGCTGATCAGCCTCATCGGCATGATTGTGTACATTTGTGTGTTGTGTGTGTATTGACTATTCATGTATTCAAATGCTGCCTATCAACAAGTAGTGCAGTGCTAGAGGTCAATATTAGCATCGACCCTCTATGCTTTGCTGGAGTGCATATTTTGTTGTTACTGCTCATATGGTTAATTTACTTCGACTATGAAAGTGAATTATATGTAATAATTAAAGATATGTTTTATTATGTTTCTGTACAATGAAAAGACCTCCTGCAACATTTAAATATCTCTCTTGCCATCAATGTTTATTCCTACTCAGAAACGAGCAACGCATCCATCGATTACAGCAAAGAGAATGAAACCGCCACTCTTACATTCCCCTCACCCCTTGCTGTCGGCAGCGGTGATCTGGCCCTGGAGTTCACAGGAGAGCTCAATGATAAGATGAAAGGGTTCTATCGAAGCAAGTACACCACACCAGCTGGTGAAGAAAGATACTGTGCTGTTACTCAGTTTGAGGTTAGTGACACAATGCTCTCGCTTCATTTACCACTTTGAATAAAGTTTATGAAGTTTCAGTTAAATTCAAATCAAATGACTTCATACTAAATTTATTTGTAGTCTCCATGTATTTAATTAGTCATGTAAAAAAAAAAAAGCGTCTGATTTTGACTTTTGAGTAGGGAATTAACTTAGCAGGCTGTTAGTGAAATACTGTGCTGTTTGGACAGGTTTTTAAAAGGTTCCTCACATTTCTCTTATTCTATTATATGAATTGAGAATCATTGAGACGTGCCCATTTATACGACATGACTTGTATAATTTTTCATTTTATATGTATTCTATATTTTTTGTAAAATGTGGAACATTAAAACTTGAAACTTGATATTAAGATTGCTTGTTAGTTTTGGCATTATGCAAGCTGGTCATGAAAAAATCATAAAATGTTGTTGTTTTGAAATGCTAGCAGGTTACTTTGTTCATTTATTAGTTATGAATGATATTTGATCATGAATTTTGATATTCATTAGTGCATTTTGCATATTTGACCATTACAAAGAGTGGAGGCCTTTTTATCCTCATTGTATGTTTTGAAATTTCATTTGTTTATAGTCAACAGATGCACGAAGAGCGTTTCCTTGCTGGGATGAGCCTGCAGTTAAGGCGACCTTTGACATCACAATGGTGGCACCCAAGGATAGAGTAGTGCTTTCAAACATGGTAAGACTGCAATTCTAATTAATTACAGGGGTCAATTAGTATTGATTCAATTACATAATAAAAACAGTAACATCAACATAAAGTAATTATAAAAGAAATATTACTTACACATAATTATTATTAAAATAGTAAAAAATTGACAGTAACAAAAAATAGAAATTCGGTTGCTGCAAAAAACCCTAATGGGTTTATCTGGACAGCCACCACAAAGAGTAAAACTAGTAAAAGAATCATACAAAATGATATATGAACCGATAACCAATATGATACAATAACAAAAACAACAACAAAACAAAAGAACCAAAAAAGCCAAAACAAAGTAGAACATGAGCAAAAACAAGGGGTTGATAATAAATATGATGAAATATGGTAAAGAAGTAAACAATGCAGTTCAATCTCATCTGTGGAACTGCATTTGAACAGATTTCAGGAGTATAGTGCAATGAACTGATGCTTAAACATTTCTCACCCATTGGGTGTTGCATCAAGATTATTATTTGGTTGACTTTTTTGCATTTGCCTCATTAATATTTTTTATTTAAACTGGGAAAGTAGCAAACGTGTGATTGAAAGTAATATTTGTTAAAGATGTCCATTGATTTTCTACAAAAAATTGAAATGAATAAATAAATGAATGAATTCTACCTCCTCTGAGTAATTGTTGTAAATTTCATTCCTTCATTAGAATTCCATCAGTGATGAGACTAGCCCTGATGACCCCAGTCTTAAGGTCGTGACCTTTGGCACCTCTCCAATCATGTCAACCTACCTCGTTGCATTTGTAGTGGGCGAGTTTGACTTTGTTGAGGGGAGGTCTGCTGATGGGGTTGATGTTCGAGTTTTTACACCCCTTGGAAAGAAGGAACAGGGAGAATTTGCACTGGAGGTAAGATGCTGCAACATTCTCGGTTTACTCCTAGACAAGGCCTGATACCTACAAGGCCCCAGTGGCAAACAGCTATCTGAATTTCACAATGACCCTCTCCCCTTCCCCATCCCCCCCCCCTATTTTTTTAAATCATGCTCTCATGAGGAAATCAGTGTGGAGCCTTGCCCTGGTATAATATCATGCTTCTATTACCAGTAAAACTGAACTGTCATGGAAAAAATGCTGGTCTTTTTTTTATTTAAAACTAAATGATAATAGTTAAGTATTCTAGGAGATAAATTTAGTAAAACTCTACATTCTGAACGGTTGGGGTGGAGGGGGGGGGGGGGGGGGGAGAGAGTTACATACCCAAGTACATAAGAAATTCTGTTTTTCATTCATTGGTACCCTGTGATTTCCCAGTCCAAAAGCCTTAACTCTGGGTCGTAGGTGCACTAGCCAAAGTAGAATTAAAGAGACCCATCTTATAAAAACTCTGTGTTTTATCTAAATCTATCGCAATCCTTCAAATCAATTGTAAACTAACTAATTGATACCCATATCTTGGAATGATATCAAACTCTGGTTTAGTAATGCTAAGCGAGGGATGCGGATCAATTCAGAGTTGCAGGCCAGTATAACGACCCAAAAAGCTGACCACACAAGTCCTCATATTGACCGGGCATGGTGGCTCAGTGGCTAGAGCGCCCGCCTTCATGAACGGGAGGTCGTGGGTTCAGACCCCAGCCGAGTTATACCAAAGACTTATAACAATGGGACCTTCTGCCTTCTAGCTAGGCGCTCAGCATATTAGATTGGAGAAGGGTAATAATAGCTTATTATGTTATGCAGGGCCCGTTGGAAGAGCAGTTTAATAACTGAAGTGGCTACCCTGTGTTAATAAAACGTTATTGATATTATTATTATTATTATGTTGTTGTTTGTGCATGTAGGTTTCTCTGAAGACTCTGCCATTCTACAAGGACTACTTCAAAGTGGCCTACCCTCTACCAAAGATTGATCTCATAGCCATTCCTGATTTTGCAGCTGGAGCCATGGAGAACTGGGGCCTTGTGACATACAGGTATGGTGGAGCAGGATCCCTTCTGATCGGAACAAATTTTTTATTTTTATTTTTATTTTTTTTGTTGACTTTATTTATGCGTTCAAATAACAAATACAAGGTTAGGCGCAATAGCTCTGTGGGTAGAGCAGTGGTCTCGTAATCCGGCGACCCGGGTTCGAAACCAAGTCAATGCACTAGTGCCCTTTGGTAAGGCAGGTCTATCGGAGAGGACCTAAAGCCGTCGGTCCTCTGGTTGCTTACTAACAAGCATTTATGCTTTCTAAGCAGTTAGGTAAAATAACCACCAATACTACTACTACACAGGTTATACATTTTTACATAAGTATTACATACAAAGCAAATCATGTCTAATAATATTATACAATAACCATAATACAAAGTATACAAACAAGTATAATGGATATTTGTATATATTTGTCATTGAACTAAAGAGATAAATTTTAGAATGCAGGAGACCGCCATTGTGAGCCGTTAGGCTGGAAATGGATGGTGGCCTCATGAAAAAATGAAGAAAAAAAAGACTCGGCAACAAAGCTCTCGCGGTAAAACCTAGTGATCAAGTGGGTCCTGAACACTCCCTGAAACCCAGCCCTATATTCACAAGTGCAGTATGAGGTTGTTGAATTTTGTCGGGGGGGGGGGGGGGGGGGTTGTATTGCTGCAATTATATATTCCATTCATTTTTCTACAGAGGTAGTGTGCTTTATTTTCATGTACATGAACATGCACTTAAAGATAATGTTTTTTGTTCACTTTTCATCCTCTTATTTGCCTCCCCCTTTTTCTCTTGCTTGAATATTATATCATTTGTTTCATACTCATGTTCAGCTTTCTTATGCTTTATAAACTCAAACTTGTTTTTATTTCAGAACGACAGCCTTGCTAGTGGACATCAAAAATTCATCAGCAAAGGCAAAGCAGTGGGTTGCAATTGTTGTTGGTAAGTCTAATACTGAAGTATTAAGAATTTAAATCTGGCCACATCCTGTGGAATGAGAATCTTCCTGTACACTTGCAGTGAAATAATATGATATATACACTATCCTACTTGTAGCTACTTGCTCCCTCTATATAGAAAATAATGCCTAATCAGTGACCAATGGTCCCCCATGATCCTCTTTTTCTTATGTAATTGAGAGCTGAGTTGATTAGATAACCACCTGTCCAGTGACCGTGCAGGGTGGTCTATAAACTAGTACAGATAAGCTTTAAAAGAATATATGTTTGACGTAATGTTGAGTGAGAAAACATCTTGATTCTTAATGATTTAATGGTGCAGTAGGGTTCAGATAAGCAGGAGTTGGTAGTAAATGTAACACAGTGGAATAGTCATTGCAGCCTGTATAATGAAACTATGCCAATCCTCCCCTTGTAATATTACAGATCCATTTTAATCTTCTTTGTCTTTTAGTTTAATAACAATAGTTTATGTCCATGTACTTTAAACTTATTCCCACACTATCACTGCTGCCTTGACATTTCTTGTACTTAAGAATCCCCTCAGGAAACTAGGTAATGGGCCCTGGATGTAATGTTTATTTGTTCTGTTATCAAAAGCAAAGTCCACCTTTGTTTGTTGATGATGACCCTAACGTATGTATATAGTCAATAAAAATTCTTGCTTTATCCAATATTCACACTCTAACATGTGTATATGGTCAATACAAACTTTGGCTGGAATATGTACATATAGATGTATTATATTTACTAACTCGCTGCAGTTAAATCAGTAATGAAAGACATATCAAATCAAGTGAAGACCCACCATAAAGCTTTTACACAAAAGGCTGAATGCTTCTAATATACTTTTTTTTTTAATTGTATAGAATAGGTTCACATTTAGTTACTTTATTAGTATGCCATAATTTTGAGTTTTCTAAAGTTAATTTTTAGAATGTAAGGCATTATATCAAGAATAGCAACCAAAATCAAACTCAGTAAGGAAAGGAGTCAAGCTTCTCTGTGTATCTGGAGTTCTCAAAATACAAGACACGGGCAAAAGTACTCAAAAGATATGACATGCATCACAAAAAAGAGACAAAAACAAAAATATGTTTTGATGGAGATGAAACAAACCATCTTCCTGCATCTTAAATAAACCTCCAGGGCTTAAATTAATCCAAGGCCACAAAGGCCATGGCCTTGGATGCCCCTTTGATTGGCCTCGATGCCCCTCTCATTGGCCTTGGAGATTTGTTGTGCCCTTTCCAATTCTTCCTATTTGTGCTGTAATGTGCCCTACAGAAAAGTGGCCTTGCCCTAAAAATATTGAAATTTAAGGCCTGACTCTGATAACACAGTGGCACCTGCATTGATCCCTTGTTCAATATCTTCAGTTTGTTTTTCTCTTTTCACACTTTCATTATGTTTACACAGCTTTCAAACTTTGATTTGCAAAGAAAAGTACATTTATTTATATATTAATGTGTATTTGTCACCTTACCTTTGCTGTATTGTTTTTTTGTTGGTGCTTTTATTATTTTTTATGCCAAGTTTTAACACAAGCCCTACATGCAGTTACAGTATACAAAACTTTTAACTCATCTGTCTTTCAGGTCATGAATTGGCTCATCAGTGGTTCGGAAACTTGGTCACCATGGTAACTATATTTTTATCTTATCTTCTAACTTCCCTTTTGCACAAAATTTAAATTGCGTTTTAACATTAGCTGTGTTAACCCTTACTGTGCTTGGGGGGGGGGGCCTAGGAGGCCCCCTCCCCCCCCCCCCCCCCTCGACATTTTCGGAGATTGCGCCGCAACCGCTTGGAATTTGAATTGTCGTTTCATGACTTTTTTCCCTCAAGTCTTACGCACATTTTGATACCATTTTCGCCGAAATCGGATATACCTGTAAGGTGTTACATAACAATTAGTATGCGCATGTCATAAAAAAGTGCATATATAATTGCATATATTTTTTTACAAGCAGAAATATGAAGATATGAATTGATATCAAATTGCTTTTATATGTTTATCAAAGTAACTTGATGTATTTCAGAACAAAAGAATACATTAGAAATAAAACAATAGATATAAGAAATAGAAACGATAAAATACATAAGAAAGAAAATGGTTGAAAATCGCATCAAATTTGCATAAATTATCATTATTAATTACATCAAATATCTATTTTGTGTTAGAAAAGAAGTTTCATATGAATAATGAGTTTCAACATTCAAAAAGTGGAGTCTGATTCTAGTTCCCTATATATATATTTCCAGATTTGATATTCATGAATGCGTATTCATAATTTATGCAAATTAACATATGCATTTTCAAATATCATAAAAATAATGAAACCTCATGAATTTGAGATGAAGGAACATTTATTCAATACATTTTCAAGATTCTTCACAAGTCTACGGACAAATCTCTGTAAAATGCATAAAATTAGCATTTTGCATAATTAATTAGGCTTTAACGACACAAATTTGCATATTAGGAAAAAACTAATTATACCATCTTGTTCCTTACGTAAATATCTACAAACTTGCAAATTTTCGCGTTCATCGAACATTCGATGGCCGAGATCAGAGAGTGCTCAAAATAGCCCAGTACAGTAAGGGTTAAGGCCATATTTCACTCATTTTGGATCATGGGTCATAAAAATCATGCCCATAAGCTTGGTAGGAAGTTTTGTGTTTTAAAAGAAGGAACAACAGTAGGTTATCACAATCAACAATCAGCACCAAGTAAATGAATTGATGTTCATTTGTTCCCATCTTTCATCTCTTTTCTTCTTTGTTCCCAGGAATGGTGGACCCACCTGTGGCTTAACGAAGGCTTTGCATCATGGATCGAGTACCTGTGTGTTGATCATTGCTTCCCAGAGTATGATATCTGGACCCAGTTCATCACTAATGACTATACCAGAGCACTGGAACTAGATGCACTCAAGAACAGCCATCCTATTGAGGTACGTACAAACACTGTCTCAACAATTTAATGGCAAGTGCAATAACTTATTGTATTGATTAGGCAACTAGATATTGGCACTTTATAAATACCGGGATTGGATTGGTTTGGATTGTATTTGCCTATAGAAGTTGCATTCGGTTAATGTAATATGTCTTTATAATGTTAGCATTTTTCAGTAGATGATGCACAAGGCTGTGGAAAACTGCTTTAGGTTGATTATTTTAAAGTTTTTGGGACTGTGTTCATTGGATGCATTCTATTAATTCATATGATAGAAGACTAATGTACAAATTTAAGCGGTTTCTTACTTTTCATCTCGACCTGCTACAATTTACTTTGGTTCAAGAATCTCAGAGAAGATGGGCTGCTTGGTTTGATTGTCATGACAGATAATGCTAAGGCTTTTTAATATTTCGTTTTCTCCAATGTTCCTATTTCCTTGATGTAACACTCCTTTGCAGGAGACGGTTGTGCTTGGATTTCCCTCAACACAAGCTGAAGCATAATCAAAAAAGTTGTTTTCTTAGCTTTCCAAAACTCCACTTTCTCTTTCAATGTATGTTCTAGCTGTTCTGTGATTGTATTTTGACAGGTACCAGTTGGGCATCCTGATGAAGTCGATGAGATCTTTGATCTGATTTCATACTGTAAGGGAGCCTCTGTCATCAGGATGCTGCACGATTTCATTGGAGATGATGTAAGTCAATCAAAAAGGGTTCATTTAGGAAGGCAAGTAGTGGAACCTCTTTATAAAGACCACTCGAGGGAAACTTGAAAAGTGGGCTTTGTAGGTGGGTGTTGTTTATTTGTAGGTTCCATTTAGTTTCAATGAGAAAGGCTGATGAAAGAAAAAAAAGAACCCTCCCCCCCCCCCCAAAAAAAAATAATAATAATAATAATTAAAAAGATGCGGTATTTATTGACAGGTGGTTCTATAAAGGTAGTCAATAAAGCTGGTTGCACTGTAGTATTGAATAAGAGAAGTTATGTTGTACATGTAGATGTGTATAGCTAGTTGCATTGCCTGTTACCTTCAACCCCTATGATGGTTTCATGTCATCAATACACATGTTCTTAGAAATTAGATGGCAATCATTTTAAAAATGAGCTACATTAACTATTGCCCGTTTCATGAGTGATACAGAAGGAAACACCGGTGGCAGAATTGAGGGGTGTGAGATAAATAAGGACAAAGAATTCATAGATGTTAACATGCCCAAGGTGCACATAAACTAGAAACTAGACTCTTGAAAATACAGTTTTGAGAAACTAGATCCTTGAAAATACAGTTTTGAGAAACATGGTGGCTTGATTGGGTAACTTGCGTTAAGCACAAGGCTAATCTGACATAAAGACCAACACTATCATGACAGTGTGTGTGGACATAGATCAACAGATATGTTCAACCATTTCCATTCCAGGCATTCCGGAAAGGTATGAACGTGTACCTTGAGAGGCACAAGTACACCAACACCTTCACAGAAGACCTTTGGCGAGCCCTTGGGGAAGCCAGCGGGAAGCCGATAGAAGACATCATGGGCACCTGGACCAAACAGAAGGGTTTCCCAGTCCTCAAGGTCACCAGGGAGATACAAGGAGATAAACAAATTCTTAACATCTCACAGGAGAAGTTTTCTGCTGATGGCCAGAAAGAAGGTCAGTTGTTTCTTCTTCTTCTTCTTCTTCTTCTTCAAGATAATCTGCCTCCTTCAATACTGAAGATTCTTACAGATGCCGTATACTCGGCCTGGTTGGGGTATGCAGGTGGACCATTACACCGGGGTTTCCCCCTACTCTTATACGAATAGTGCAATGGGTTCTTAACGTGCAAGGGTTGTGACTCTCCTGTACACGGGGCCTCCATTTAACATCCTATCCGAGGGACGGTTTGTAACCCCTTCCTCAAAAGCAACAAGAAGCAAACAAAAACTAAAACTAAAACCAAACACAAAGAATGCCAGGAGCTTACAAACTATGTATAAAGTTATTTGTAAAACTAAGAAATAAAAAGGATTTCAAATCCCTGTCATTGTTTTTGTTGCATTGATGTATTGACTTCTTGAACAAAAATGTAATCTCCAAAACCTTTCCTTATTTGATTCAGTGAACCGAAATGAAGGCTTATCCTTATCATTTGCATATTGTGATATTTAGATGAGGCTCAAAATATCCCACTTCAGTAAGGGTTATATGTTTAGTGCTTTAAAGGCATCGTTTAACAATGTTAAATCTGAGATGCATGTCCGTATGTGTTATCAGTGTCTGTGATATGATGTAATATTGAAGCCCTAAAAACATTGTGCTTCAAATTGATCAAGAAATGCCTCAAAAAAGTAAAAATCTTTGAGTGACCGGATTTACCATACTCATTTTCCCCAATAGACTGTAGTGTTATGAAAACCGTTTGGCAAACGGTTTTCAAAATCATAAATATCTTGATAATCAGACAGGCTTGTAAAAGTCATGGGGTTCCTGACTGACAGAAAAGTTTATAATTATGATTGCAGCATGAGCTAAATCCAGGATCCCTTTAATGTATGTTAAAATTATAAAGTCTTTGAGCTGCACCTGTAGTACTTGAGGCTCCTAGGGATATGAAATATTTTGTTTTGCACTGGACTTTCATTGAAAACCAATGACACATCTCCATTCAGAAAAATAAAAAATAATTCCATAGTTATTTTAAAAATGTATCCCCCTTTAAATTATCAGAAAATCTGATCTCCTTTTATGTTTTTACAGATGGAGATTTCAAGTGGATGATTCCTATCAGTATTGCCACCTCCAGCCAACCAACCAAGACCATTGAGAAGGTTGTCCTAGATAAGGATTCTCTCTCCGTCACAGTGGCAGCTGCAAAGAGTGAAGGAATCAAGGTACCTATAAACTAGTCCTCTTTAACCCATTCACTACTGAATTCTCTCATTCTCATAGACTTAATACAGGCACCACTCGGTTCCAGAAGGCAATGGGTTAAGTTGGATAAGTGACCTTCTTAACTGAAAACTTTGAGTGGCAAATACAAGCCATTCATCAAACATTCAATTTCGAAATAAAATCTGTTTCTGCATGTGTTGCTTTGATTATCTTGCTGATATACATTTATATCACCAAATTAATTTGTAGTACATTATTGGGGATTTCCAGTGAGCATTATTTTTAATTAGGTGATCTCTTTTATGAGAAGGTGAGAATGATCTGTTTTGTGAGTAGATGTTAAAGAGATACTCACATTTTTGTGTATGTATTATGTTGAGACATCCATAAATGTCTTTTGTTGAAACTCTATGAATAGTAAATGACCTGTAAAGTCCATTACGTATTGCTACATGTTCAGACTTTAAGGTCAGTAATACTTGCTGTGCCTCCTAGATTAATCCATAGATGATTTTGTCTTCAGCTAAATCCAGGAACTGTAGGATTCTACCGCGTCCAGTACTCCAGTGAGATGTTAGAAGCACTCCTGCCAGGAATCCGAGACCAGGTCCTTCCAGCTAGGGACAGACTAGGACTTGAGTCTGATCTATTTGCTCTGGTCAGTAAACAAAATATCTTCATGTTGCCATATTTCCACTCTTATCAGCTAATCTAATTTTAATAGATTTTGATCTTGGGGATTTTGTAATGATTTAATATATTAGCATCTAAAAGTTGTAGTCCAGAGTTACATGAGTCAAGAGTGGAGAACCAAGGAAGTGGGTTTTTAGTGGATCCCTCATTTTCCACAGGTTTATCTTAATTTTTTGTTTAAACCATTATACTGGATATGTATTTATACTTTCTATTTCACAACTTTGAACCATGTAAAATGTATTATATTATTGAATGTTGAATTGTATATCTGCTTTCTTGTCAAAATTACTGTTCTGTTGGAAATGAAAAATAAAACTGAAACTGAAACTGAAACATTAATTCTAGGTATAATCGTATGGAAAAAGGAGAAATATGATCTCTTTGAACCCTACTAGAGTCCTACTGGACCAATGAACTATATAGAATTGTACACAATGATTTTATATGCAGTTAACAGCTGAATTACCCCTTGTAAATTTGATGTGTTTTGTGTTTTTAGCCCAATGATGAAAGGTGGACTTGTTGAATTAGGCCTTTGTTAAGTTCTTTTAGATGTACATGTAAGATACAATATGTCACATTCTCAAGAAACATAAATCAGAACTCAATTCTTCACATACCGGTACCTTTTTTTTCTTCTTAAGTTACAAAATTTGGGAAGGGTACGCAATTATTTAGTTGTGAACTTTACATATACATTCATTTGAATGAGAAGGGGGAAAAAATTCTAAATTTGAATCTGAAATGCTTAATTTATTATAATAATAATAGATCACATTTATAACGCGCCTATTACTTTGTTTCTAGGCGCAGTAAATATTATTACCCTTGATCATCAGATTCAGGCTTACCCGCACGCAGTGTATGCACATTCTCCATTGTTCAAATAATTTTTGTCTTCCATGAATTGTAGGCTAAAACTGGGCAAGCAAGCACTGTGGATGTTCTGAAGCTGTTTGAAGCCTTTGAGAATGAGACAGACTATACGGTATGGACAGAGCTAGCAACCAACCTTGGTGCCATCGGGGTCTTATTGGCCAGTACGGATCACCTAGTTCACCTGAGGGGCTTCGCCAAGCAGCTCTTCGGCAAGGTCTATGCCAGCCTGGGATGGGACGCCAAGGACAATGAAAGTGAGTCATTCAAAATAATCTGACATGCATGCACCTTGATGATGCAGTCAAACCTGTCTATAGTGACTGCCCAAGAGAAACACAAAAAGTGGTCTCTGTAGACAGGTTCCTTTAGTTCATGTTTCAATGAGAAACAATTTTCAAGGGAAACAAAAAATGTGGTCCTTGCAGATATAGGTGGTCACTAAAGCAGGTTTGACTGTATTACACTTTGAAAGATATTTATTCAGCTTAGCTACCGATATGCAATGTAATAAGAAGAAAGAATTGAATAATTACCGACAAATCACCAATATATGATGTTCTTTGTCTTCTTGTAGATCACCTTGCTGCCTTGTTACGAGCCCTTGTCATCAGGGTGATGGGACGTAACGGACATGAAGCAACGGTTGAGGAAGCTCGTAAGCGCTTCAAGGCACATAGGTCAGGTGGTGAACAGCTCCCTGCCGATCTCAGAAATGCCGTCTACTTGACAGTGATAGCTCATGGTGATGAAGACACTCTCAATGACATGATTGAGGTAAGACCATAGTGTACCGAAGCTGTGACATCATACAAATCTATTTTTAGAATTTCTCAAATTTTTCTTCATTTTCCAAAAGAGCATCAAAAATAATGTCTGAATGTCGAAAACCAATTGAATATGTTAAGTATTGGCTGAGATATGATCATCTGAATAAATATATGTCCTATGGGAACTCAGTGTAATAGTGCTCTGGTTCCTAATGAGAGCACTATTACCCTGAGTTCTAAAATAGATTTTTGATGACATCATATTTCACCACTCTATACAAGATTTCAGTCTAAACCCCTCTGCATCCTGTACCATCCTAATTTAGAAAGAAATTGTACTATCATTCACTCACTAGATGTGATAGTTTAAATGGATCCCCATTGGTTATTTGAATATAAATTTGTTAATCGTTAGGGCGTTGTAGGCCATCCAGACAATGGAAAGACAGCTTCAAATCAGGGACGTCTTAAAACCAGTGTGACTGGAAGGCCCATAATACCCCACAAATTTCCAGTTTTTCTGTTCATATGACTATGAGGGACTTCAGTCAGGAATGCTTTACATTCAAATTTGCCCCGATATCATTTTGTGTCATTGCAGTTGGATCATAAAGTATGTGGTAAGCTCGATTCAAATTGGTCCAATTTTTATGGTCCCTATGATATCACCACCAACAAATTACCCTTTCAGTATTGTGAAAATTCACAGGTTGCATGTAATCATTCTTTAGAGTTGAGATAAGTTTCTTGATGAAGAAGGTGTAGGAAAGGCTCTTTAGATTGTGTTATTGGTGTAGTTTTGTCATTGATTTGTCATTTTTGTTGTTGTAATTCTTTCAAAAGGTATTTGCAAGGAACATTAGCAATTCTTCATTATATTTTCTCTTTTTCTCATCCACACAGTTCTTCAAAGTACAGGATCTACAGGAAGAGAAAGATCGTATCCAAAGATCCCTTGGTGCGATCAAAGACCCTGCCCTCATCAAGAAAGTGCTGGAGTTCTCCATTGGGGTGAGTGAACTTAAAGCCCATCTGCACTAGATGGCCAGGGGGGGGGGGGGGGGGGGGTTAGATCTCCATGCCAGGTCACTGACAAGTGGTTATCTCATCAAATCAGCTCTCAATTAACATTAGAAAAAGGGATCATGGGGGACCAACAAGCACCGATTAGGCATTGTTTGCTATATAGAGGGCGCAAGTAGCTATAAGCAGTGCAGTGGGGCTTAAATGGACTGGACGTATGGTATAGTATTGAGAATCATCATTGACCCTAAAAAGAATTGGTTATATTCTTTGGAGGGATGGACATTTAAGAAATCCGGATCAAACGTGGAATGAACCGCTCACAGGCAACTAATTATTACAGCCTAAAGTATGTATATTTTTACAGACTGAACAAGTAAGTCCTCACATTTGCCTTACTACTTTGTTCTTTAAGTAGGGGATGGTGAGGGGGGGGGGGGTAAATCAGAATCAAAGAATTAAAGGGGGTGAACGAGTCAAATAATCATTACAGCTGTATTAATATGTACATGCTTTGAGACCATAACAATTGTTCTAATTAGCCTCCCTACTCTGTTGTTTATACAGGAGCATGTGCGATCACAGGACACGGTGTTTGTGATCAGCGGAGTGACAGGGACCAAGACGGGACGAGAGCTGGCATGGCAGTTCCTCCAGGATAAATGGTCTGAGCTCTTTGAAAGGTTCTCAGGAGGTTTCCTTCTATCTAGGCTTGTACAGGTAGGTCCAGGCAGGCTTCTCTCTAGTACATAACACCCTTGGTGTTCAAATTCAAATTCAAATTCAAGTTTTATTGTCCAATGATTGGAAATTTGTTTCGTTTGCATGTCGGTACAAGATCACAGATTATGAACATCAATAAGATACAAATGAATACAGAATAGAACATTTGACTTGAACATAGATAATAATAGTGGCTACTTGTATAGCGCACAGTTCCACCTTTCGGTGCTCATGGCGCTTAGAAAAGAGTACATGTAACAGGCATAAGAAAGAAAAAACAATAAACCGAAAAACAAATTTGGAATTCTCCTAGACATAGTAAATTAAAATATTGCGATAATTACAACGAAAGAAACAAATAGGTTTTTAGTTGTAATTTGAATGTTTCTGTCGATGACAGTTGACGTAATTTTAGAGGGAGCTTATTCCACAGTTTTGGACCCATGGCTGAGAAAGCCCATTCCCCCCAAGCATGTTTTATTCTGGGTGTATTAAGTAATAGTGTGTCTGATGAGGAGCGAAGACTTCGTGTGGGGTTGTATTTTGAAACAGAGTTGCTCAGGTATGCAGGGGAAGAAAGAGAGTAAACTGAATGATGTACAAGTAACATAATTTTAAAAATAATCCTTTTTTTCAACTGGCAACCAATGGAGAGGACGGAGAATTGGTGATATGGAATCAGATTTCTTAGTGAATGTTAATAGGCGGGCTGCAGAATTTTGAAGTCGTTGCAGTTTTGTGACATCTTTTTTTGGAAGGTTACAGAACAATGAATTTGCAAAATCTAAACGAGAAGAAAGTAAAGCATGAATTAAGATCTCAGCCGCAGGTTTAGATAAACACTTTCTAGATCACACAAAATGCGATATTAAATGTGTTGATATGAAGCATAGGAACTTTAGAAAATGTGAAGGGCAAATCCTCCCTTTCATGGGTTTCCACAAGAGTAGTGGATGTATCAGTGCATACTTCCAATGTGCAAGTTTTTCTTGGTTCTTTCAAACCACCATCCTGGGATGCAGCCAGGCCTAAGTTCACTTGTTTTTACCAAGGTCAAGGGGAGACAACAAAGTCCTACTTGGGCATTAGTTAAGATTAGATAAATCAATGTAAATTCCACAAGCCATAGAAAGAATTCAACCAAAAGTCAAGTAGTTGTTAGTGTGTTTAAGGTTCATATTTTATTGTGCAAGCAAAGCAGTGGATATTTGTATTACTTACACAGTAGAGTTATATATGCAGAAACAAATATATACATCCATACACCACAAATACATATTTTTAACCAGAAAGATAGTTCTGAATTGAATGAGTAATCATGGTACAATAATAATAATAAATAATAACAACGTTATTCATAAAGCGCTTACCACCGAAGTCTCTAAGTGCTATAACAAACAAAATAGACTGATAAACAATTACATATTAAACAAAACAAAAAAGAGCAAATAAACCTACAAATTACAATACATATGGAATACACATCAAAGTAAACAGAGTTAGTGTAAAACAACATTGAAAGAAAATATGTACATCAGATATATGTAGCAATATAGTAGGAGTGTAGAAGTAAAAGTAGAAGTGGTAGTGGTAGTAGTAGTACTAATAGTAGTGGTAGTAGTGGTAGTAATGGTAGTAGTGGTAGTACTGGTGGTAGTCATCATTGTTGTAGTAGACGTAGTAGTAGCAGCAAGAATGTCAATGCATCTAGGTGGATGTAGATGGATACATAACCAGGTTTTTTCATATAATACTTTGAAACCAAATTGATATTGGTTTTGTTTTGTTGTCTTGCAGTCGTGCACTGAAGGCTTCACCACAGAGGAGAGAGCGTTGGAGGTACAGAGCTTCTTTGAGGCTCACCCTGCACCTGCAGCTGAAAGGACCGTCCAACAATCCCTAGAGAACATCCGACTCAAGGCCAAATGGTTAGCTAGGGATGGAGACAGCATCGGTCAGTGGCTCAGGCAGAAAGTCCAGCTCTAAAGCAACCAATGCCGAGGTACCCATTGTCCAAGCATGGATAATGTCATTTTACACACTTATTACTGGTGAGGAGCTCGTTCTTGTCGGAGCATAGTATCTTCTTCCTATGTAACTTTTTCTTTTGGAACACAATTCACAAAATAACCAATGGCTTCAATAAAAACCAGTATTGAATCTGTAAATTCATGCAACATTTGCAATTCATCTGTATCTCAAAATACTTAATTTGGCTGAATATTTCAAAACCTCTTTAAGATGGAATGCTGAAACAGCAAAACTTAGTTGCAATCATGTTTGAATCATTTGCGATATGGTCTTTTCTATTTTCTGTAAAGCAGCAAATTTTCATCATGTCCTCTTGACACAATTATGCCAAAAAATGTCAACCTTCTTTCATGCTATATACCTTCTTACTGAATTACATGTTTTACTTCCAACACTAAACGGCTTCTTCCTCTCATTGAATTCTAATTGGCACAGTGCCAACTCCAGTGCACAGTCCAAAATACATGTATATGCAACTTTGTTGATGACTAGTTATCAAATATCATAGTATAGCATAAGAGCGTATTTTATGTTCAGTGGATGTTTATTTTTGTCCATCATTTTTGGTTATTGTAACTGTTCTTTTCGTTTCTTTCAATAATCAGCCTTCACAATGTTAATGTATTTTGACGTAGTTTTATAGCAATATATGTGACTGGTTAATATTTCAGTCTAGTGTTAGGGTAACAACTGTCCCTCTGTTTACTAAAATTGTCTTGGAATGAATTGTCAATAGTAATATTTGCAGTGTTTTTTGTCTTTCTTCTACTTATTTTTGTTGTGCTCAATTGGTCCAGAAATGTTTCCTGGCTACAGCATTCACAAAGCATGTGCCCATTTTATATTTCAGGGAGAAAAGGAAACAAAAGTTACTTTTAAACCAAACTTATCATAAAATGTTGACATGGATAGATATGACACAGAATAGGTAAGCATGTGACATGGCCCCTGGGAACCTACAGCTTAAATTTCTTCCTGAGGGATTTGTTTATCTTTTGATCTTTAACCTGTGGTCTCGTGTATAAGCATTTATGTTTTGAAATATATGTATATTAAAAAGTTGGCTCACAAGCCGAAATTGCTGCAGTAATTAGACTATCATTGTTTAAAGGAACACACTTTTATTTGTATTGCTAGACCTTGAATGCCCAGTTGAAAGAGTACATGTATACAGATTGAAGTTCAGTAGAAAATTCTTAGCTGTCTACGGTAATCCAATTCCCAAAGGCTCAAACAATATATCCTGCTTATATGAAGTGTATATCCTCCCTGTGTTGATCATGTGGACTCTGGAGTTCTGACATCATGTAAAATTCAAAATGTATTAATGACTTTAAAGGATCCAGACTCAAAGAACAGGTCCACTTTCCGAAGAAAATTGATGTACATGTATCTGTTTGGTCACATGTTGTTTGGTTTTGTTTTGTTTATCTGTTTATTGGTTAGATCTCTATGGTATTGACTATTTTCTGAAATTCATCTATCAATTCTTAAAAGGCTTCAAAAGCTTTGTTATGCAGATTCCAACGAGGCGAGTGAACACTTAAAGTGACTTAAAGAATTATCTATATGTGTCTTATGAATTATTTTTTCATCGATGGAGTTGTAATTATGATCTCAACACCAAGTCTGAAGATAACAATGATATTGTTGGTGATATGATTGCAATAAATTTGATAAAGTCTGTGAGTTCTACTTATTAAATGTGATAACGAAACAAATTTATACTGGTTGATTATTTTTGATACTTCTAATGAAGATGATGATGATAGTGAGGATAATACTAATAGTCATGATGATGGTGGGGATGATGATAATGGTGATGGTAGTAATGATGACAAAGATGATGATGAGGAATTGAGGATAAAGATGGTACGACGATAGTGATGATGGTGACGACGTTGACGACACTACATTTAATAAGGTCACTGCACACGATTTGACCTATTCCCGATCACTGTGATTTTTGAACGATTAACTCAAACCATCAAATAAGTTGTAGCCCCAATGCGTTCGTTGTAGGAGGAGGCTGGTGATGTGTGGTGCATTTGGCCCAGTAAACACGCCCTCTCGGTTCGTATGAATGTGAAAACCGAGCAAGTGACGTGAACGAGGCATCGTTGGGCACATCCAATGACTGACGATACGGTATATGATGAGCGTACGAGGTCGTCGATGAGCGTCGAATCACTGGCTAGAAGTCTGAAGTTTGTGCATCCCATGTTTGCTGTTAGGAGTAAATAATTTTAAGGAATGTGATAGTGAGTCTATGTCTATTGCATTTGCATGCGGTCAAGTAAAAGTAAAGAACAGAAGACTAGAGACTTTTACTTCAAACTTTTGTTAAGCCACTTGGAACTTTCCATTTTTATCATCAAAGATTTAAAGACAAATCTTGGTATATATGCATATACATAGATCAGCTCTTTTTTCCCATTACAAAATGTTAAACGGGCCTTCTAAGTTACAAAAGACCTATAACAACAACATACTTTTAAAGAGTAAGCTCATTAACTCATAAATGTTAAATTTCTTCACAACCCAGCTGAGTGCATGCCTTCCAAAAGTGTTGAGAATATACGTTGTTAACGTAATATGATGCACACACAAACAAATCGTAGAGTATTGTACATTTGTATACTCCCGAAAATATGAACTTCAAGCAGAATTACGACAGTTACACAGTAGCAATGTTGTTTACCTCGTTTTCCAGTAAAAGTGGTCACGGTGGTTGTGGCTGTTGACACCATACTGGTTGGGGATGAAGAGGGCGTTGTTGATGTTGTGTTCGGGCACACTGGAATTTTAAGAACAAAACGAGATACATGTATAACAAACGAAGGTATCTCACAGCCAGTCTTTTGACGACAATACTCATTCAGAAAATATTTTTGAAAATAGCCTGTGAACTTTAATCGGTACGTATGTCACTAGACCTTTATTTTTGTTAAAGCTCTTTTTAGCCTCCAATAATCTTTCCTTATTGACATGAGAATTATTTGAAATCATTAAGGAATGGTAGCAATTTTGATGACTTGCAAAATTGAAAGATTATATCTTTTTATGAGTTAAAAAAAACACCAAAAGATAAACATTTGCCATAATGCACTCTGTTCATCTTTCTGCGTTGCTTCTCAATCTGGTGAGCCAAGCATTTATCGTCTGCCTGGAAGTCCTCACATCAATACAAAAAAGGTACTGGTGATAATTATGTGAAAAGAAATATACCACGTCTTATCTTGATTTGTGTACTGTCAAAATACTACGAACGGATATAAGTACTCACCACTCTTCCTTTCACAGATGTAACGGTATGAGTATGAGCAGTTCATGAAACAAAGTCCTCCATCGTTATCAGCAACAAACTTAGCTTCGTCCAGTCCATAGTTGGTGTAGGTCACATTTGAAGCATCTGCGGACCAGACTCTATTCCCTCTATCATCAGTGGTTAACCCGATCCAATGATTGACGTCGGGGTTCAGGAGGTTGGCCACCAGAAAGTCTTGTTCTTCGGGAGTTTCTATGGCAACCAAGTGAAAGCCGAGATCTTGACAGGAGAAGTCTGCGAAGGAGTGGTTGGCCGCCCTCGTCGAGAAATGATAGCAGGATCCATTATGTTCCACGTGGTTTGAATCACAAGCTTAGATTAGGGAGAAGAAAGGAGAGGGAGAGAGAGAGAGAGAGAGAGAGAGAGAGAGAGAGAGAGAGAGAGAGAGAAAACGCGTTATAAAATAGAATGACTAAAATTATTTTAAGAATAAAAAAACAATTGTGAAATATCTCCAACAATAGACATTAACTAAAACAAACCGGGTAATATAATTTTACTCTGGTGTCCCCTTACGATATTTAAACCTTCAATTCTGGTCATCATGTTCCTATACTTTCCTATTTTCTTACTAAAATTAGTCCTTTTCTGGCGATTACCCCCTCCGCTACACCCATCTTGAAAAGGTGTTTTTCCTTGCTAAACTTTGCAATGTATAGCTTAATTAGATATTTACCCGTCGTGGGGGCATGCAAGGTCTGGACACGCCAGGGGTGTTGGGGATGATCTCTTCATCATAACCACAGTGTAAAGGTGCATGTATGCGAGGACCAAAACTTTGAAGTGTTGTCTTTATAGGCACACCACGACTGTGTAAAAAGAATATTCCTGAATTCATCCGTCTTAGAACAAAATTACTTTTATAAGAAAAATTTAGTGACCATTACTGACCGAGAAAACTTACCCCCGCATAGCTCTTTGCCGTTGGATGCATGAAGGTAGACGATACTGATGAGCAGAGCGTAAAGAGCGAAAGCCATCTGCACAAACGGAATTGAATAGAAAAGGGTAAATTCATCAAATGTAAAAAAAAAACAATCAGAGTGAATCTAATAAATTCAAGATCAGAGTAGATTTCGTGTTTTGAATGTTGAACATGTAGTGCTCATTGTCATAACTTTTATACGAGACATTCACTATCGATCTACAAAAGAAAATGATTTTTAAAATACCTTTCTTTTAAATGTGGTGGAAAAAACACACCTCCCTTACGCTTTATTTCTGTGGTGTTTATCGAAAGACCAGAGGGGAGAATGCTTTTCTCAGTGAATCTCCTCCTGACTCCTGACGTCTGATCGGAAATGACTTATGACTGTAGAAACACGTACATATATAGTCCAATGCAATTATCACTTAACGTTGGCATTCATAGCTCTCTGCGCAGAAATAATAGACATACCCTGATAATATATTTTAATTAGTAGATCGAATATATAAAAGATATTTCAATACAAATGAAATTGCCAATTTCGTAATTGTGTGAATGGTCTTTAGCCGTTATCCATGCAGAAAGTTATGTTTGTTATATACGGTAGGGAATCAGGCCACACGTTGACTTTTTGATTTGGCGTCTGCTAAATTACAGCAATATCGATTACTATTGTTTGTTTAATTGCTTGTTTTTTATAACCATATATTAACCCATTTCGTATTCAGGTCATCGGGGAAGTTTTTCGAGAAGATGAAACAATTCTACCTATTGCAATTGACTCGTTTTTGAATTTCATTACTGACGTCATTAGACAATTTTCTTTCCAATTTTCCAGTCCAGTAACAGCCGAGCCAAATACTCCTCCCACGTCTATAATAAAACATTGTTTGACCTATATATAGAATTGAAATATAAGTCAAAGAAGGAAATTATCTCAAAGAAAACACAATATCATCTGAGTGATATTGACTTGCTTAAAAATGTAATAGATTATGGATATTTTCGTGGAATTTTCTGTTTGGTTACCATACGAGATCACAACAGTGCTGTGAAGCATTATTTAAAAGCATAACATGATGGTGAACAGAAAGGAAAAAGGTAGAAGGGTAAATATAGAAGTCTTGGAAAGAACTCTCTCTCCCTCTCTCTCTCTCTCTCTCTCTCTCTATTATATGATTTAGCTATATAGCGGGCGCAAGTAGCTATAAGTAGTGCAGTTGGGCTTTAAGCTCTCTCTCTCTCTCTCTCTCTCTCTCTCTCTCTCTCTCTATATATATATATATATATATGATTTTGCTGATTTAAACTTTCTTTCCAACCTTATTGCCATACTCTGTCTACTTGTCTGACTATAGTATCAGGACTCATTAGGCATTTTAAGCAATATAGAGGGCACAAGTAGCTATAAGTAGTGCAGTTGGGCTTTAAGCTCAGTCTTCCCCCCCCCTCTCTCTCTCTCTCTCTCTCTCTAACTCTTTCTCTCTCTCTCTCTCTCTCTCTCTCTCTCCTCTCTCTCTCTCTCTCTCTCTCCCTCCCCTCCCTCTCTCTCTCTCTCTCTCTCTCTCTCTCTTCCCCCAAGTTACTCTCATTCCCCTCATGCTTGATGTTTTAATGATACTGGAACCCTCACTCCAAATATTATATTCATTTATTTATTTTGTTTGACTGTATGTTCAAAATGAAACTCAAGGAAATAAGAAAACAATGGTTGCGTAGCATAAATCTATTTTTATTATTAAATGAATGCGTATTATTATACAATTAATTTGTGTCATAGAAGGTGTATCACACGACTTTATGAATTATGGTAACCGACGCCATTTTGAGTTTGAAGTGCTTTCTTGGTGGTGGACATTCTTCTCATGTCGATGTTGATCATCGGGAACATGTACTCAGTATGGTAGTTAGTTCGCTGAAAGAGAAAGGGTGACATTAGAAAGATAATTGCATAAACAGTATGTAATACAGATTAGAGCGATATATTGTTTTAAGGATTTCCTCAAGAATACAATCTATAGGCTACTGTTCGACCATGGGAGTGTTTCACAAAGACTAAGATCGACTTTAAGTTGGACTTAAATATGGCAGGCCATCCATACCACTGGTTGCTCTCACCATTGGTCTCTTAAATTATGATCTTTAGAAAACATATTGTCATTCAACTATGAACTATCAAATAATGAAAATTCTGTAGATTTGTGACCATGATTTGTAAGTCCCTTGAGAAACCAATGCCAGGAATGATTAGAGGAATTAGTGGCATGAACGGCCTGCCATAGTTAAGCCCAAACTTTGAGTCGATCTTTTCGGCCCGAATTCACAAAGGAGGTTTGTCGACAAACCTCCTTTTGTTTCGACACACCTACTTTTGTATTTTACAAACTAGGTTTGTAAAAAAACGCGTCAAAACGCGTCATTATGACGTACATAAACCTCGGTTTGTCGACAAACCTCCTTTGTGAATTCTGGCCATAGTCTTTGTGAAACACTCCCCATGTTTACTAAAAATGTATATGATGGTGGTGATTCGACAGCATTTATAATGATTCTTAATTTCAGTATCGAAATATATTATTATGACATTAGCAATTACGCAACACAGCCATTCATCGAATTCCATTGACATGCATGAAGGCCAAAATCCAAATGACTCGAGTCTAAGAGGGTGTTAATAAAATAGAAAATAATATCAATGAAATAGGATTACCGATTCAACTTGCTCTATTGACACAGATTACCGTCACATCCTGCAACATATCCACTAGGGCAACGGCTACAAGAACTGCCCGATGTATATGGAGAATTGCCATTAAAGTTACCCCTGGAAGACGACAAAGAAAGTGAATGGCAAAAGCTTGTTAATTATGTGAGGCCATCTATTCATTCTCACCTGTTTTATAACTGTATATAATTACATATTATACAAATAATACACAGCAGTGAGGGCATTAGTAAGAATTACCCACACAAGGTACATTTGAAACAGTTTAACACGTCCGAGGCGATAGCCGAGAGTGTTTGGAGTGTTTTGAAGGTACCGAGTGAGGGTAATTTTACTACTGCCCGAACAAAATGATGTGTATTATTTATTTTACAAGATTATGTTTTATATGTTTAATAAAATTATGTTTTAAAACATGATTTTACTAATGACCGGTCATTAGTAATTACGCGTTAGGCGAAATAAATGCCTGGTCACGTGTACGCTTTCAACCAATCATATGATTAGGATCCACGTCATCATCTTATAAAACTAGATAATCCTCTTTGTATATTTTAAGGTATAGTGTAACATATAATAATAATGATATTCCGTTTTTATATAGCACTTAATATAATCTACAATGTCTCTACGCGCTTACAGATTATAACTATTACCCCGGTCTTTGGATTTAATACTTCCAATGGATAATTCAAAGGCATTGAAATAAAGTTTTAAAGAGAGACATTTCAGTCAATATTCAGGGATGAGAAAGTAAATAGCCCCCTCCACCGGTTGAGTAGATCCACAGGCAAGGGTTTCCCAACTGGGGACCGTTAAAGGAAGCATTTTTGTGTTAAATTTGTGTTGGTTTGTAAATATACTATATCCCCCCCCCCCCCCCCACTTTCAAATACTTGGATTTCTGTATTCCTATCAGGGATTTAGAATACAAATTATATTGAATGTTCATTATATTGGTATATTAAGTATACATCGTATATTATAATCATCTATATCTTACCAATAGCATCAGATTATTTCATATTCTATATTTATACGATGTTTTATAATCATGGTTTGTGAAATACAGACGAAATGGAATATGGAACTCTAGAAAACAATTGATAACTAAAATATGATAGTTTTATATTGATAAAGATGCAGATAACCTACCCAGGGCCGTAGTTACAGACGAGATAATCAAAGGGATACACCCTCCACCCCGATCTGTAATCACATGTAGCCCATCCACATCCAATATCAGTGCTCTCAGCCCACACAGCCTGTTTCCAAACAAAAGAAAGATACACTTAATAATATGCAAACAATATAGAAGTAGATTATCGGATCATTGCGCAACAAAGGTATTTAATTTACATAGATAAAAACGTGAGATGGCGAATTGCAAAAGGATAATAACGGTCATATTGAATATTTTAACTTTATTTATTTGGATACCAGTGCTTTATTTAAATGCTGTCCTTAATTGGTATCTTTATAGTTAGCTGATGTACACACCCATTAAAAGCGATTTCGGCAGTGTTTATGGTCATGGTTTTTTGTAATATATTAAACTTATACTTTTTAAGAAAGTGCTCCGGATATTGTATAATACTTTCTTATTTAGGCCTATCAGAAATGTGAAGATTATCATTGTTCTCTTATGAAAACTATAGAGCAACACTACATATTAATTATGTCCGACTAACTTGATATACATGTGTGTACGTGTATAACAGTCACCTGTACAATTATTGTCGATGCCAATTCAAATTGTTCCTCTGTACAAAGTCATCAGTATAGATTTCAAAATTATCATGAAATCTCAGAAGACAAATGCTTTAAAAAAATGATAACAGCCACCATAGCCTATTATAACATATTAAACCGTAAATAAAAAGGAGATGATCCAACAATGTAGCAACGCTAAATATAATAGCGGGCGTTTTTTTAAACGGGTGTCGCACAGTGGCGACCTTCTCTTGTCTTTCTATTCAGATTTATTGTTAACAAAATTAATATCAGTTAAAAAAATCCACAGAGACAAGGAATAACAGAAAAGCTAGAACAAACATTAAAAAGAAACGTAGCTCATTAATTTCTCTTATATTTATTAGCAAAGAAGAGTCAACACAATTGTTTATCAAAAGTGGACATGGTTATAAAGCCTTTAAATCCATATATTAGATTTTAGATTTATGCTTCAGCTTAAGAGGATATTGGTACTCAAAGCCCATTCCCTTCCCCGTTCATTTCCCTAACCAGAATTCTTATGACGAAGGAAATAAATGATCTACCCCCCCCCCCCCTTACAACCCCCCCCCCCCCCCAAGTACTTAATAGTGCCCCGTGTCAAGTACATACCTGCGTGTAGTGTCCACATATAGCGCCAGATGCGCAAGAGTTGGAGTTGAAGTCATAATCGACCTTCTCATCGTTCCACAGATCCATGTAGTCGTTCATAGAATAGCCATAACCATAGGCTAGATTCTGCCCGACCCACCACCAATCATTAGTCTCACGATCATCGGCTGAGTTATGACTGAAGGTACATTGATCAGCCCAAGACTGAGCCATCTGAGCCAGCTCATCGTTCCATTCCTGTGAAGATAAGCATGGTTGGAAAGTTGGAATCAGTGAGGTATACAACGGTCTTGTGAACTTCCCAAAAATAGACCTCAAGGACCTGCAAACCCAAAACTTGGGTCCTGTTGGCCTAGGGTCTTACGGGATCTTAATCAGCTTCGCTCCTAAGTCCTAACTGAGGGCGCAGAGCATGGAGGCAGGGGCGGATCCAGCCGGCGGCAGAGGAGGGGGCCCAATTCGTGAGAATTTTTTTAGCGGCGAAACAGCCGGCCGATAATTCGCTCAGTCGGGGAGGGGGGCCGCCCCCCCCCTGGATCTGCCACTGCACGGAGGCCTCATGCTTCGTTTACACTTTATTTAGTGTGGCTTTTATTATAGTAGGAATGCTCTCACTACCTTAAAACGATCCAAACGATTTTTAATTATCATTTTAATCTAGGACAAAATACTAGTCTACATGTATATAGGGGGTGTAGATTATCATAGGCCTCTCTACTTCCGAGTGGACTTTGTTTGGTAATATTTAAAAGGTAATCACATGGACGTAATCGTTTAGAATGTTGCACCAAAATGTTTGAAGAAACCAGGTTAATTGTACTATCGATGCGACCAAAAAAAAAAATCGATTTAATGTGTTAGCCATTGTTCATTAAATATCAATCTAGCGAAGAATACATGTTGTAGCAATAGTTACAAGAAGACAAAAACAGTTGAAGATATCTGTAACCTATTTCGAAAATCAGTGGGGCAGCTAGATTTTGGATTTGCTGTGTAGGCATATATATAGCTCTTTTAAAGGAGGTCGATTTTTAAGGAAAAACGCAGTGCTAATCAATATTTGAAAGCAGGTCACAGTGCATCAGATCCGCGGGAAACGGCTATCCGCGCTAGGTCAACTTCGATATTTGGATTTTTTCCCGTCTTGACGGTTCCCCGAGTTCTTTATCATTGAATCTACAGTTAACATTGATATTGGATGGTTAGTAAACAGAAACGGTTTGTATAATGTGTTATTATTAACGTAAGAAAAAGAATTTTCCTCTGTTTCTTAATGTTACATTCACATATAATCATACTAACCGTCAATTTTTAGAGGACAGGAAGGAGAAGTGAAACAGAAATCAATAACCATGTCGCACATCCGAGGGATCATTTAACAAAGTAAGAAATGATGTGATAACCAAACACCTTTAACTGACCACCAAAGTTTGAATACTGACCGCAATACGACAACTTAATTGTCTTTCCAACCCATTTTAGATTGTGTATCTTTATCGTTTTCTATTGTTTCTATATTATCTCTGCACCAGCATCTCGATGTATTTCTCTGCCCCCTCCTCCTTTGAGAAGATTTCTTTTTAAAGATAACAATGACAGTAATTCATATTTATATAGCGCTTAACATACTTATCGTTTCTAGGCGCTTTGCCTGAAATGAATGACTTCTAAAAATAAACTTAAAGTATAAATAAAATAACAATTTAAGCATAAACATAATAACTATATTAATAATTATAAGCGCTTTACATGGAATAAATAACTTTTTAAAATTAAGGAAAACTCAGATCTTACCAGCGGGACCATGTTGGAAGCGGAAGGGCTTACATCACCTCTGTAGCTGTTATGTCTGGAGACGATGCTCTCTTTCTCTACATCGGTAAGTCCCGAAATAGTGACGCCCCTCTTGGGACTATCTAAGGAAGATCCTGTCAGTTTGCCTCGGAACATAGGGCCGAGTGGAGGCGCATCCACCGGCTTCAAGGCTTCGGTCAACGGACTGGCCTGGACCGAGGAAACTATGGCCAAAAAAGCGAGACACCATGCAGAAACCATCATGAGGTATGTTAAGAAGGATACTTTTAAGAAACATATGCTTCTTATATCTATCGCTCTTGATACTTGATCAATTGTTTTGGGTTTCTTTACAGCTGTTCACTCGGCAATTCGAGATATGCAATGTAATGTAAAGAAAGGATTATCCTCAAACCCACGTCATGAAAATGATGGATTTTTGACAGCTGGATGGCATTATCGTCAAGAGATGAGAATAATACTAAGACATTTATTTGTATAATTATGTCAATTTTGATAGTTAACATGGTATGTCACAGAGCGTCATAATCTATCACAGAGTTGCGCATTTGCACAAAATGTCACATTTCTACAAGCCATGCATGATAAAATGATAAAGGATTTTTCTCTTACTGAACTTGGATCAAGTTCTTCTCATTTTGTTCCTGTATTTGCAATTTTTATTACTAGCGTTTATTCTTTGCCACGATCCTTATCTACTGAAAGTGCATTTTATATCTGCAGTGTACATGTATACCCATACTGGTCACCGCGGGCTTCAAATCGACGCCACTGTCCGCGACCGACAAGAATCGATACTAATATTATCTACCCGTAATTCCAACTTAAATGCGCTTAACACGCAGGATGATGCGGTTATCTTGAATTCTGGGACTTATTTAGAGAATATAATTATTTACTTCAGTTGGCCTAGTTACTGATTCAGTTGTGGAAGCTAATCTCAGTTTCAGGTTCCTATGGTATGCGGAAGAAAAAGATGAATGTTTTCTGTTCGTAACCTTTTCTATGTTTTTTTTTAAAGGATTTTAATGAATTATTTTTAATGTGACGAATAATAGCTCAACATTCGTTACGTATATATGGACTATCAAAAAATGTAATTGATTGTTTAGCAGTTTAGGGTTTGTATATACAATGTTCTGTGAATGGTCCAGACCCAAAGATATCAAGATAACAAAGATGACCCCCCCCCCCAAAAAAAAAAAAATAAATAAATAAAATAAAATAAATAAATAAATAAATAAATAAATAAAAAATATATAAAAAAATAGTAATAATAAATACATAAAAAATAAATAAATAATAAATAAATAAAAAATTAATTAATTAATTTAAAAAAAAAAAAAGATAAGAAAATTGCATTTAAATCACCATACTCGTTCGAAGACAATAAATTGAAGTAGGGTCTCCATACTCCATGTAATTATTGCAGAATTAAGATCATATTTTTTCTTCTGATTACGTAGGAGTAGATTTTTTTTTAATCTTCCGTTTCTCAGTACGAATGAGAAATGGAACCACCATAGCCTTTGTCATGATAAAACATTTGCAGCATGCTAGCTTGCAATCAAGCTTGACCATCCTCAACTATTTGTGCTTGCTCGTCAAGAGATATTAGATGTTGTGTCTGAAGAACTAGAAAAGACATCAGAAATATCTAAATTAGATTATGGGTGCATTCTCATATCATCGCAGAGAGACATTGCTCCAGGGAAAAGGGCATGATAGATTGAATTCAATTGAGTTCGAGAAAGCACATCTAGGAATGTCAATTTTAGTAAATAAAAGCAGATTTAGTAGTTAGTTTAACATTCAGACCCATATCCATTATTTTGCCAAAGTAAAGCCTTTGATGTTGTATGTAACCTCGCTTCACTATTATAATGACACTAATGGCTACATTAGGGATGGGAGGGGATATTTGAATAGATTTTAATGATTTTTGTTGTTGTAATGTTTAATTTAATTTAGTTTAGTTTAGTACATGTACAGTGTATTGTTAATCAAGCCTTACTATTTTGAAATATCATTACTTATTATTAGAAGAATATATGGCCTCCAGGAAAGAACAGATTCAATAGGTTAATGGCTTTGAAATGGACTCTCCAACCGTTTATCATTCTATTATTGTAACAATAATTTTATAAGTCTTTGATTATGTTATATTGTGTTATTGTTTATTATGATGAGTTTCGGAATTAAAAATAACAAAATTATGTATGTAAACACACGTCGAGATATTAAAAACGGAATATCGTTCTTCTGATAAGAATTAAAAAATATCATCTCTTTATACCGGTTCCTCTACGCACTTCATATGGTGAATATTATCCCTTCAAAATACATTTCTCACTAATGCGTCCAGCTAAGTGAGCAATTAACAGCATTCGAATTAGAATTGACGCCTAACTTAAAGCAGTTGATGAAGATGCAACAATGTCTTACCATTCAAGGTTGTGTATTAAATTTCCATCAGCCATTAGGGATACATATTTTTCATCATAAAGACAAACATCATGGCCACTCACATAAAGAGAGAGACTCTTTTGCCACAAACAAAAAGCTTTCTATTATCAAAGGGAATCTAAGTCCTTGCCTGTAGTTACATTCATTATGTTTTATAAATAGAAAAGTAGACATTCTGGAAAGCTTTTTCACCAAGGTGGTTTCTATTAACCATTTAAAATGAACAAAATTCGATACAAAAATAGGGCGAAGGAGAAAAAGAGAGAAGATGAGGGAGAGAGGGAGGGAGAGAGAGAGAGAGACAGAGTCGTGTGGAGAATGAAAGAGGGAGAGAGGATAAGAATGGAACAGAATTGGAAAGAGGATTAGGGATAACAAACGAAATGAGTAAGAGCAATTTTGAAAAGAAAATGAGGAAGAGAGGGAAAGATGAGAGAAAGAAAGCAAGGGAACGAACTGGAGTGAGGCACATACAGATGATAACGAATAACAACTACAGAGGGAAAGAAAATAGAATTTGAAATAAATAGAAAGGAGAAGAGAAAGAGAGAAAAAAAGGAAATGAAATAAACGTGAATTCAATTAGGATCAACCGACTCTACATACAATCGTGTAATGCTAATCCTCCAACCAGAAAGACATACTATATAGTGCATCCCACATCACCAAGCATTGAGGATGTAGCAGCTAGGCGCCATCCCGCATCCATCCCGCATCACTCGTTCGAGATACGGATCTTGCTTCGAAAGCCTGCCACAATCATTATAGCATTAGACTAATAAACATCGCTCAACCTATGAGGGCATTGTATACACCCAGCCAACGTACAAGGGAGATCGTATGTCCCTATTCATGGATTTAACGCATTTTCATGAGAAAAGCAGATGCTAGCAATGTTCGGATGAGAGTTACCACTAGCAACATGAGGAAGCTTCGAACGGTTACTAGTTGAAGATAGGGAAAGGGAAAGCTGGATTGAGTTTTGATCATCTCTGCTGCAGAACATTTTAACATTCTACCTGAAATTAAAACAAGCATTGTTATTGTTTCCTCACCGAAGTCGTACAGGTCTTGACATACCGTGGTGTTGATACGTCATCTGATTTAATCTGACTGTCTGTTTTGGGATTGCAGAAGATTAAAGAGGTAAGAATATCAAGCTTTTTCGTCGTCGTAGAATCCGTTAATTATTTTAAGAATAATGTAAATTTGTGCTTATGATCTTTACAGCAGGAATCCTGTTTTATTATCTTTGATAACTATATTGGATTTTATCATTACTGTTCAAAAGAATTATTTGAATACACAAAAGTGCACCGCATACATGATAAACCGTTACATTCTAGAATAGTTGGATTATTAAAAGGAAAGGAAATTGGGTAACGTTTAACACAAAATTGGGTAAATTGTACCCGATATCATGTTTTTTTTTGCTTACCTCCATACCATCCATGCCCCCCTCCATCATTGCTAACGTTTTTAGTATGAATCATACAGGAATTAAACATGATATATAAAAAGTTACAAGCCTGTAATTTGATATTTTCAAGAAAAGAGAGCATGCAAACATTTAGCCACCATGATTTCCTACGAAATTGTAAACCTGTTTTCACTGTGTATGCACAATTCTTGGAAACATCTGAATATCGAAAATGTAGCGGCTCCAATTTCCCGTGTATAGCTTTTTAGGCCATCAGGCCTCGTAATTTAATGCGCAAGAATTATTTCATTCCGACAATCAAATAAAGATTTTTCATCCGAAAATGCATCAAGGTCTTGTATCTATTGAAGTAACGAACCTTTTTTTCATTAAATTAACCTATTCACATTTTTGAGTTTATTACATCGTGCCTTTTGTATTTTGGAAAGTGAGGTATTCTTTTTGGAAGTAAGAAATTCTTGCATATTGTAGGAGCAACAACCCTTCTTTGAAACAAACAATTTTTGGAATAACGAACCTTTACAAAAACAAACTTTCGAAAAAACGAACTTTCAGAGTAACAAACTTTCGGAATAACGAACCTTCAGAATAACAAACATTCGGAATAACGAACCTTCAGAATAACAAACTTAAGAAATAACGAATCTGCAGGATAAAAAACATTCGGAATACCGAACCTCCAGAATAACAAACTTAAGGAATAACGAATCTTCAGGATAACAAACTTTCGGAATATCGAACCTTCAGAATATAAAAAAAAATCGGAATACCGAACCTTCAAAATAACAAATTTAAGAAATAACGAATCTTCAGGATAAAAAACATTCGGAATAACGAAACTTCGCAATAACAAACATTCGGAATAACGAACTTTCGCAATAACAAACATTCCGAATAACAAACCTTCAGAATAACAAACTTAAGAAATAACGAATCTGCAGGATAAAAAACATTCGGGATAAAGAATCTTCGGAATGTAAAAAAAATATTCGGAATACCGAACCTTCAGAATAACAAACTTAAGAAATAACGAATCTTCAGGATAAAAAACATTCGGAATAAAGAACCTTCCGAATATTTTTTTTTCTCGGAATACCGTACCTCTAGAATAACAACTTAAGGAATAACGAATCTTCGGGATAACAAACTTTCGGAATATCGAACCTTCAGAATAACAAACATTCGGAATAACGAACCTTCGCATAACAAACTTTCGGAATAAAGAACCTTCGGAATACAAAAATAAAAAATCGGAAGACCGAACCTCCAGCATAACAAACTTCCGGAATACCGAACCGTCAGAATAACAAACTTCCAGAATATCGAACCTTCACAATAACAAACTCGGAGTAACGAACCTTCAGAATAACAAACTGTAGGAATAATGCACGTTCAGAACAACAAACTTTCAAAATAAACGATACTTCAGAATAACAAACATTCGTATAAATGTATTGACGGACCTTCGGAATAATACAATCATCGTTTCGACGGCAGGAAAATGTGCATTGACCTGACGGTTGGATTGATTGAGGACACGCATATTGCGGGATTGCCGTGACTTATTGGATAGGATAGCTCATCAGCTATCATCCTGCTCTCATCCTAAACAAATCTTATTCCTGCCGAATAGAATTGTGTACATGCAGGGGCCTGTAGCGTAGAAATCGAATGACAACCAATAGTCATGATTCTATCAAATCTATTTGATCTCCTTTCTTGTCGCAATGTATAGAATTTAAACCATACATTATTTTGATCTATCTGTAAAATAAATTCATTATTAATTTACCTTTATTGTACAATTATGATTCTTTGAAGGAGATATGGTTAATTTGGGTTGATACAATTAATCGTAACTCAAATTATATCACAGTTGAAAGGGTATTTATTTATCAGATGTTTAAGTTTCATTACCTAAAGAACTATATTATGTTGAATTGTATTATGCTTATATATCTGTTTATCCAATACTTTAATTTCTGTTTATATAAGATTTGAATTCCTGTTTATCTAAGCGAGTGTTGGAACTCAATTTAATAAGATTTAATTTCAATTACGTGTAGAAAAAATATCTGTTTTGTATAATCTGCATATTCATTTCTGTCGCACCTTGATCGGAAGTTTCGGATACATGCGCGTTATAAATTCATATTATTATTATTATTATTATTGTGTTAGAAGGTCCATATCTAATTTGGAAAATTCCAAACGTATTTATCCCTTTTAAGAAGTTATTCTTGACTTTTTAATATCGTAAAACAGAAGTTTCCAGATTCAAACCGATCTTACACAATAATATTATTGTAGTATATATCACTCACGGGATATGTTTGTATGCATAGCTAATATAAGAGTAACAAGTAAGAAAATGGCAAAATCAAGATAGCTCTACCGTGGAACGTAAGGCTCCAGTAAATGCGAAGTCAAACAAATAACGCAATCTTCCTTGAAATCGCAATAGAATTACTGCATGAAAATTATTTTTAGAATCATTTCAGGCCAATATATTTCTAAATGCACTCTTTACACCAGCAAAATTCAGCTTTAATGGAACAAGTAAGATATGTCTGCACAAACAGCGAAAACTATCCAACTCCCAATCAGTCATCTAAGGATGTTTTTCCTCATAAACATAATTTCCCTTTTTGTGTCATTAAGGTTATTTCCGACGATTCCTCACTCCTCTGCCTTTTTTCACTGTTACAGTATACTTAAACGGACAAAATAAAATACGCTCTGTTAGTACGACTCTACAATGACGGGAGTATCCAGTTCAGCGAGAAGCCGACGTTGCCCCCCCCCCCCCTCCTTCCCCACACCCTTCTCTTATTTGGAATAATTCCCTTGACCTGGATAAGTAGGCAGATAATGGAAGCTTGATTGTTATAACTAGTATACGGTAAAATTAGAACCGTGATCTCGTTACGGTAATCGTAGAGATTAAAGTTGAGCTTATTAGCTCCACTTTAGAATTGTGCGATCTGTGTTAGATGTGGAATCGTTGTAGCAAAACACTGTTGATATTGCATGCTTTTATTTTCCATAAAATAGTATTCTTTTAAAATCTAAGTCTCTTCTAATAATGAAACTATGTAATGTGATGGTTTGGTAACTCAATACCCATATTACTGTCATTAATCATGCATACTGCGAAACACGTCTCCACCCATGGCCCCGACCCAATTGTATATCTATGACATGTAATGTGAACAATCATGAACGATTCCTCGATCCTATATAACATATTTGTATTATGTATACGTTTTCCATTTATACTGAGGAAGTTGTTGGTATAAAGGCTATCACCTGAACACCCGAACGCTGGTTTGGAACACTGTAATGAACAAAGTGCCGTGTAATTCAGTGACTCATTAGCTTCCAATATTATACTCATTATGCTAATTGCTATATACTTGTACTTTAGCTGTACTAGCGGCTTATGATTATTAATCAACATTAGCGCTATTTTAACAAGAGGAGTCCTCGCTTCTTCATCTTCACAAATACGTATTGGAAAACCAATATCTGCAATTGGTAAATATGTTAGAAATTCATCAAATACATTTCCAGTTGTTCTTCGTTGTAACTTGAGAGTGCTTGCAGAGTCGATGTTTATATTAGAATAAATGCATCACACGAAATGCACCCAGAAATAACCATGTCCATTTCCCATGTCACATTAAGTAATAATTGAACCAACCTTTTGTTTATTAACAAGACCCAAGTTTGCCGTTACTTCACCGGCAAGAACAAGGTTGAATTTCCCTCCGACTATCGTTATTCCCTCGGAAAATTTAGCAGGGATTCCAGGTAGATGAAAACTATTGTCGTGATACTCAATATAGCACGGAGGTCGACATAAACCATGAATTTTTAATGCAGCACTTCCATTATAAAAATTGCACACCACCATCAATGCAATCAACTCGAGTCGTGCAGCAATTACTTGTTGAATGAATGCGACTCGCTATCAATTCTTGATATTTTAATTTTCAGCATCGAAGGGCTGTGTATTTGCAAAGTAATCAATTCAATTCAAGTCAATAAAGGTTTCACAAAAATGAAAGAGGCATAAAAGTCAAATATCATAAAATACAAGGTGAAAAGTAAAAAATATTGATATAAATTATATCAAATACTGAGGGAGAGGTAAAAGCATGGTAAAGCTAAAGGAGAGCAAAATATATAGCGAAAAAGGAAACGGATATTTCTAAAGATAAAGATATTTTCTTTATCGAATTTACAAGTCACTGTAGCGTACGTCAAACTAGATTCGATTTGTTGTCTTCGGAGGCAAGACGGGTTCTCAGAGAGAATGACAATATAACAACTGGATGAAACAGATATTCGCTGAGCCGTGCATCTTATTTCATTATAGCTGTCAGGTAGATGAAGATCATGTGAATGATATACTACGGAGTGACAACTCATCACCAACGTGACCTATGACCCGGACAGAATGAGGAATATTAACGTTTAAAAGAGAAACTGTACAAAAGAAACATCTTTAGATGCATGTTTTCATAATGTCTCAAAATTAAGTATAAATCATGTGTTTATTTATTTAAAATCAAGTTTCCGATCATTGCATTTAGACTCAGGGTCGGTGATGTTGATTTAGGGGCAGGGGCGCCCATCCCAGTAATTTTGTAGCGAATTATGTCGATTATTATCAACATCCCTCTCCCAGCCCCATCCTGAAAATGAGTCGTTGGCCCAGTGCAGGTTTCAAGTATAATTTGCATGCTGTTGATGCTCGCTCAGACAAAGTTACCTCTAAATGTTAGACTTTTTTTACCACGTGCAAAAAGTCACAACATACAGAATTTGATACCTTTAGCGCTAAAATGGCCTACCCATTCCCGTTCACCCGTATTGATCGAGGCTACAGGAATAATGATGGTAATTTGCATTTTTTTTTTCTTCCTGCGCTTCAGATACGTTTCGATTCAAAGCGCTATTGTCCTAATTGACGTAACATTGTCCTCGCATCTGGTAGCCAGAGGCTCAAAGCCATGACAACAGCACCAAAGAGACATCTGACAAGAAATGCAAATGGACTCGTTTTTATGCCATTTAACCTAACGTGCCTAATGAAAAGTAAATAGCCTAAGTAAGAAACTGATGCAGGTACGAATATAACATTAGCTACTTAACAAAGCACAACATGATTGCGTTTGTTATTTGATATTTATTCAGCTGTTGAACAAACTTCAATCAGCATAATAAATGAGAGGTTCTGGTTAGAAAATTCTAAGAGAAAAAAGGCAATTGAGCTGGAGGCGCTATAATAAATGTTAAATGAAGGGAAATCAGCTCGGAGCGAGAAAGGAAATCGAAAGACGGATGGATGGACGAGGAAAGGAGTGGGAGATGTATAGATTGAGAGGGGAATCTAATAATGACATGTCATGGATCAGGCATTTTTATCTTTCTTTTTCTGAGTATATACAAGGAAGAACCGACGTACCCTTAAAGGGACTTGGTAACATTGTTCAGATGAGAGAAAATGATGCTAAGGTAGTGACTTCATTCAATGCTAGCTGTAAAATAAAAGATAATCTGAAAGTTTGAGTGAAAACAGACCATTATTGATGAAAATTGGGAAAACTGATCAATTTCTTAATTCTCCGAACTATAATTATTATTACAATTTATTTACATTTTAGGTGAATATAAATCATAACAAAGCAATGAATTGGCTCTATATAGTAGACATTTAAATGTTCCAAGATTTTAAAAAGCCTGTCCCATGTCTTATTTTCATGCAAAAACGGTTGGGAAAATTCAAAAATGGTTGGGTAAATTTACTTTAAAGAGGATGTCGCACAGTGACGCCTTCAAAGAAAACCATAACTATCTTTGTGGTTTGAGAATTTGTTCAGGATTTTTTGCATGTTAGAGGGTTAGAACAGAAGAAGGAATATAATAAGTAACATTTCATACAAAAACAAGCAGTTTTTTCATCAACCTTCAACAATACCGAGTCACTTTAAAAGTTGTTGACCTGTCCTTGGTATATCGGATGAATGGTTCTGAAGATATACTAGTAAGATAATGCTTACATTCTTTTAAAGGAGAATATACGAATAAAAAAAGGGTGGAACTGGGATATTTATTAATCAAGTTTAATTTCTAATCATTTTTTTTTCCTTACTCTACCACAACTTAAGATGTAGCTATCTACTATCGCACTGTTTATATCACGAGATCTAATATATTTCGATTAATTTATAATGTATGAACCCTGATGCTACACAATAGTAATAAGCTATTACCCCACTGCTACAGGTATATCACTTGACAGTCAAATGTTAATTTCGAAGTGCGATTCGTGACTTGTCGGTATGACAGCAAGTATATGCTATTTATTAATCCATTGTTTATTTTGCGATTCATTACCCTGAGTTTGACAGGCAATAATGAATCGAGTTTACACAGGAAAAGGCGAAAAGTGGAAGAGAAGGAAAAAGAGATAGAGAGGGGAAAGAGAGAGAGAGAGAGAGAGAGAGAGAGAGAGAGAGAGAGAGAGAGAGAGAGGGGGGCGAAAATTGTCAATATATTAATTTCTGTTCATCCAATCCCTCTTTTCCAGCCGGATTCGTATCACCATGGAGACGCATAATGCAAACATCATCCACGGTAAAGCATCGACGGAGGGACATAATGGCGGACTCCATCTACCATGCAATGGAGTTGAAAAAGAAGGGATGAGCAAAGAGAGAGAAAGCAATAAAACTCCAGCATCTAATGGAACATGCACCATGGCGATCGGAACCAAATCAACGAATAACCAACAAAGGTAATTAATTATTCGTTTTATTTTGAAAGGGTTCTTTTCTCCTATCTGTGTAGACTCAGTGGAAATTATATACGTCTTTTGCTTTTTCCGCTTGTAATATTGAGTTGCTAATGATTATCGGTACTGTAAGCATGGTAACAAATGGAAGCCCTGTGTGATATTAACAATCAAACATCGGTTGAAAACGGATATTTCAGTAACAGACGGTCCTTAAAATCAATAGATATAACGTGAGCACGTTTTATATACAAGTTTTCAATTTACCCCATCAGAGACGCGGTATTCAAGATTTCATCTCATTTACAAGGCCGTCAAAATATTGTCAACATATTTATATTTCTCCCATAACGTCGTCCTTGTATGATTTCTATTTGTGTATAGAGAAAGTGTTATAATGTACGGAATATAATGAAGAACCGTAGAGAACAACTTGTAAGCAGACAATATTCATTTCGATGCTGCCTACGATGACCTTATCGTATAGCCTTCCTTAGGCATTGTTGGTTTGAGAGTTGAGGTCAAAAGAATGGAACAAATATTATTCTTCACAAGAATTTCTCCTAATATCTAGAAAATTTATCCGACGGCGCTTGCTGATAATTAATCAAGCTCTAACCTCTAAAATCCAAAGAATACAACAACGTAAGAGATCTGAGATTAGAAATTGTTGCAGATGAAAATAGGATTGCTTTTATGAGTCAATATAGGTAATTCAATGACCTGTGATCTTTCCCATAAATTCTTAATTTCTCTATAGGCCTTTCATAAAGAAGTGCTTTTCGTGAGACCATGTATTTTGTCTTCGAAGAGAAGACACAAAATTGCACTTACATTATATAGATAAGAATTTCTGTCCCTTCGAAGAAGTTCTTGGAAACTGGCTTTATTCTTAAAAGTTAACCACAATAGGTCATGCAATGGAAAAGTAATTCAGTAGAGATATCCTAGCTTTTTCCATGGCATTAAGAGAGTTCCTTATCTCGTACATCATCTACAAGCAAATCATGAGAGGAATCATATTTAAACATATTCGTGGCTTACACCCAGTAAATAAGATCGATTGATCGATGTAAGCCACAAATATGTATAAATAATTAAAATTTCTCCCAGGAAGCGTTACATTTATAAAAGTTATTAGGAATCATATATTTTTTTTATTTTTTTATTTATTTTTTTTTTTTTTTTTTGGGGGGGGGGGTTATTTATGATCAAAGTAACCAATGATATTTTTGTTGACAATACCTGTATGATCTTGATTTTGTATTTGTTGTGGCTCGCATGCAAAACTCGTAGAAAGTTTCTTGCAACATTTATTACTACATGTAGGATACCAAAGAATTCGTATATAATATGATTCTACTTATTTTGTTTTCTGTGTTTTGTTCTGTTACTCTTATCAATTTATATTCATGATTGTTATTGGGTTGTCTTGTTACCAAACTGGGCCCCATGGAAGATAGTACACCAGTATTGGTGAACATGTATAGATGTATAAAATAATGTCAGAAATAAATAAATTAAATTGATGTGGGTTATGTTTCCATCACCTGTCGGATATTTATAGACGTGGTACAAGAGGAATGATTGTATCAATACAAACAAGACAGAATTGCATTTCGCCAGATAAAGATTTCATTTGGTTTTGAAAAATGACACCAACTATCAAACAATTTCAGAATACATTATATCGCATTTGATATATGTAATCGTGTATAAAATGTACATGAAGTAATAAATTGGATTTGCATTATATTAAACGGCAGAAAAATAGCGGAGGTGTAAACTATACATATTATTATTGCTGTTCATGTGTAGAAAACATAAGCATCAGCAATCAACGGCTGAAAGGCGGTTCTGCCGGGTACGTGTGCAGCATGGTCATTAATGACTCTTTATTAAGTCACTTAAAGGGGGACTCCACACTGATAATAAGTTGGTTTTAATAGCAGCAGAAAAATGTGATAAACAGATCAGTGAGTTGCAGAGTTTCTTTAGTTTTTGTTTGATTGATCGCACCTTCAAAAGTTCATAACTTATTTTAAATCTATTTTTGCTCAAACTTTTACCGAAATTTTTCTTTCATTTGTCTGCATCTACTGAACTAACTCAATATCAGGGTAGATTTCCCCTTTAATAATTGCTTTTCTATTCATTCTGCAATCGTTAGGTACATGGTAACTGAACAGAAAAATGGTCGAAATGGAAAGGCTCCCAAAGAAGTCAAATCGCGAGCTGAGGGAAAAAGGGGGACTAATTCCCCCAAACCAAAACCAAGGCCATCACCGAAGCGTCATGTATCGAACAAAGTGGATCCAAAAAAGAGGTATTATGGATTATTCATTTTGATGTCTGAATAATAAATGCAGATACTTTTTTGAAGCAGTAGATTAGTTGTCGGCCGCTACGTAACAAATGACGTTATAAGATAAAAATCAAGTGTAAAAATACTTTATATAAGAAGCAGGTTATTTAAGACGTATTTTCATTTTAAGTTAATCCTTGAATAATTGGAGGAAATACAGACTTGTGAATGTATGGACTTGCGTTTAGTAAAAGTGTCTGGAGAAGTCGATGCAAATCGATTTTGAATAAAATTATACGTTTCTATATCAATCCGTTGAATAGGAAGATTGAACGCGAACAAAATATGCTGTTTCTGTGTACATTTCTCTCTTTTGTGGACGGCTGAAAGAGCGGGTTATTTTTTTACTGCATTGTTAATGTTAATTTTTGTAATCCTGATTGTATATGTTTATTACAGCAATTAACTGAATCTCAAAGGAAACGGAAATAGTGTCGAAAAAAGCGGGAATGGGGCAGGGCAGATTATTTTTAGGGGAGCATGTCTCCTAAGTTTCTGATTAGCTGACAATCAAATAGGCCTCGCATTTATTTAATGTTTCCTTAATCTCGAAAAAATATCAAAGCAATCAAATCATTAGCCCCATCTTCATTAATGTCTAACAGTACAAAAGAGAAGTATTTATAAGGACTGTGAACCCTATTCGAATAGGAAAAATGTTTCAGTAATGATTAGCACCGCCAGTAACCGACTTCGATGGCCTAAAATGCTAAATAAGTACTTTGAGAATTTACTACTACCCCTCCCGCCTCTTTCCCCCGCCTTCTCATTTCACATGTTTGGAGAGTTGGTTAAATTACTTTTTTTCAACCCTTGAATGATGAACTATGTGCAATTATCTATTATCTACTTGGATTGGGATTCCTTCTCTGCCCCTGTCTTGATCTTTCCCTTCCACCTATCCCTCTCTCTTTCTCTCTCTCCCTCTATTTCGCTCTCATAATTATCTTCCTCTTCTTTTCTCTCTCTCTCTTTGTCTCTCGTT